TATTTAGATATCAATGGGATTCGAACACTAATGGACCAGAACTCGAACCAACATCACATTGACAAGTCATTTGCCTCGAATCATTTAACATCGATAGAAAAATCAATTCTTTACTAAATCATTAAAAAAAACCTCGAATTATCGTTCGGATACATTGGTGGAATTGAGTTCATTTCTTTCGCTTAGGAATATTAATAGGTGGAAATAAAGCCTCAAATAGAAATACAATAAATCCCGTTAGTGACATGGAAAATGACGCGATTAAAGTTGAATCGAAATATTCTAATTTCAATGGATTTAGAATAACTTTTTCGTCACTGATTGTTGACTGAATGCACGGACTGTAGTAATTGGCGAAGCTGTAACAGTTGAAGTCGATTTTTTGAACAATATAGTTATCAAAATTTGACGATTCGAAAGCTCGATTAGCATTTTTAATAGCAACTTTTCGTATTTTCGATTCAGTAGATGAGCCAACCACAAAAAAGAAAAGTAATTTAGAAATTGAAGTCTTCGAAACATGAGTCCAGCTTTTCGAACTTGAACCTTGGAAATTGCACATTCCACCTTTCACTCGAAATCCGGTCTTTTTTGACGCAATCAAAACTTTTTGATTGTCACCAAGAACTTCAAAGACTGAGGCTGGATCGGTTTTTTCCATGATCTCTAACTTTGCCTTGATCTTTGATAAAGATTCAACCTTTGACTTTTCAATCGTATATCGACAGTAAAGTGTACTGAATGCCGTCGGTGTCAAATTATAGAGTAAAATATCTTGAAGAGTGTCGACCCTTTTGTAGATTGTCGATCTTATTAGTCCCGTTTGTAGTGAGGCCATGAATAAACTTGTCATGAAAAATGCAAACATCGAGAAGTTTAGTCCGTGTAGAGATGTGACATTGAGTAAAGGTAAAAAGTCCGAGTTGAATGAGATTCCAAACAGATCCCAAACTGTAACTCGATTGGACAAATAACGTAAGTAGCGATTGGTTACAATCGTAATTAATATTAGTCCCAAACAAAATGAGATCATTAGAACCAAGACTGGTAAGTCGAACCGCTCTTCGAAATCGAGAAAATCATCAGATCGAATAGCGACATTTATGTCGGGATTATTTATCAGATGACAATTATCCTCATAAGCTAACGACCCAAGAGTTATGTTCACTGGTAAAGTTGGAAATTGGTCTAATGTTATCAACCTCACGGAATCGATTCGACCTGATTGTAGGTCTAATAAAGAGCCAGTACAATAACCGTTATCGTCGCAAGAATTAGATTCCTCATGGCTGACGGAGAGAAAAGTAAGATTAAATTTTCGAGACAAGAAATAGTATTGGGCCAAAATATAAGGAGCAGAAGCACCACTCAATCGACCATCTCCGTCCACAGCCAAATAAGGCTCACGAGTTATCGAGCCAACGATGAAAGGTACACCAAGCAACTTCATGGTCCAATATTAGGATCAGTAAATTTCGATTGCATAATTGTTGCCAAATTTTTCAAGACCTTCAATCAACTTTTCAAGTATCAAAAGTAAATCGAAATATAAAAAAGAGTAACAATTACAATTTGATTTGAAATGTTTACTCGAATTTCCATTAACTTTTTTTTTCTATCATCAAATTTCATTGATATTGATTCAACTTACGACTAATGATTTACCCTGAATTTTGGAAAACTTAATGAAATGAAACTCAATTAGTGTAATTTGAATTTTTCGTTCTTGTTGACAGTCATAATTTAATACTACTATCAATCTTATTAATGGACAATCAGCGAATCAAAGTAATGATATCAATAGTTTCATTGGTTTGGTGAAAATTCAACTGGTTGAGTCTCGATAGTAACTTTTGGCTTTTCGATTTGATTTTAACCATATAAATGTCGTGAATGTCAAATGTTACATTTCATTCAAATTTCGCCATCAAACAGGAATCGAAAAGTCGAACCTGTAGTATGTTCAGAACTGATCACATTTATTTCGAATAGAAAAGTTTTCTGAACTTAATTGATAAACACACGAAAATTGAAATGAAAAAAGTTGATGAGTCGAAACTCGATTAAGATTTAAATCATTCAATCAATTGAAACGAAATTGTCAACAACAGAACTCATCAAATGTTGGATGCTATTGACTCGTTAACATTAATCACTAACTTAATTGTCCAGAGTGAAAACGATCCCAACTTACAAATGAGAAGTTTGAAAAGTTAATCGTTATATTTATTGATTGATTTTAAATTTTGTTTGTAAATTTAATTGATTATTTAATTAACTCAGTAAATTTAAATTCGCAACTCGTAAAGATACAAAAAAAAAGTACAAATTTACCATAGACATGGTTTCGTGATCAATGGATATTAAGTTTAACTGAAAATCTAAATTAATTGGTAACTTTGTATTATTGTCATCAACTGAATCATCAATAGTTTAAATATAAATCATCATTATCAGTTTATTGTTCAATAACAGCACAAAAAATTTAGTAAATTGTTAACAGTTTGTCACGAAACTAAATTTATTTACTCGAATATTATATCAACAATCAAGGTAATCATTTCAGTTGGAAAGTGGAATTGAGGATCACAATCAAATTCATTATGTTATAATTGTAAGATAATTGTTGCAAATAATCTAAATTTTGTAAGTGATTAGCTAATTGCTCCAAGTTTATGGAGTTCCATTTGACTTTTTATCAGTCTCATTTGTTGATTTACTCGGGCGGGAATATGAGTTCGACCATGAACACAATTGATGCAATAAGAACACCGAAATATGATAATATTGAAGTTCGCGAAAAATATTCTAATTTTAATGGATTTAGAATAATATCTTCGTCCTTAAATTCGAATTGACTACATTCACTGTAGTAACTATCAAGACCCAAACATTTGAAGTCGATTCTACCGGTAAAATGATTGATATAATTTGACGCTTCGAAAGCACGATTAGCATTTGATATAGCGATTTCTCGTGTTTCGGATTCAGTAGACTTTCCAACAACAAACATGAAAAGTAATTTAGAAATTGAAGTCTTCGAAATGTGTGTAGAACTTTTTGAGCTTTGATAATGACACATTCCACCTTTTAATCGAAAAGCATTATATTTCGTCGCAATTAAAACTCTTCGACTATCACGAATGACTTTGAATACAGAATATGGATCAGTCGATTCCAGAATTTCTAACTTTGATTTGATTTTAGATAAAGATTCCGCTTTTGACTTTTCAATCGTATATCGGCAATAAAGAGAGCTCAGTGTTGTCGGTTTCAAATTATAGAGTAAAATATCTTGAAGAGTGTCGACCTTATTAGTCCCGTTTGTAGTGAGGCCATAAATAAACTCGCCATGAAAAATGCAAACAATGAGAAGTTTAGTCCGTGTAGAGATGTGACATTGAGTAGCGGTAAAAAGTCCGAGTTAAATGAGATTCCAAACAGATCCCAAACTGTAACTCGATTGGACAAATAACGTAAGTAGCGATTGGTCACAATCGTAATCAATATTAGTCCCAAACAAAACATGGTCGTTAGGACAAATACTGGTAAGTCGAACCGCTCATCGAGATCGAGAAAATCATCAGATCGAATAGCGAACTTAACGTCGGGAGTATTAACTAGATAACAATTATCTTCAATTGCGACCGATCCAAGGGTTATGTTAACAGGCAATGTCGGAAATTGATCTTGTGTTATCAGCAAAGTGGAATCGGTTCGACCTGACTGTAGATAGAATAGAGAACCAGTACAAGATCCACTTTCGTCACAAGAATGTGAATCATTACCACTAATGGATAAAAAAGTAAGATTGAATTTTTGAGACAAGAAATAATATTGAGCCATAATATAAGGAGCGGAAATGCCGTCCAATCGGCCATCGTCATTGGCAAACAGGTAAGGTCTTAAAGGTAATATTCCTACAATGAAAGTTAAAGGTATCGGCATAATGATTAGCTGATCATAATCAACAATTTTTGCAACTATTCAAATAGATCAACAATTTGCTTCTAAACTCATATATCAACTCACATTTCAATTTCCATGAGCTCTTTTCAATGATATTAATGACATTTATCAGGTAATTAATTTCTCTCTTAAAATTTTCAACTTTAATGAGGTGAAACTCAATTAGTTTGTCTATTGGTAATTGGAATTTGTTCCTATTCTACTCAATCATTTGTATACAAATAATGAAAAAAATTGAGGATTAAAACAATATCAATCTAAGTGTTGACAACGAATTGTAAACATCAGGTAATCGTTTGTTATTTTCAATCTAAAAATAGAAGCATGAAATTGATTATTTACCTACCATTTAGAGAGAGGGAGGGAGAGATACATTCACACAACGAATTGAATTATATTCATGATGAAATAAAATCAATATGACGATAGAAACAAAAAAAACTTCCGGCCAAATGGAAGACAAAACCATGACCAATAATCATCAACGAAAAAAAACAAAAACAAACGAAAAAGAAAAAGAGAACCTGACATGTAGAAGGTGAAGAAGATTAATTCTTAATGGAAAATATTCAGTGAGACATAAAATATTAATTCGAAAAATTAATTATCCCAATTAGTTGGAGAGAAAGAGAAAATAGCAATTAAAGACCTGGGATATTGTGTCAAAAGCAGAGATTAGTTGACAAAAAGAAAAGAAAAAAATTCTTCAAATCAGCTGACTTTTTGTTGGCGCTCAAATAGAAAAGGGCCTTCTCAAAAGGCCGGAACGTTTGAGCACGTGTATTACACGTGCTCAAACATGTACGTAAAGAGAAAGTAGTACTTTGAGATAATTAATCTCTAAATAAACGACAGATAACAATAATCCACACAAATGATAATTACCGTTATAATCTCCATCAAACACTAAAAAAGAGTTACAATTAATGAGCACCAGGATGATAATGCTGAAAGATCTTTGATTCGTGTGAGTACAATGGCGATCGGTATAATAGCATATGATAATCGGATGATCCCTGTGTACACTTTTACGACCAAATAAAATTTATTTATTATTTATCAATCGTGAAATTTTTATTTTTTTTCATTTTATTCACGAATTTTGTAGAATCAATGATTTTCTTAATTTATTATTGATTCCATCGCGATTGAGATTGAATTGCGAAAGAGCAGCCAAAAGTCGATATCTTCATCACTGGGCCTGAATATTTTTCGTGCGACATTTCATGAGATAAATAAAAACCAAACACATAACTTTATATATAAATTAGCTTAAATACAGATACAGATCGTTAATATCTCATAACTGAATTGAGATTTACAGTGAGAAGCATAACAATACTTATGTTTTCGAGGATAAACTGAAACGAGTTAAAACGTAATCTCATGTGAGTTAATTGTTAAGCGAAAATTAACTTTTGATTTACTCACAAAAATTGTGGTTTGTTTTTCAAATATGAACCAATCACCAACAACAACACAAATATCAGGGTACATGAGACGATCAAGTAGCACCATCGTCTAATTAATTCAATGGATAATAATAAGTAAACAAAATGAATCTTAATTAACTGAATCTTCTTACCTTGAAACTCGTTCCAATACGAGTTTTTGAACGAATCAAAAGTTTGGTCAAAGCGAAATGAAGATTTTGGGCCTAAATTAGACAATCAAAATTCAGTTATTGAATATCATTTGTCCTTTGGTTATTTATTGAGTTTACCATTGAATGAAAATCAGCAGCTAAAAACATTATCACAGCTACATTGATTATCGTAATCACTCCACTGGTTGTCAGGTAATATGAGAACGAATCTGAAATCACTGGAATGATTAAACTTAAAATCATGAATAAATCCGCAAGAAATGAGCAAAAAATCATAAACAACAAAGTGCAATATTTAAGGTCATTATTAAGCTCGATAAACTCGTTAGAAAATTTGATCGCTCGATGAGTTAAAGTTTTCATCATGAAATCGCGATTTAAATGTCCCCCATGTTTAGCACACGATGAACACAATCTATTTAAGCTTGATAGTTGAAAGTAATTAGTTAAAATGATGATTATCAAACTTATCCCGTTCGTTGATAATGCACATGCAACTGTACATATTGATAGTATTTCCATCGTACCCCAAAAGAAAGATGAAATAATCCAAGAGAGAGTCGAAAACGTTGCTGGATCAGTGATTCGAACCATAACAATAATCGCAGGGATGACCGTGAGTGCGACTATTATGAAAACAAAGTAAATTCTTAATACAAAATAGAATCGAACTTTGTATGTTCTAACTCGCGATTCACTAGAGTTCAAAGTATCAGCTGAAAATCCATTGATCTGCATGCGAATGTATTTCTTAAGTACGATAAAAACTCCTCTCTCTTCGAGGTGAAGTACGTATTCGCGTAAAACAAGTAAGATTGCCAACCAAAGTGCCAAGAAAAACAAAACATAATCGTGATTTTCAATATTCAGATCGCCAGCAATCATCCGATAGAAATGATTTTTGATGAATATTAAGCTAACGATTCTCAATAAAACGATACAATAAGTAATTCGAAATAAATTGTGAGCAAATTGAGTTCTAAATGAAATCGGTTGGTCAAGTTTCTGTGAGAATCCTCGTCGAGAACTAAGAAATACAAATGAAAACCAGTCAAGTTGATCGAGCAATTTGATTGTCTCATCAGTCACATTTTCTGGTGGATTGAAAAAAGATTTGATGTAAAGGTAAAAGGTCACCAGGTAACATTTCAATCTTCTCAAATAATTGAAATTCATGATAATGGAATAGGAATAATTTCATGAGTCTTAGATGTAATGTGAATGATAAAGAAATCGAGGAATTAAACTTTGATAAAACATTAAATCATGATTTATTATGACAATATTTGATTTCTTATTGTTGCTAAATTTTAATACAAATTGATTATTGATCATTGATTTGTCATTCAAGGTAATTAAGTTAATGATCCCAGGGAACTCTTAATGTTTTTGATGATTCAATTGTATCAATGAGATTGATTGATAGCCCCTAATAAGCCCTAATGGTTCAAGAGATTTAGCCAAGGGAACTGAAATTTTGAGTTGATTTTCTTAGATTTTCCAATAGAGAATAATTGTCTAAACTTAATTCTATAATGAATACATTTTACTTCTTGTCTATTTTATGCAAATTAAATGCTCTAATCTTGTTGGCTATCGTCATATTCATTTAATCATTTCGAAATCTTCGAAATTTTGTCGTAATAAGAATTTGATTATGAATAGTTAAGACGCAGAAATTAATTGTTCTATTCTTTTCTCTTTTGTTTTGTGAGAATTAATTAAATTATTAGATAATTAATGATAATTGATGATAATTTATTGATTAATTGTGTCTACAAATGTTAAAATAATCTGATTTTTACAACAACAGTTACACTTGAAAAGGACGAATGTTAAGGCTGTAACTATGCAACAATCAACTTCTATGAATCTATTAACATGATAACATTTTTGTTTCTTTTTTTTCCTTTCGAAGTAATTCAACCAGCATTGATATATCATCATCACCATCGCTATCACCGAGATTATCATCTTAATCACCACAATATTTGTCTACATCAATTTGATTTAGATTTGGTAACGAGATGTAACCAAGAGAATCGATTAACAGGGAAATTTGTACAAAGACGAAAGAGAACCTTTTATGGCCTATGTAATTACATGTACGATATTTTATTAATTAAATTGCGTAATTTAATTTAAATCTAAATATTATTTACTATACAGGTATATATTCAACTTTATTTATATTTAAAATAAAGAACTGTAAAATATTTCCGGTTCCGTTTCCTCTTCAGGTTTGCTGGTTTGAAGTCCTAGGTGGATTTAGGTTAGGTTAGGTTAGGGTTCAATCCATTCTCCCTGATACATTCTATGTAAGTTAAAGCTGTGATATCGTAAAAACTTCGCACGAGATGTGGAGTCCAGAAGTTTTCACCACAGTTTCAAGGTCATTGAGGTCATTTCACGATAAAACTATCTAGAGGTCATTTGAAGGACAAATGACCGATAACAGCAATGCAAAAGCTTTGTTCTAGAGGAAAAAGATTGGCGAATTTAGATTGGCAGAAGCGTTTATCCAGTTGGTAACAACACAAACATCGAACAATGCCCAAATTGCTGCAGATTTTACGAATTCGAATCATTTACCATTGAAGAGACATTGTCTATGGAGATTTTTACATGGAAATTGGCTCTTTATGGAAAATCAATGCTAAATGATCTTTTAATTAAATTTAAATAAAATTTGAATTTGATCTTTTTAATTGTAATTAAACTAATCATCATAAAATGATCATTTATGTATCATGTTAAAGCTTATTATCTAACCTCTCTAATTATACTAAATTTATTTATCAAAAATCTAAAGTTTTTTAACAATCAAGCGAAATGTAAGCTTGAAAAAATTTTGGCCATTACTTAGTTGTTTAACTAATAGTTCTTTAGCTATGGATTATGACCGAATATCTTGAAAGTGATCTATCGGAAAATGAAATGGTTAAATATCCTTTACTTCGATTGAGAGTTAAAAATATACTGAGAATCGATATTCCGGGTTTTAATTATGTGGCCTTCGTCACAAATGAGTAGATTTTGCCATGGGTATTCTGATGAATCTTCCTCGTACTGATCCTAAAAGTCTAAGAGTATTAAGACAAAAAGATCCTCAGCCAAAGGGTTAAAGTCAAGGGTAAAGGGTTATCATCGTGGAATCGAAAAGTTTAACGTTTTAAAAACTCGTTGTTCCAGAGATAATCAATGATGAAAAAGGAAGAGAATTAAATAAGTGACTTTATTTTAGATTCTAATCAATGAATTAAAGATGATCGAGATGAACATCATCATCATCACTCTGATAGGTACAAAATATGTAACATGTTGAGTTAACAAGCAAGAAAAAAAAGTATTGATAGAAAGTTGAAAATCGGTGATGAGGAAAATGCAATGGGAAGACAAAAGGAAGATCAATCTTGCTTGATTAGAAAATGACAAGTTAATGATCAATATGATTAAGATGATTATGGTAAATACGGTGACCCAGAATGAGCGAGATGAAAACAGAAAAAAAAATCGAGAGAATATTTTTCCTAATTAATATAATACTTACTTCCCAATTAGTGAATCTTTTTATGTTGACATTTTGTTTTCTATTATTTCAAATTGAATAACTTTAATTGTGATTGATTTGGTTAATTTTTTTTCTTTAATTTTCTAATTTTTTCTCCTTCATCATGTAATATAAGGATTCATTCATTATCGAACTACAATCTCATTGGATTGATCATCATTCTTCTTGATTGGTTTCTTTTTCCCTTCATTCACTAATCAGTGAAAATGTTTATTCCATAATAACAGTGAATTCATACAAACTCAATTCACTCTATTTGTTTTGCTTAAACTCAATGATCCATTGATCGATAATGATTGATTATTGTCTTTTCATTAATCAACTTTACTCTCTTATCAACACACACAATTCACTTATATTATAAGGAGTTGATTGTTGTTATTTCAACTCTGTTGATCTCTATTGATACCAATATAAACCATGGTATTAATTCAGATATTAATATGAAGATCACAATTTACGATTATTATATAATAGTAATCATTATTATCCACTCTTTTTTTAATAATATCCAATGTTTATCTTGAGTTTCACGATCTTACTAAAGTTCATCTCAAGAGGTTAATCAAATGAATTGTGATGATTATGATGATCCCTTAAGTTATTACATCGTTAATATGATCATGTTTAATATGCATAAACACAGAAGATTATTGGTAAACATGATTGGAGTGATTTTATTGATTTTCTTCATCTTTTTTTATCCTTTTCTTTTATTTTCCTCAACTCCTCCTGCATCATTTCATCTTCCCAAGTGATGATGATGATGTTTATCATCATTACTATTACGATATTTAAATGATTTCTTAGAAATTACTATTACTATTAATATTATATCAATTTGTTTCTTTTTCTCTACTTACAATCAATTTCATGTGTCGACAAAATTCAAATTCACTTCCCTATTATTACCATGATATTATTATTCTCATATTTATATACTTGATTCATTTTCTACTCTTCATTATCGTTAACCTTTTTCGAGTGATTATCAATTGTCCTCGATTCTATTTTTTTTTCCTTCTCCACCTTCCCAAAACTCTTACTAATGTCTACCAATAGATTTAAATTAGTGGAGGAGAAAAAAAAAGTTCCATCATGATTAGATTTATGATGAAACTTAATAGTTTCTTACTCTGATTGTCATGAAAAGATAATAATGATTAGAAATAATCAATCATGTCTATAGATTTAATCGTCTTGACAATTTTCAAGATTAACCGTTACGATGAACTTTGTAAGAGAAAAAAACTTTTTTCCAATCGTTAATTTTGTTATATCCATTGGTGAATAGATAATTTAAACTAGTCTAAATTGTAACAATTAACAATTTCAATTAACTTGTTTCACCTTCAACTCTTTAACGGTAAAAATATATTCACCAAATTGTACTTAATTTAATCAATATCTCAAGTTATTAATTCACTTTCAAGTTTCATATAAATTATACTTGAATAAATAAACCGTTGATTTGATTGTTAAATGTTATTAATCATGATTAATATCATATAATATACACAAAGGAAACAAATTATCATCTTCAGCAAAGTTTGCTAGTTAATTATTTCCCTTTGAGCAACTGCAACAATTTACTATTATTAACATTTCCTATTATTAAATTACAATAACTTGAGATGATATTAAACATTGTTATTAATAATTTATTAATCATGATAATGTTTGTTGATATTGTGATAATTATCTGGAGGTGAATTGATTCCCAATAGAAAGCAATTAACGCTTTCTATTTGAATAGACATGTTAATTTGCTCAATTAATAATTTTATTACCTTAATTGTTTGCATTTGTTGTTTTGTTTGATTGTTTGATGATCAAAGTAAATTGTTACTCATTTGATGATTTCAAATGATTGTTATTTTTATTTGTTATTATTAATAAAGTCCCGGAGATTAAATTGTTGGACAATTGGACTTTTTAAATTGACAAAATTTGGACAAGATTATTTATCATTATTAATTTGTTAATTGTTGTGATTTAAATAGAGACTATCAAATCAGGCGAGTAACTCAATTCACAATTAAGGATTGAACACAAAATTAGAAAGTTATGGTAGCAGTTTGGATTTGGACTGTTTAAGTTTGATGATATTTTTACATTTGTTAATTGTGATTAATTTGAGTGTTGATAATTTCAAGTCAAATTGAAACAAATGAGATATTATTGTTGATTAAACAAATTGATTAACTTTTAGCTGCTCATGATTATGATTGATTCCTTGATTCAGTTATTTGCTTTGGATAACAATTGTAGGTCTAAAATTGGTGACGATTGCTTCTGATTGCAAGTTAATCATTTAGTTAATGTAATTGTGGCACATGGCAAGTGATTATGTTTACAATGATTGAACAATTTGATTGATTTGATGAAATACAAAAAGACGAAGAAGCAATTTATTGCTAAAGGCTAATTAACTTGGTTAGTTAATCGTTGTTAAAATTTTCTCTTCTTCTCCTCTTGGTTGATAAGTTGATTGCTTTTTGTTTGATATGAATGAAGATAAACATTAGTAGAAATTAAAAAAAAAGATTCGATTTGCCAATTGAACAAATTGGTCTGATTCATGATAAACGATCAGAACTTTTGCCAATTAGATTGTCTTTTTTTTCCTCATTGCGATTGTTAATCCTCTAAATATCATCACAATTAACAGCAAATTGAGTAGTTATGGTTGATTATCTTCTGAAATGTTTCTGTATATTGCTAATTCGTTGTTTATGTCGATGGAAATCACTTATTTCTACTGTTAAAAGATATGCTCGTAAATTATTATGATTAAATGTTTTACATTGATAGGCAATTAGATTGAAACAATTAGTCTATTAATTAAATTGTTCAACTAGTTGTTAACTCATCTTCCAACCATTGAGGTAAATTCTGATGGATACGATTCAAGAGTTTGGACAGAGCAACATTATGAGGAAGATAATAAGATCGTAAAAATTTTTCCGATTTAATGTCCATCGGCGGGTAGATTCGTCCTTTACCCCGACCAAGGCACTTAGTCTCGTTATTGTTGATTACCTGACAAAAGTAACCTTTCTTAGGATCGAATCGAAGATGATCTTTGTAATCGAAAAATGGTTCAATTTCAAGGAAATTCTGAAGACGACCAATAACGGAAATTGGATCTAATTTTAACTCTTCTCCGTCTATTATAAATAACTATAAGAGAGTAAAACAAAGATTAGTCAACAATTAGATTCTATCAGAAATAATTTAAAGTGTAGATAATCAAAAGTTTCATTATAGTTACCTTTCGAGGAGAGTAAAAATTGATCCATTTTTCGAGGTGAGTCGCATAGCAACCTGGATTAAGACATCGATTTCTAAGATCACGTAAATGTTTGGGAGCTTTTTCATCTGCAGTGATTACTTCATAAAATGAATAATTAAGAGCAGTTGGATCATGATGAGAACGAGCATGCTAGATGTAAATATCGTGGTTAATGGTAATGAGAATAGAAATGATAATATGATAAAAGAAAAGAGAAAAGAGAGAATCGAGATTAATAATTGATAATTTGAAGGATAAAAATTTCTGCAAAGGTATTAACTGAATATTCAATGGAGATTAGTTGATTTAATTCTTACCTGATACCATGAATATGCTCGTCTAACTGGACTGATTAATATGGTGACAATTTTGGCATCAGGTAAAAGTGAATGAACTCTCATTGGTACCAGATCACCATCGAAATAGGTTGCACTCTTCTCGAAAAGATATAATTTGGTGGTGGTTGAATTTTCAATGGATGGAGGTGGATAAAAATTCATATACCAATCTAATCCTTTGTAATAGTTTTTCCCATTGAAAAATTGAACCTCTTCAAATGTTTCCGGACTTGGGTTACTACTTTTAATGGAGGGATGCATCGTTAGGAAGGTGTACAAAGCGGTAGTGCCCGTTTTCTGAGGTCCAATGATTAGGAAATCGGGTAATTGGGAGCACGATTTGTTAGAAGACCAAAGTGAAAAGTGACGCTTATCTTTACATGGATTCTGAAAATATGAGAATGAGATATTATTACAGTTAATTATTGTTTTTCTCAATGTAATCAATACTATTAACTTACCATCCAAATGGGATCAGATTCTCCTGGATGCATTTGGAAATATTTATTGGCCATATCAACGGGTGGGATTGTAGTTAATTGTATATTCGTCCAACATTTAACAAAATTAATGACAGATTCAAATGTGTACAATGCAAGACGATCATTACCGTAATTGGACATATGGGTCATGAATACGTTAATTGGATTGTAAATGAAAAGGTAAAATAGTTCACCACCGAATATGGAATTGTCCAATTTTACTCGTCCCCCTGGATATTTATCGATGAAAATTGTGTGAGTATAAAGACCACAGGTTTGTCGAGGTAGTACCATGATACCACGGTGAATGAACCCTCGTCTCAATTGAGCGGGTCTTAGATGAGGATATTCCTCGGTTGAAGTAGCTCGAACATTCCAAACTCTTTTCCAAGCTTCGTACAAGGGTTCGTGGACTGGATAAACACCAGAGTGATGGGGAGCAACCGAATAGCCGGAATCAATTGGAATATTATTTTCTCGAGCGAAATCTTTGTTCATTCTCATTCGTATCTCAAGAGCTGTGATGTTTTCCGTTAAATGAGGCTGTGAATGTCCCCACATGTGACAAAACCACCAGAATTCATGAGCATTTGCTATTATCATATCATCACCTTCATCTTCCTCTGGATTACCTCGATGATAATATTTCCCAGAGAATCCAAGGTTGAATCGAAAACCAGGAATTATTGATCTTAATCTTGATTGTGCTTCTATTAGAGCTTGAACATCTTCCGGTTTCATTCTTGTTCCAACTTCACCAACAAATATATCGTCAATATCGATTAGAATGTAACGTTCAAGTGGACGGGAAAGTTTTCCATGGGATAAGTAAGATAATGAATCGATAAAGAGAAGACGGTTAATCCAATCATCGAAACCAGAAGAAAAGATGACTCTTTGAATTCCATCATAATGACCATTATCTTGAAGAACAGTAGAAACTGTCTCACCGAGAATCGAGAAAATGTCTTTCTCTTCACTTTCAGTGGTCATCGATTCCTCTTGAGAGGTGACTAAATATTTTGTTTGGTCACTTTGCAAAGTCTCATTGAGATCGGGTTGATAAAGATATGCTTTGGTTACCGGTTGATAACTGGAATGATTTGAATGGAAAACATTATATTTGTGAGTTAACATTGGACCTAAATGAAGATAACCAGGTTTGGTTATCCTTAATAAAGGCGATTCTTCATCAACTTTGTAGTCTCGAACCAGAACATTGTAATCAACCATCAATGGAAAACCGGGAATCTCCAGATTGATAATTGTTTCCTCTTTCATCGGCATGAAACCAACTATTCCAACTCCATATTCACGACAATATTTATCCAATAATTCACGATTCCATTTGTTCATGTGGAAATATTTCTCGATATTCTCAAAAATGATCACAGCGAATTTACCCTTATCAAGATTCGTTAAAACTGGTAAACTTTTACCAAGAGTTTCGAATTTAAATTTAATTCGAGTCGCCTCGAGTGTTTCAATCAGCAATTTACCAAGATGAGAATATTGACTTTCCACAAATAGTAAAACCTTAGAGTCAAGATGAAGTTTCATATGATGATTATAAATATCATTGAATGGAGATTGAGATGTGAGAGATGATGATGAGGAGGATAAAGATGATGGTGATAACAGTTGAGATATAGAAGATTTTCTTTGTGATCCATAATTGTTGGAATGGCACCGGAAGGTAACTTGTGGTGGAAAACGAATTAAATTGTAGGAAGATTTACCAAAAGATAGATAATAACTGAGAATAAGAATAATAAGGAGAGTAAATGAAATGAAGATGAAAAATCCATGGCGGATGAAGATTGTCTTTTGAATCCATGATCGTCTTAAAGGTAATTTACGCCTTACAGAAGCTCCAAGGGTACTTGCTGGATGAATCAATGGACTTGTCAAGAAAGTCATTAATTAGATTACCCAGAATGATAAAATAAAGGTAACAATTAATTGAAAGGAAGAAGAAAAAGAGAAATAAAAATCAAATTAACCAAAGAAACAACAACATAACTGAAAATGAGAGTGAAAGAAATACAATTGAAAAGCTTCACCAAAATAGATTCAAATCCATTATTTTCTCCGTTCTCCAGACAAAACAAAGAAGCCGCTAAGTTACAGGTCACTAATTAACATTCACACCGTCGAAATGCCTCACCGGTAATTGTTAATGAAACATTAATATGATAATTAAAACAATTAAATCAAATCATTTTGTTTACTTTTTGTTTTCAAAACAAAAGCAAATTTTTTTTTCGACGGAAGCGCCGCCTGGCGGTCAATGGACATACAACTGAAAACCCCAACGATTTAATTACAATTGAGATTTAAATCTAATTAAATTAGACTTTTTCCTATGAAATTAGACTTTTCTACTCGATGTACGATGTACGATTTAATATAATCAAATCTAATAGGTTGTAAAGGTATTGATACCTTTAGAAAAACAATTAGAGTTCTAATTGACTGGAAATCTAAAATAATTTGATTGTATTAACGATTTTAATCAGTTGATGTTAATCATTACTGATTGACAAGTTAAATAGTTGACGGATTGTAATTGTCAACTTTGATGTGATGTTGAACGAATCAGGTGAGCATTTCAATGGAGAAAAGTAATTGTTGATAGTTGATTGTGAAACAATTTACTAGATTTGAATGTAATTGATTTAACTTTTATATTGATCAAGGTAAACGTGAAGGAAAACAACAATCAAATTAAGTCTTATTTGAAGATCTGCATAAACAGTTGATGGGTTTTTCTTAAGTGGTATTAAATATAATTATCTCTGACAATTAAGCGATAGCAAATCAGTCAATTGAACTGATGGGACGATCTAGAGGCGTTTTCATTTGGATAATTATTGGAAAGGTAAACAAATGACTAGAAAATCAGAGAGATGAAGTTAATTGTAACCTTCGTTTGAGTACATTTAGTAACATTCACCCTCGATATTTGTGACAGTAAAGTTAATTGTCTTGGATTAATTAGTATTAGTTTTGTTTAGACTTGTGTTTGTTTCTGGTAACAATTAAATCTAATTAATCAACATGAAGATTTTTTTCCTTCCAATGGACGCGTAAGTGTTATAAATTTGATCCATTCAATTTTCTCTAATTAATCTTGATTTTCTTTTCTGTTTTTTTTCTTCTAGTCATGGTCACGTTAATTCGTGTATTGGATTAGCTCGAATGCTTCAAGATTTTGGTCATCAAATTGTCTTTGGTGTTCCTAAGCGATGGTCTCCATCAATCGAGAAATACAAATTCGATATCGAAATACTTGATGACCCATCGGTACCTGAAGATCAAGATCTTCAAGAAAAGTGGGGATCGTTCATGGGACAACATGCTGATGCTTTTGGCAAAGAACCGAAAGATCAATTAAAAGCACTGATCGAACCTGCTACTCGAGCTTTTATCGAGTATGTAAAGATAATCGATGATCAGCTGGCCAGTGTTTTCGAGAAATCAAATCCTGACCTAATCATCTTGGACTTTTATGTAACAGTTCCTGCGGTAGTTAAATCGGGCCGACCTTGGATGTTACTATTCTCGTGTAATCCTCTTCGACTTTACGAAGGTCCAAAGACACCGATGGCTGGATTAGGTCTAAGTGTGGACACTGATCCCTCTGTGACCATGCAAATGCAAATGCTTATGATGGATGTGATGAAAGAGGTCAAGTCTGATTTCGATAAATGGTTAATTTCAAAAGAGGTTGAGCCTGATCTATTTACCATAATGAGATTATCACCTTTTCTTAATTTGTATTCATTTCCATCTGATCTTGATTATTTCGAGTTTGGTTCAGTTCCTGATAAATGTTTTCGTCTTGATCATATGGTTCGTAAAGTTGAGGAAGGTCCACTTGGATTCGATGAATCGTTTTTCGATCGACCAGGAAAGAAAGTGTTTCTTTCATTAGGATCAATGGGATCGGTTGATGTTCAATTGATGAAAAGACTTGTATCCATTTGTAGTAAAAGTAAACATCAATTCATCATTTCGAAAGGACTTTATCATGATAAATATGAACTAGCTGAGAATATGGTTGGTGGAAAATATGTCAACCAAATGGCAATTTTACCCAAAGTAGATTTAGTTATTCACCATGGAGGAAACAATTCTTTTGTTGAGACGATCTACTTTGGTAAACCTTGTATTGTATTACCTTTGTTTGGAGATCAACATGATAATGGACGAAGAGTCGAGGATCTAAAGATTGGAAGGTCATTCAGACCTCATTGGGTCACAGAAGAAGAGCTTTTAACTGCAATAGATGAATTGATTGAAGATAAACAATTAGCCGAAAAACTATCGAAAATCGGGGAAAAAGTTCGCAACTCAAAGAGTATCAACGATTTGAACAAGAAAATTGAAGAAATTGTTTCATCAAATGATCAACAATAATTCCATTTAAATTGTAAAGCAAATTCTCACTGATAATGTAACTCAATAAAATCTAAATTGCAACAATCAACTTTTCCCTCACGTGACTCAACCTTCGTTCGTTTAGTTTGTGTCGATCTCTTTCCTGAGAATCTCACTAATTGCAACAAATTAATTTATTAATGATTTTCCATGTGATTTATATCTTTATTAAGGTAAAATTCTGAAAATAGTCTTTACGGAATTTCCCATTTCTTTATAAAACTAAAAATAGTAACTTTAAATTCTCGTGAACAATCCAAAGGTCTATGAGCACTTTCACGACACCAGCCTGAGTTTTCGCTGAGTATCAGGCCATAGATCTTTTAAGTTGAATTCAATTTGGTAAAATTTTTCATCCAATTTCGATCAACCAAAGTCAACAAAATCGTATTGTTGTTGCACATTCACATTGAACGAAAAACTTTCACACACCAAAAGGTCAGCACTCAAAAGGGGATCAGCCCAGTTAGTCGTGAGCTCTCTCGACTTATTTCGAGGCGAGTAGCTGGTTAAATGATTGACATGAGTACACGTAATTTTGGAATTAAGTGTTAAAACTTATTTGAAAGTGATGAAAGTTTGAAATCTATTAGAGGGAATCAACGATAACTTTTACTCAAAGAAAAATGGTTCATCAAAGTTTACTCGAACTTTTTTTCGAATAATTTTTCTTTTGTCTTTCAGTATTTAGCCTCAGTTAGACACCACATATCGTCTCACATCCCCTACTATTTTCCTCTTCGCTCGCTGTCAGTTTGTGATCGCAATTTGATCTCGAATTCATTTTTATAATTCGTAACCAAATATTACAATAAACTTGTAACTTTTCATTTCGTTTCATTCACGCCATCTATTGGGGGAAAACATAAAGATCTGTTTTGAAGAAAGTTCAACATTTACGCCGATAGATGTCACTACAAAAGTGTCTTTCTTTTCTCATCCAATTCTCTGTCGGCATTTGTCTCTTAGATTTTCTCTGTCTTTTCTTAGCCAAAAGGGGCTGATTAATAATCATCGTTAGCCGAATAATCAGCTGATAGTCGCATCTTTATCTCAGCGACTAACATTTAAATCGATAAAGTTGATGTAAGAGAAAGCAAAAAAAAGAGAAAGAGAATTAAATTCGAAAGAGAGAAAGAAAGAGAAATTCAAATTCTATTCTGAGCCGATTTTCGGTCGACTGATTTACTTTTTCGGCTAAGCGACGGTCTCTAGATTTATTATTATTTTTGATTCTCTCTCATTCAGTTAAAGTGAATTAATTTTGTTCCTCTGATTTTTGTTTAGATTAATTTACCTTTACAATTACGATTGTTTTAATCGTTGGTATTTTTTTTGTGTAGTTTAATGATTGACACTCGTAATTGAATCTAATTTGGGTTCTCATTCTGGTTCATCAATTTACTTTATCATCAAATTAGAAAAAAAAGTAAGTGTCTCTTTCTCTCTCATCTCGTTACAATGATTTTCTTTTTCTCTCATAATTTTATTCTCTTCCGAATAATTTATTTTCTAATCCTGTTGATGTTTTCTTTTAATCTAATTAACTTTCTCTCGTCTTTCTTTCGCCTTTGATTGATTTTCTTGCGGTAAAAAGAAAATAACTGACAAATTCATCGGTGACTTATTAATTTCTCCATGTTACTCCTTTTTGTTATCATTTTCTATTCTCAGAACAACAAAATATATTCTAATGTTGTTTTCTTCATTTGCTTTTCTATACTGTTGTTACTCTTTTCCTTTAGCTTTTGTTCAATTAATCCACATCCAGTTTCGTTCATTAGTTGTAATTCAATTCTAATAAATGTTTATCTCTTTTTTTTATTTACAGTGAGTGGAGCTCTTTATAATGATGATCACATTATTGACACCGATGATAATAAAGATGACCCATATGATTTAAGCCTGACTTTGGAAGACACTGAAGATGATTACAATATTGAAGATATTTCGAAAGATCAAGTCAAAGATATACTAACTGATGGTAATAGATTTTTGTTAGAAGATGAACCAATCGAATCAACAAGCTCCCAGATAAACATAATTGACAGACGTGTCAACGACAAAATTAGGTATAATTGACATTTAAATCTAACCCTTTTCATTGATACATAGTAACTTATTCTTAACTTTCCGTTCATTTGCACTGGAAATGTTTACATGTTCTTTTTGTATAATCAGTAGTGTCTGGTTTCTTTTAGCATTCTTCATGTTTCATTAACTGTGTTTTCTCTCTCTCTCTCTCATTCTCTCTCATTCTCTCTCTCTTTCTCTATCTGTGAATATAAACCAATCATTAAAGTGGTAAAGGTAAATCCAATGACATCAATACAGAGATTGGTCCTCCAAGTCCATTGATTGATATTCGACCAACAGCATACCCTGAGCCCGAATTTTGGTGTTCAGTTGCATATTATGAATTGAAGAATAGGGTTGGCGAAACATTTCACGCATCTCAACCCTCGTTAACGGTAGATGGATTTACTGATCCATCAAGTTCGGAGAGATTTTGTTTAGGTCTACTTTCAAATGTTAATCGAACTGCTTTAGTTGAGCAAACTCGAAGACATATTGGTAAGTAGTAGAAAGAGACAAAATAACTCTTTCCTCTTAAAACTCTATCAACTTTACCAACATTTATATCTATCTAATATATTATTTTATACATATACATATATGTGTGCGTAAAAGGGTTATCTTATATTGATTCACGTTCTGACATTTACTGTCATCACTGTCATCATCCCTTTTATTCTGATTACTATTTTGTTTCTCTTTTCTCTCTCTCTCTCTCTTATTGTTATTGTAATTTCTTTTTTTTTCTTCTCTTCCTATTATTGCTCTCTAATTACAGGCCGGGGCGTCAGATTGTATTATATTGGAGGTGACGTTTATGCCGAGTGTTTGAGTGAATGCAGCATTTTCGTCCAAAGTCCCGATTGCAATCGTATGTACGGCTGGCATCCGGCTACGGTTTGCAAAATACCTCCTCGTAAGTTTATCAATTAACTAATTGCATTTGTCATCATAAATTTCTCATGAAAGGATTACAACCTTAATCTCTCTCTCTCTCTCTCTCTCTCTCTCTCTCTCTAAAGGGGGTGATTAACATTGATATTATCTTAAATACTATAAAATTGAAACAAAAAAACAACTTTTACTTTTATTAGTTTATTAGAATTAGTTTTTACTATTTTACCGGCTTTTTTTTTCTTCCTACACTATTATCTTCCTCTTTCTTTTTCTTACAAATAATATTATTTCCAATTCATCTGATCAGTTCATTGATATTTAGATAAAACATTTTCTTTCGTCATAATCTTAATGATGATAGTATTTTTACTAATAACACCCGATGACGACTTTGATTGTTGAGAAGCAAAGAAAAAAGGATGATAATTATGAGCCTACGTAGGATTTGCAATTTCTTATACATTGTTTCAGTGTTTTCTGGAACTTTTTCTTCTTCTCAATTAATTCCTTTAATAATTTCTCACTCTCTCTCTCTCTCTATCTTTCTCTCTCTCTCTCTCTTCGATAAATCATACCAAGCATTTTAGCCTCTTCTTTTCAATTTTATTATTCTGTCTACATCTTTGGCATTTGATAATTGAATCATTGTTGGCGTTTTTGAATGTGTGTGAGTGTGAATGTGTATGTTTTTTGTTTTTGTTGTTTTTTTTTGTTTTCATCTCATTGACGTACATATATGAGGCTCCTTCTCAATATAAAATTAACTTTCGTGTGATTATTGCCTGTCTGTTAGATTTTTACTTGTTTTTCGTTCTATTGAATGAGAACAATAATTATTTGATGAGAGGCATGAAGCATAAGGGAAGAGGAGAGGAGAGGAGAGAGAGAGAGAGAAATTTGAGTGAGGAGTGTGAAAGGGATTTATGATGATAGGCACAGCAACAAGCATCAATGTCAATGCATCCCAGAGATGATGATGATAAAGGAAGAGAAGAGAAGAAGAAGAAGAAGAAGAAGAAAGAAGCATGTCCTCTTCTATTTCATTAAAAGAGAAGAAAAATTTTCTCCAAAGTTTGGCAAATAATAATTAATCTCTGAATTTCATACCACATACTCATGTCATTTACACATTCTGATGCTCTCAAACTGTTATCATTTTATCTCAACTTATTCATCTTTTTGATTTTTATCCATTTCATTCAGGTTGCAATTTAAAAATTTTCAAAAACTCAGATTTTGCTGATTTAGTCTCTCAATCGGCAACCCAAGGTTTCGAGGCTGTTTTCGCACTCACCAGGATGTGTACCATTCGTATAAGTTTTGTTAAAGGCTGGGGTGCAGAGTATAGACGGCAAACAGTGACCTGTACACCCTGTTGGATAGAATTACATTTAAATGGACCATTACAATGGTTGGACCGAGTTCTAATGCAAATGGGTGCACCTCGAGTTCCATGCAGTTCAATGTCTTGAGCATTTACTTTCTTTCCTTTTCTCTCTTTCATCTCCCTTAATATTTTTTCTTCTTCTTCTTCTTCTTCTACCTCTTTCTCCCACTCCTTGCTCTCTACTTTTCGCATCAATCTACTACTCTATGTTTTACTTTCTTTCTCCCTTTTTCTCTCTTTTCTAATCTCACTCACATTCACTTTTATTCTATTTCACCCTCTCTCCCCTTTCGTTCTATTACATCTCTGTTATGTCTTCAATCCCTTCATCTTATCTAATTTGTCTATTTTTTCTTTGCATCTTCTCCTTCGATGATAATATTTGGTTTCTCTCTCACATACTCCCCTCTCTCTCTCTCTCTCCTTCTTCCTTCCTCTCTCTCTCTCCCTCCTTCTCTCTTACAAAAATTACACAAACACACATGAAACAACAACTACACAAAAATTAATATCGAGTATACATAATATTGAATATATACTTTGACGCAAGTGGAATGACAGCCCAATCAAAAAATACCAATTGTGAAACAAATGATGGTAAATCCATTTCTCTTCAATCCATCAACCTATGGTTCTCATCATTGATTAATTTAGTTAATTCATTTTTTGTCCCATCGATGTTATATATATACACCAACACACACTTATATATATACCAATCGTTAAAAACTAATTAAAAACAACAAAAAACAAACCACAGTTAAAAATAAAATGAACATAAAATTAATTCCAACTGATTATCAATAATTTCATGACAATTTTATTTCTGTTTTTTTTACAACTTTGATCATGAATAAGTTTTTTTTTTGTTATTCTAAATATTATTGTTGTTCATTTTGATTCATTGATTAGCAGATTTGTAAATATTTTCGCCGACAATTTGTTGACAATCATGTTAATTGTTAGAGAGAGGATGATTGATGGTCTTTTAATACAATAATTATTACGATGATGACAAGTTTGTAATGGTGATGATAATACAATTTAAAATAAAAGGAGAGAATTGACAAAAAAAAAGAGTTGACTTAATGATTAATTAAATTTCAGAGCTGGTTAATTAAACACAAGAGTGAAGAGTTGAAGTTAATCCAGTTTCAGTTGATTCCAATTACAATGATTAAGGTGATGGAAAGATGTTAATGATGAACAGATTATGATAATGATAATCCATTGATATCTTTGTTGATTAAGATGATGTTGATTACAATTAAATAATATTTCGCTTGATTAATTAGTTTTGATACCAGCAATTAACAAAACTCTTGTTTCTCAAAAGCTGATAAACTCCAAGTTGATTATCAGCTTTGAAAAAATAATTGTTGATTTAATTTCCCTGAAATTGAAGTTTTCTGGAATAAAATGAATATAATAATAATAAAATTAAGGTGACAATTGAAAAGTAACAGTTAATTGATTGATTGTTGAGGTGAAGAGGTAGAAAAGGTTAATCGTAATTAAAAAGCAAATTTGATATCACATATTCAATCAATTGAGATTTAAATTGAAATAACATAAACAAATCAAGGGAATGAGTTGATAGGAGTTTAGATAATTGTAATTAACAGTTAATCATTATGATGATTAATGACAATATCATTTTGTTTCTTTTCATAACTGGACAATAACTGGACACTGGGAGAGGTCAGGGGTTGATGCATGAGTGGGTGGCAAGGCGGAAGTGACATGATAACAATTTACCGTAATTTTAAATATCTTTTTTTTTTCATTTACAATTTAACAAGAATACAAATTGTTTACAATTTACAGAAAGATATAAATTCATTGATTGATTGAAAATTGTAATGAACGGGGTAAATTATGAGTAATCAGTTAATTGTTGATTATAAAAGTTGTGCTAATTATTTTTATCATCTTATTGTTTGTTTGTTTACTATTAATAGGAAAACAAACTGTTGAGCTTTTGATTGCTTGGTGATTAACTAATTACTAGAATAACAATTATATTGATTATGGTTGTAATGATAATAGTAAGATGATAAAAATAGCAAGACACAATTAATTAATTGTTTCTATTTAAAGGCAACAAAATCAAGTTGATTGAGAAGATGAATTAAAATTGATTTTAAATTGTGAGAAAATTGTTTTTTGTTTCAAATCAAAGTTAATTAAAAGTTTAAACTGGACAAAGACACATTAAGGGAAATTATTTAAATCAAGTTAATCAACTTAATTAACATGATTAGTTAAATGATAATGTGAAGGACAAATAGATGACCAGTGGGTAAAAATTCAATTAATTATGATTAATTGATTGTGATTAATTAATAGAAATTAAAAAATATAATATTCAAAGTACAAAATGATGTTGATGATGATATTAATATGAGAGTCTAAATGTAAAGTGATTAGTGATTCATGTTAATTATTTAAAGGTAAATAGGTTTACGCACTAGGATTTACAATTAAATTCTCAAGGACGTTGATTAAATTGTAAAGAAAAGGCAAACTTGAATTGATTGGTAATCAAAAGAAATGATTAACAACAATTAAGGTTGGAAAAAAAGTTTTTGTTTCTTTTTTTCTGTCAAAAAAAAAAGTTTTTTTCTTCAGGCATAGTTAAGGTATTATATCTGCTTATCAGAATTTGTATTTACAGGTAAAAGGGATGATGGATTCTCATCCTCATCCATAAATCCTCCTCTTCATCATCATTAATACCATTAGGGAGAGAGAGAGAGAGAGATGAAGAGATTGTTCATCATTGATGCTAACATAACATTCAAGTGTTAGATTTTTGAATTGATCTTTGTCTTTACCTTGTTTTGTCTGGAAAGATGAAAGATGATGAGGATGAAGATGAAGATGAGGATGAGGATGAGGATGATGAGGTAGAGAGACAGATGAAAACTAACACATTTTCACTTTACTTTTGATTGAGGATTTTGATAATTGTTACTCAACATGTTTACTTAGTCTGGCCAGAGATCGAGATTAACATCAATGGTAAATGTGCTTACTTTGTTGATCAGCAATTAATTGTTGATTCACAATTATCATTCATATTGATTCAGTTTAACTAACAGATGAAAAAAAATAAATTACTTAAAGTTACGGTAATTTGATCAGGGTGATGGAGGAAGAGGAGGAAACAATCAAAAGTTAAATATTAATATAAATTAAACTATTGTGAGAAAAGCAAATGGATTAATAAAGTTAAACATAATCTATCAAATATTGACGATTAACCAATGAGTTGATCTTACAGATTATTGTTGTTCAAGTAGCTAACTGTTAATTCACCTCATTTTATGCTGATCAAGTTAATTAATTAATCTATTGATTAGAATAGAGAGAAAATTTTTTAATTGTTGTGTTTTCAAAGTGTGAATATATGAAAACAATGTTTATAGTTAAACAGGTAAATTGAGGCAATATTGATTGCTTGAATCAACTTTTACGAGTTAGAAATTAGATTTAACGTCAATGGGAAAATAATTAACTTGATTTCTTGGTTAATGATAAAATAAAGTAACAAAATAGTGATAATTATAGTAATAGTAAGAAAAAATAATATTGATGATTAAGTATTAATCATAATAAATAATAAGTTAATGGGTAATAACGACAATTTCAAGATCAACAACCTTAATTGTAATATAAATAAATAACAAAGTAACCTGATAATCGAGCAAATCTAATGGCCATGAATTAAATTACTAAGCAACAAGTAATTGATATTATGATTACAATTAGTGTAATTATAATTTCAAGTATTGGTAATTAGTAAATCTAATTGTAATTAGAAAACAAATATAACAATCAAAATTACGATTTAAATGAGATCAATGAGATTAAAATCTATAAGGGCACAAAATTAGATGAACTAATTTAAAATTGATACAATCAAGCAAATTGTTTCAAGTCAATTGATAACAATCAAGCAGATCACATAAAATTGAACTGAACACTAAATTGAATAAACAATTATCTCATATTGTCCAATTTGTACTAGAAAGAGAGAGAGAGAGATGGAGAGATGGAGAGATGGAGAGATGGAGAGATGGAGAGATGAAGGTGGTGATGATGATAAAAGATGAGGAAGACAGACAAAAAAGAAGATGAAATGAGATAAATGTCTGAAAGAAAAATAAAAAATAAAAACATTGAAAAAGATTTATGAGTTTTTTCAGCATCAGATGAAATTGGAAGATGATCCCAGAGAAGGCAGGAAGATACGGATGAAGAGGAAGATGATGATCGGAGAGAGAGAGAGAGAGAGAGAGAGAGAGAGAGAGAAAGGCCTAATAATAAAATCGAATGTTTTTTTGCCAAAAAATAAAAGAGAGATTATTAACTTCTAAAGAGGATGAAGAGTAAGATGAAGATGATAAAAAGGAAAAGGTTAATCTTTTGTTTTTTACCATAAGGTTACAAACTCCAATGTGAAAGGTAAATTAAGATAACTGTTAATGAACAAGAATCAAAATTAGCTAATTAATGAGAAAAGAAGTAAAAAAATTTTCTCTTCGCTATTAGGATAGTGTGTGTGTTTACATTTAGTCTATTGCGATAAATTTACAAGATATATTTATGTGACTAGACTGTGATTAATTTGATTAGTTAGTAGATAATTATAGTTAATATAGAAACTGTAGGAAAAAAAAAATTAAGATTATGAAAATAAATAACGTTAAGTTGATTGGCACTTGAGTGTAAAGTGAAGATGAAAAAATAATCGAGTGAGAATTCATCTTTTTTTTTCACATTGGAGTCTTGTCCTGATAGTAAATATTTACAACTTGATATCACCTCCATGATACTTTTGTCTTATAAAGATAGAAAAAGATAGAAAAAGAAAGAGGATTATAAAAATATCACAGTCAGGTAATAGAAAATCAGTAATAACAATAGTTATGAATGGAAGACAGGTAGAAAGAGAGATATGATGAGTGAATAAGAGAAGGATAAAGATGAAGATTGTGTTTGACACATTGATTTATCTTCATTTCTTATATGTACAGTATCTTGCACAAAAAGTGACAGTAAACTTTGCTAACTTTGCATTGGGATTTCCGGTCAATTATTAACGGAAATGATTTGGAATTTTTAGAGATAAGATAAAATACCATAGAAATTGAATATATATCAAAAAATCAGAGAAAATTAACCCATTTTCAGTAGTAATTAGCTTTCAATCAGTTCAATCATGTCATCGTTCGCTCAGAAAAGACAACAAGTTAGTTTCATGCTTCGAAATGTGACCAAAAATGTGAAAAAAATCGCCGATCAGTTAAATTAAAGTTCCAAGTTCAGTCTTCGACTCATAATATTGATCTTATTTACTGTCACTTTTTGTGCAAGATACTGTATGAGATTTTAGAGGTAAAAGAAGATGATCTAAATTTAAGAATCGAGGTAAATAGAGAAAGAGGTGTGTGTGTGAGAGAGATGATAAGGATAATAATAGTATTTGTTGTAGGTGGTGTAAGAGGTAGTAATGGAAAGTTGTCCCACAATTAGGGAAGTGGGACATTTGGGGATAAATTGCTTCGGGCATAATAGTCGAGAATAAATTGACTAGAAATGATTTTAGAAAGAAAAAAAAAATGAATAAGAGACTAGTATGATTACCATAAGAGAGAAACCTGAATGACACAAAGATCTACTAAATGTCTCTGGTATCGTGATTGAAATTGCCGTGCATGTTGAGATGATTTGAAGGTGACAATTGCCTTTTTCTCTGCATTTGTAACATCGATGACACAATTTTCAATTGGACCCACGGAGGTGCACAGTTTCGTTAGAGTGGCTTTCGTTGTGGTTTGAGCTAATCCTTTGATTTCCACTTTTCTAACATCTGAAGGTAATTGTGATTTGGTTTCGATTGTTGTAACTGATTCTTCCGTTTTCCTTTTTAAAGGTGATTGTGTCAACCTTTTTTCATTCATTGTTTGGATATCACGAGAAGGAGATGCTCGTTCAATTAAAGTAGTTGCTAATGTTGTCCGTCGAAGTTGTTGGCCGGTTGTTAGGGTTGAATTCGTTGATTGTGTTGATGTTGGTGTAGATGATGAAATTGTTGTCGACGTTGTGGTTGATGTTTGCCTCATTTTATCGGCTACCATTTGTTTCCTTCTTTCTTCCTTTTTTCGAATTATTTCTTCACGAAGTCTTTTCTGTTCTTCGAGTTTCTTTTTATATTCATCATCAATATCTAAATCTAAAGCCATTGGTTGGTGTTCATCTTTGTTTTGCTCATTTGTGTCTTCCGATTGTTGATCTGGTGTTGTAGAAGTGATTAAATCGACAACCTCAACTTGTTTAACTGAACTTGTTGCATTTCGTGCTTTCATATTTTCTTTTTGTAAAAGTCGACGAGCTGCTTTCATTTTGAGAAGGGCCGCTTTTCTTGCTTCCGTCATGGTCGCTGTTGATGGTATAGTTGACGGTGTATTTGAGGGAACCGTTTTAATGGGACGAATGTTTTTAAGGTTAACATTGGATGTTGAAGGTCGAGGAGCTCGTTGACCAGGTGAAGAGGTAACTTTATTAATCGATTGTGGTGATGAAGTCGAATCTGGTCCTTTAAACTGGTTGGTGTTTCTTGAAGAGTGTCCAAGGTTTTGTTTGTGGGTTGAAGTGGAAGCAACCGGATTAAGGTTGTTCTGTCTTTTACTATCTTGATGAGTTGATAATCGAGTATTAGATTGGGGCCGTTTTTGACCCTGGCTAACTCCAATTGGTGCGTTCATGGGATATCTGAGAGGCATTTGTATTTGATGCCTTTGAACATTATGAGGGACAGGATGGGGTGTTGATTCAAGTCGAGGAGGCGCTCGTCCTCTAGGAATATCCATAGGTTGTCGGATGAATGGAAAATTAGGTTGATTGAAGAAAGTTAAATGCGGTAGACGATTGTGCATGTTATGTGGATGCCTCGGTGGATTACCAAATAATGAGTTATTCATTTGCATTCCACGTTGAAAAGAGCCTAATAAAGGAGCTCTGAGATTAGATTCGGAATTAAAAATACCAGGAATACGTTGAAAATTTCCCATCGAAGATGATGCTCGATTAGGATGTTGCATCCAAGGTCCATGATTTGGAATACCACTTTGGTTAGGTGACCAGTTATCGACAAAAGGTTCGTTAAAAAGTGGAGGTCGAGGATTATTGTGATTATTTGGTATAAATCGATGATTTGAAGGCTGATCTTCTACTTCATAATCTAAAGATTGGGAAGCTATGAGAGCTTCAATCTGATCATTGGACATCATTTGATTAACATGAAATCCCGATGAATGCATATCCTCAAAAGTTGAAACATGACGAGGACCAAATTGTCTTGGTAACCCCATAAGTCTAGGTGGATGTAACCCTCCTCCTCCACCACCACCACGAGGCCGAATATGTCGGAAATTGTTTGCCTCCATTGGATTACCTAAACGTTGACCTTGTGCCGCAAGATGCTTGAAATTGGGATTAACATGGATTCTATTAAACGATTGAAGAGGAGTCGGTAAAAGTCCCATGGACGATATACTATTATTTCCAATGAAAGGTCGAGCATTTGGAACCATAAAATTTCTACCCTTTCCTCTTTGAGAATGATAATTATTATTATTAGCAACATTTCCTCTCACTGGTTGTTTATTGGTACCATTAGATGGATCCTTTGAATCCAAAACAACGGCTTCCAATGTTTCTGGAATATCTTTTTCCTCCAATTTTTTATCCACATTTCTAATTACTCTTTCACTTTTAAACTTTGAATGCCTTCGATCATCAAGTTCACTTTCCTCTTCGTCGTCTTCATCATCACAGTCAATCGTAATTAAATTACCAGTATTTCGGTACGACTTTGAGTCATTAGTTTTACCCTTAACACTGGAAAAAGAAAAAAAATTAACAACAAACGATTAGTACACAATTTTTAAGTATGGAAAGTGAAAAGAACCACATTCAAAGAGACACATTAAGAATTCAATTGAATAACATGGTTAAGATCATAAATCTATAATTATTACCTAGATTTGTCATTATTATTGACACGTCTATCAATAATGTTTATCTGAGAACTGGTTGATTCAGTTGGTTCATCTTCATCCAATAAGAATCTATTTTCTTCATCAGCTAATAACTCTTTCACTTGATCTTCAGTAATATCTTCAATATTGAAATCATCTTCTGTGTCTTCCAAAGTCAGGCTTAAATCATATGGATCATCTTTATCATCGATACCAATCATGTGCTCCTCAGAATATGATGTCCCACTCACTGATTGAAAGAAAAGATAAAAAAAAGTATGCCAATAAATTAGAAAAGAGAAAATTGTTCAGTATAGAAAAGAAAACAACATTGAGTATATTTGTTGTTTTGAGAATAGAAAATATAAGATAACAAAAAGGAGTAACATGAACAAGTTAATAAGTCACCGATAAATTTGTCAGTTGTTTTCTTTTTTCACAAAAAAATCAACCAAAGGTGAAAGAAATGAGAGAGATAGTTAATTGTTTAATTAAATTAAAAGAAAACATCAAAAGGAATAGAAAATAAATTTTTCGGAAGAAAAAAATCAGAAAAAGAGAATCATTGTAACGAGATGAGAGAGAAAGAGACACTTACTTGTTTTCTAATTTGATGATAAAGTAAATTGATGAACCAGAATGAGAACCCAAATTAGACTCAATTACGAGTGTCAATCATTAAATTATTCAAAAAATACAACGATTAAAACAATCGTAATTGTAAAGGTAAATTAATATAAACAAAAATCTGGAACTTGAATTAGTTTGTTACTAAACATTTTCTGTCTCCTTATGAATGAAATCATTTGGCTAGGGGAGAGATTCGAATGGCGCTTCTTTCAAATCCACTAAAGTTCCAAGTCGTGAATCGTTTTAATAGATCAGAAAATTTTTATTATTTTTATGGTTTACAAAGAAAATATGATAAAATAATTGTGGTACATGTGAATTTTAATTAATTTAACTGAGGAATCATAGAAGAGAATTGGCTATTATGGTTATTGTTGTTTATTTGATGAAACAATTTCTTCAATTTTCTTGTTCAAATCGTTGATACTCTTCGAGTTGCGAACTTTTTCCCCGATTTTCGATAGTTTTTCGGCTAATTGTTTATCTTCAATCAATTCATCTATTGCAGTTAAAAGCTCTTCTTCTGTGACCCAATGAGGTCTGAATGACCTTCCAATCTTTAGATCCTCGACTCTTCGTCCATTATCATGTTGATCTCCAAACAAAGGTAATACAATACAAGGTTTACCAAAGTAGATCGTCTCAACGAAAGAATTGTTTCCTCCATGGTGAATAACTAAATCTACTTTGGGTAAAATTGCCATTTGGTTGACATATTTTCCACCAACCATATTCTCAGCTAATTCATATTTATCATGATAAAGTCCTTTCGAGATGATGAATTGATGTTTACTTTTACTACAAATGGATACAAGTCTTTTCATCAATTGAACATCAACCGATCCCATTGATCCCAATGAAAGAAAAACTTTCTTTCCTGGTCGATCGAAAAACGATTCATCGAATCCAAGTGGACCTTCCTCAACTTTACGAACCATATGATCAAGACGAAAACATTTATCAGGAACTGAACCAAACTCGAAATAATCAAGATCCGATGGAAATGAATACAAATTAAGATAAGGTGATAATCTGACCATTTTAAACGGATCGGGCTTAACTTCCTTTGAAATTAACCATTTATCGAAATCGGACTTTGTATCTTTCATCACATCCATCATAAGTATTTTCATCTCTGTGTTCAAACCAGGGTCAGTGTCGGGACTAAGTCCTAATCGAGCAATTGGTATATTTGGACCTTCATAAAGTCGAAGAGGATTACACGACGATAATAGCAGCCAAGGTCGACCGGATTTAATTACTGCAGGAACTGTTACATAAAAGTCCAAGATGATTAGGTCAGGATTTGATTTCTCGAAGACACTGGCCAGCTGATCATCGATTATCATTACATACTCGATAAAAGCTCGAGTAGCAGGTTCGATCAGTGTTTTTAATTGATCTTTCGGTTCTTTGCCAAAAGCATCAGCATGTTGTCCCATGAACGATCCCCACTTTTCTTGAAGATCTTGATCTTCAGGTACCGATGGGTCATCAAGTATTTCGATATCGAATTTATATTTCTCGATTGATGGAGACCATCGCTTAGGAACACCAAAGACAATTTGATGACCAAAATCTTGAAGCATTCGAGCTAATCCAATACACGAATTAACGTGACCATGACTTGAAAAAAAAACAGAAAAGAAAATCAATCAAGATTAATTAGAGAAATTCAATTCATCAGAATTGCAATACTCACCCGTCCATTGGAAGGAAAAAAACTTTCATGATCTCAAATCAGATTATATTATTAATTAAAATAATCAATGATCTTAAGTTATTAATGAATTTTGCAAGTACAGTCTTTACTCAAAATCATCTCTCTGCTAATTTGATTTACTTTTCAAAACAAACACTTCTCAACTGTCTAATCAATCGGATGATTTACTATCGTTTAATAATCAAAGTTAAATAATCATAAGATAATTATACTTAATGCAACACTCAAGTGTCGTGAAGCACTATTGGCGCAACGATTTAAACGCTGCTAAACTAATATAAGAAAAGATATGCGAGGGAACGAGGGTCGAAACGAATTTCACTAACATCGAAATTGTATCAAACTGCTCTGGACCTCGTCCCTTTTACTTTCACACGAACTTATCACCCTGTACAGTTCCTCATAAAGGAGTCATGATAGCTTTTCGAAATCATCTCTTAGCTGTCGCCATCCGACAGCAAGAATAAGACTCTAGAGCAAGAACTTTATCTGCCAATTCAGCAGCATAAAAAATAAGTTCATTTAAAGTTTTTGGGTTCTGTGATGTGATAACGAATTTGATCTGAGGCAAAAATCGTTCTTAAATGAAACTAATAATCAAATTTTCGGGCATTTTATTTTTCATTCCGAAGCAAACTTCCTGAATTTCATAGATAAATAACAGTTTAAAAGTTAACATTGAGAGAGAAGACAATCGATTCATGATTTGTTGATAGCCACAAGATGATCAATAGAGTCTAGTTGATGCATATTCATAATCAAAAGTTGCACTAGAAAAGTCGATTGTTTTGTTGTTGTCTAGGAGTTATTGTGGTTTATTTGATGAAACAATTTCTTCAATTTTCTTGTTCAAATCGTTGATACTCTTCGAGTTGCGAACTTTTTCCCCGATTTTCGATAGTTTTTCGGCTAATTGTTTATCTTCAATCAATTCATCTATTGCAGTTAAGAGCTCTTCTTCTGTGACCCAATGAGGTCTGAATGACCTTCCAATCTTTAGATCTTCGACTCTTCGTCCATTATCATGTTGATCGTTGAATAAAGGCAATACAATACAAGGTTTACCAAAGTAGATCGTCTCAACAAAAGAATTGTTTCCTCCATGGTGAATAACTAAATCTACTTTGGGTAAAATTGCCATTTGGTTGACATATTTTCCACCAACCATATTCTCAGCTAATTCATATTTATCATGATAAAGTCCTTTCGAGATGATGAATTGATGTTTACTTTTACTACAAATGGATACAAGTCTTTTCATTAATTGAACATCAACCGATCCCATTGATCCTAATGAAAGAAAAACTTTCTTTCCTGGTCGATCGAAAAACGATTCATCGAATCCAAGTGGACCTTCCTCAACTTTACGAACCATATGATCAAGACGAAAACATTTATCAGGAACTGAACCAAACTCGAAATAATCAAGATCCGATGGAAATGAATACAAGTTAAGAAAAGGTGATAATCTCAATATGGTAAATAGATCGGGCTCAACCTCCTTTGAAATTAACCATTTATCGAAATCAGACTTAACCTCTTTCATAGCATTCATCATAAGCATTTGCATTTGCATGGTCACAGAGGGATCAGTGTCCACACTTAGACCTAATCCAGCCATCGGTGTCTTTGGACCTTCGTAAAGTCGAAGAGGATTACACGAGAATAGTAACATCCAAGGTCGGCCCGATTTAACTACAGCAGGGACTGTAACCATAAAGTCCAATATGATTAGGTCAGGATTTGATTTCTCGAAAACACTGGCCAGCTGATCATCGATTATCTTTACACACTCGATAAAAGCTCGAGTAACAGGCTTAATAAATGCACTTAATTGATCTTTTGGTCCCTTACTAAGCGAATCAGCGTGCTCTCCTATGAACGATCCCCACTTTTCTTGAAGATCTTGATCTTCAGGTACCGATGGGTCATCAAGTATTTCGATATCGAATTTGTATTTCTCGATTGATGGAGACCATCGCTTAGGAACACCAAAACAATTTGATGACCAAAATCTTGAAGCATTCGAGCTAATCCAATACACGAATTAACGTGACCATGACTTGAAAAAAAAGAGATTCGGTCAAATTCAGTGCGAAAAATTCAATTCATCAAAGTTATAATACTCACGCATCCATTGGAAGGAAAAAAATCTTCATGGTGATAAATATCAATGAATTTTATTTCTCACTGACAAGTAAAAGTCTAATATTAACAAGGATAATTCAAGACAATTAACGTTATTGTCACTGAATTTTTCCAAGAGAACATTTTATTCATCTTAATTTCTCTGGCAATTTACAATTCGACAGTTATTAGTTTACTCTTCCAATGATTACCAAGATGAAAACGCCTTCAAATCGTACCATAAGTTCAATCATCTGATTAACTATTGCTCAAGAGATAATTATACTATAAGAGATAATTATAATACTACTCAAGAAAAAACCATCAGGTACTTTACAGTTCTCATCGAAAGTTTAAGAACAACAATCAGTTGATTGTGATAACTTTTCTCTGGTGAAATAATCAAGAAGAGTATTATAATATTAGATTAGCGAAGAAAAAGAAAATCAATCAAAGTCAATCAGATCGATGGAAAATGGAAAGTAATTAAAAACAAGAATTAAAGTTAATTTAGTTAAATGAAAGAAACGAAATTCTAAAATGAGAGAAATTGATTAACAACAATTAATCTTTCCAAGGGAAGACTATTATTACTTCTTGATTAATCAACTAGTCCTCTTAATTGTCAGAGATAATTATATTTCTTATGATCTGTAGCTTAAGATAACTTAATTAGTCATTTATATTGCACGATAATAAAGTTGTTACTGTGATAATGGTGGCAATCTAATCAATTGTTCAATCAACGAGAGGAATATATTATTAATTGTTAATCGAGGTTCGATTTTAGTTTATTTTAAATAGAATTGTTCTTACCAATATTACACATGAATTCCTGTTGAGTTGTTCATTTAATGGTTGCAGGGGCAGGAAAATAGTTATTACATATTGAATTCTGTGAGTTACAAGTTGTTACAACTGATATTTATGATATTCATGTATTTATAGAACGATAAATGGCAACAATTAAGAATCATGGATTCCAAGAGATTCAGATTATCAAGATAGGCAGTGAGAAAGAGGAACCAGAAAGAGTTGAATCGGTGAATTAAAAGGATAAAAGTATAATAACAATTAAAATTAAACTAATCATGTTTTTCTCGTTCGATATTGTCAAATTTCTCGGTGTTAATTACTTTTTTTTTACTAATCAATAGATGGTAAAGAATATTTTTCTTTTAGAAAAAAAAAACATTTGAGAAATAGAGACTTTGATCATTTAAACGATCATCAACTTCGATATATTATCTTCATTAACCTGACCATCAATTATGTCGACAATTTGATAACAATTGACCATTTATACATATCCATCAGACGTAACTCATTGGAAATTGATTCTCATTTCCAATAATTTTGATAACTTTTTTTTCTCATCGCCTTAGTTGTTGTAGTTTCGTAGTTGTTTGTGTGTCCCCCTTTCCAATGTCCATTTAAAGTAAAAGCGTAAAATTTTGATCACTGTGTTTAAGGTCATAATCTAATTTAAAGGTAAGCATAAGATAAGATGAGTTGATCTTGTTGATCCTTTTCTTTTGATTAATGGTAATCCAAGTTAACAATATTATCGTCATTTTGAATGCGCAGGACTTTTGAGTACACTTTTACCAACAGCTTCCTCGAACTCAGCTTTTCCCCTTCTCTTTTCGTAGATACAAATGACTGAACATAGAATAACAACTTCGGCCACAATTCCCAGGAATGGCCATAAAGCGGCTAATTTATCCTTTACTCGTACATTAACTGTACTGTTTGCTTTAATTTGACCATTCGATGCTTCGCAAATGTATTGAGCTCGATCGGTAAATTTAAGATCCTCCAAAGAAATGATTGACTTTCTGCTTACATATGATACACTTGAATCTTCACCATTGGTAATATTTAGATTTGTTAACATTTCTTCATCTCCATTAGGAAATTTACGATACCAAGCAAAGTTAATTTCGTCGTCTTTAAATGCTGCTCGAAGTAAAACTTCACAAACTAGATGCAAATCATCATCTTGAATGACATTGAATGAGTCCATGTCTTTGATATGATCAGCGGCTTTGAACGTTGCGAATTCAGGTTTTCCTAGAAGAGAACGTAAAATTAATTTTATCAATTTAACTGGGATTAGATTATTGTTGACAGATTAACTTACCTCTAACTCTGAAACTCTGAGTGTTTGTAGAGCTTGTTGAACAAGAGTAATCCCCTTCGTCAGAATTTTTCCTCGGATCTTCAATAGTCAGGGTACGATTATTGGCAGATAATTTGTATCTATTGTATTCATCACCTCGTATTAGCTGAGGTTTATCAAGTTCGACTAATTTGTACCTGATTAAGATAAAGAAAAAAAACCCCATTGATTAATAACAGCTAATTGTAATCCATGATTAAGAAAAAGTTACCATCTTATTTCATTTCCACGAAGTTCACAATCTAATTGCACAGAACCACCAATTTCGAGATCAATAAGTGGAGCTAATCTTTGCATAGTTACAGATTCTGAATGAATGAAAAAAAAAAGGAAAGAGTAAAATTCAATGAGATCATGTAAATCATGTAAATAAAAAGATTCAATTTGTAAATAGGTTATTGATGATAATTGATAACCTCAATTTTAACCCATAGAAACACCAACAGAAAAAAGTGTAAGATGAAAAATGTAAATCCATTTGATTGAAATTGTATTTTCTTTAAATGGGACACAATTAGCAGTGATAATGGTTATAGGGTTTAATTGCCCCTCGAATAAATCATTTCTTGAATCTGATCCAAATTACAAGAGATTAGTATAGATAATAAGGTCGACAGTAACCTTACAAGGATAATTAGATGAACAGAAATGAAATAGAAATACAATTTCAACAAAGGAATAGGATAATTGGGATTAGTAAATAAGAGATTAACTTACCTGCAATATGGATAAACAAGAGGTATGGTAATAACTTTAACATGTTAATTTAGTTTAAGGCTTTAACTTGTGAATTTATTGCGATTTAATTGGAGAAATTTAATTGTAAACAAAAAATTAAAGAAAAACAAATTAACCGATGAGAGTTGAAAGAGAGAAACAAATGAATAGAGTTCCCAGTTAGCCGAATTAGTGAGCGAGTCGAAAATTCCGGCTAAGCCTTTGAGAATTTTTCTATGGCTCAGTCGGTTCACTTTCTCTCATTTTTTTAGATTTTCTTTTTTCCTCCAAACTTGTCATCATCTAGTCGTAGTTGGAATGGACTTGACCTCTTCTCTCGGCTCAATCTTTTTGAACCGAAATTGAGAAACAAATAATTGTCTTAATTGTGGTAAGAAAATTTGTTCCCATTGATTTATTTGTAAATTCAATTGTTGTGACCAATTTGATTGTTTTTGTTTTTACAGAATTGATTGTTCATTTAATTGGTGGGGCAGGAAAATAATATTATTACATAATATTCAATTTGGAAGATTTAAACTTCTCTTCCAGGTCAATGAGGTAAGAAGACGAAAAAAAGTATCTAAAAACTTTTACTACATCGAAAGTGTAGTTGTCGTGATGGCGGTTCGATTGTTACGATCGAAGGGATTTCGTTTAAAGTTTTGAACAGATTGTTGTGTGCACATAACAAAGAGTGAAGATGAGGATGATGAGGATGATGGAGAAATTGATAGAGAAAGAGAAGATAATTGTCAATAAGATAGAAAAAGTTGACAATTGATCATTTTATCATTAGAGTTTCAGTTTGATCTGTCGATGGATAATTAAGTTAATGGTCTCCGTTTGTATCTATGATTTAGTTTAAATTATGATGGAGTTTAAATGTTCAAGAGATTAAATAATCTCAGGATGAGGATGAAAATTGACTCATCAATTTGGTGATTAGTTGATGATGAAGAGCAGGATAGAATTTAAGAAAAAAAAAGGAAATGGCAATCAGAAGATTAGATGATGATCATGATGAAGAGATGGAATCAAATGTAACAATCATTACATTTAAATTGAGGGAGTGGGAAGAGAGGAAGATTGTTGATTCTCTACCATGGATCATGATGATGACAATTATGTTAATGGAAAGAGAAACAACGATAATGATGATGATGGAAGAAAAATGTTGATGATGATGGTCATTGGTATGAATATAATTTATTCTCCTTCTTTAATTGCTCCTTGATTCTTTTCTGCTCTTTTCTACTATTATTATTATTATTCTTTCCATAATGATGATAATCAACGATTAGATTATAAGGCAAAAGACTTTTAAATGGTTCGCCCAAATCCAATTCATTTACTCGGAGAAAATATTGTTCTCTTCATTATCTCTGACTCTCCTTCTCCTCCTTCTTGACCATTTACTTTGTCCATTTACTGTATCATTATTATTCTCGAATTGAAGAGAAAATGTTTAATCGTTGAAATCCAAAGAAAAAAAGTTCTTCATCTGATCGTTAATCTAAATGATTCCAATTGTATCAATCCAATTCTTCTTGAGAAGTAAAAAACTTTCAGGGGAGAAAAATTGATTGATAAAAATCATCTTTCGTCTTCTCTTATGTACAAAATGTTCAAATTTCATCTTCTTTTTCCTCTTTGTTTTCCGAACATTTTATATAAGAACGATAATAATAATAATAATATGAATTCTTCTAAAGGCAATGTTGGACGAATCGGCTTGAAGTTGAACATTCTTTCGTTGATCGACTTGTCTTGTAATGAGCTTCGGCGATTGCAAGAGTTGCTTGATGGACTTTACGGTAAATTTTTTCACCCTCGAGGGTATGAAAGACGAACATTCCTTCACCAGTGGCACAATGTCTATAAATATATACCAGTAAAAGTGAACAATTAACAATCAAATTAGAATAGAATATTAACAAATAGAGGGAAAATATTGATTGAGAATCAATTGAGATCATATTACCTTCCAGCTTCGAAAGTAAATTTAGTTGGATCACTTCCATATCGACGAAGTGCCGTTAATGGCCAAGCAGCTAATTTAATCTTTGAATTGATCACATCCCATAGATAAATATGTTCATGGGTTACTTGAAGTAAACATTCACCGAAAGCATCTAATTTGGGTGTTGGCATAAGATAAACATGAAACTGTTCTTGTAGCTCTTTTTGTATTCCAGGACTCAGAATATCGGGTTCACCGGTCGCTAATCCCGGTTGTGGCACTAAACATTCCTGTGTTAACAATTTAACCCAAGTATCAGCTTCAAGATCTTAATAAAGAGAAAGATAAACAACAATTAATAAGATAATCATTTCAATTCACCGATAACATTAATCTAATTTAAGAAGGTGAGAGAGAGAGAGAGAGAAAGAAAATCGTAAAAACTAATCAATTGATGATCATTTTGTTGTAATAATATTGTTATATTATCAAACGATATTATCTTCATCATCATCATCATCATCATCATTATCAACAATCATCAACCGATTAAAAAAAGATGCGAACATGAAGAAGATAAAAAGATGATGAGGTTGGTAGAAAGGTAATCAAGTGTTTGAAGAGCCGGAGGTTAACATCATTATAAAGTTGAATGGTCAAGATGATGATGATGATGATGAAGGAAAACTAATAACATTTAGAGAAACGGAATAATTATTATTGATAGAAAAACCAACCTGATTCACAAGCAAACAATTTACAATTAATTGGATTGAAACTAATAGCAAATGAATGCTTCCGGTGGGTTATTGAGAGACGAGAAACATTTGATACATTGGTTAATATGATTGTTTTACATGAGCAATTGGTTCGAGCTGATTTTTCATCAAGAAATTTATCAATTCGACAAGGACCTTTGCTTGAAGCTCGTCTCAAGATAATCCAACGTTTCTGCCAAACACCAACAGTTTTAGACTTTAACTTGAGGTATCCTTGTTTGATTATATCACTTGTATCTGTGGCCATGGCAGTTAATGGCAGTCGAGTTGATTGTAATGATCGAGGTGGTGGTAAGTTCATTGGTTAACAATTAAAAAAATGGAAGCAAGAAAAGAAAAACAAATTAACCAGAAAACATGAGAAACAAAATAATAAACAAAAAGGTGAACAGTATTGATGATGGAGGAAAATGTTGTTGTTGTTGTTGTTGTGAAGGTTTCACAAAGAGATTAATGAGAAAACGATTTTAATCAAAGTAATTTGAAGGCACAGAAATTGTATTATTAGAGATGATGATTAAATAATAATAACACTATCCAATTGGTAGATTGTTGTTGATCTTGTTTTGTTACTCTGATTTGAGAGATGATGATGATGAAGATGAAGATGGAGAGAGATGAGGTTTGTTTTGTTTTGTTTTGTTTTGTTTGTTGATTTGATTTGAAATGTTGTTGAATTAATCACAGTCCATGATTACCATTGGGAGATAATTGTTTTCTTCTGGTAATAAGATGAAATTAAATTGTGATGATGATCGTTGACATTGAGGAGAAAAGATTATTCTCATTTTCTTTGGTGTTGGCTTTCTGTTTATCTTTCACTGTTTTAACATCCAAAGGTAAGAGAGAGAGATGAGGTTAATTTGAAGGCGAAGAAAAAAAAAGATGAAGAAAAAAAAACGTTGATGATACAAATTGATGGAAAAAGATGAAATTGAAAAGGGATAAGAAGTAAACAATATAATGAGATATTAATGACATGTAATTATTATTAAACCTAAAGAAGTTGATTGCAATGTGGTTAATCACAACACAGAAAAAGAGAGAGAGAGAGAGGTAAGGATGAGATGAAAAAGAAAAAAAGAAAGAAAAAGTTTGGGTGGAGTCAAGGGACTAAGCTAACAAAGTTGGAAAATGTTAGCCCGATAGTTGACAAGGCATCACGGGTGACGGGAAGAAAGAGGAGGGACGATAAGGGAGAAAGGGAGAGAGACACTAGAGAGAGATGATGATGATGGTGAAGATGAAGAAGACAAGAAGATCTGGAAAGAAGTTGAAACGATGATGATGAAGAAAACAGGGAGGACAAAAAAATAGTTTTTTTCTTTTTTTCTCTCTCTCTCTCTCTCTTTATTTTTCTCTCTTTTCGTCTTGAACACACACAGAAAATGAGAGAGAAAGCAAATCCAAGAGAAGCGGTCAAAAAGTCGAAATATTTTCTAACGCAAGTGACATTATCGTCCAACAAAAGAGACACTAAAAGAGAGAGAGAGAGAGAGAAAAGTCATCCAAGGTTAACCTATCAACATGTTGTTCCTTTGTTGATAATGTAGAAATTGAGATAAACCAAATAACCGTTGCGTTCACACACAGGGAGAAAAGAGATGAAGATAAGACACAATAAGATGATGATGCTGATGATGGTTAAGATGATAAAAGATGAAGAACCATGAGAATGATGAGAGATAAAAAGTTGAGAGAAAAACAAATCACAAGATTGGGCAAATTCGGTAAATCCAACGAACTTGGAAAATCCTTTTAATCCTTTGGTAGATAATCGGGATTAGGTGACGATTGTTATTCTCTAACAAAATTCTCAATAAAATCTGAGTGGTCACTCTTCAGGTAAAAAGAAAAACTTCTTCTTTGTAATGGCCGAGTTTTTAAAATAGTTTCCTTTCCTCTTCTGGTGCTTCAATTTTCTACCTCATCTTCATCTTCATCTCTCTCTCTCTCTCTCTCTCTCTCTCTCTCTCTCTCATTGGATCATCTTCTTTCTTACTACTGCTCATTTTTTCTCTTTCTTTAGGTTGTTGTAGAATTTTCTTCTTTTAGATTTTTTTCTACTCTTCTTCATCATCTTAAAGTCCGCCATTGAAACAACTATTGATGGTTTGATGTAATTTAATGGCCTCAGGGGCAACTATCGTTGAGAGAGAAGATGAGATGAGGGAGAAAAGAAAAGTTAGTGCACACCCGAACTTCATCTTTTTCTTCTTACCCAATAAAGAGAAGAGAGAGAAAAAAAACTGGTAAAGAGAAAGAAAGAAAGAGAAGGTCAAGTAAGAAAGAAAAGGTAAGAGAGACTCCGGGCCTTCTTTTCTCATCATCATCATCTTCTTCTTCTTCTTCTCCCATCATCATCTTTTAACTTCTTAAACTTTTTCTCTTCATCTTAACAGTTTTTTCTAACAAATAAACGAAATTTTCTTTCAATCAATTTTAATATTAAAATTCTAAATTTTCGCAATTGTTCCCTTCGTTCTTGTAATAGATTTTACCTTTCAATCCCATTAGACCATCAAATATCTCGAACTTATATTGTTCAATTGGTCATAGACAATTCGATGACCAAAACCAATAAAGATTCGAGTTAATCCAATACGCGAATTAACATGATCACGACAAGAGAGAAAAAAAGAGAAACAATAAAACTTAATCAGAGAAAAGTCAATCGATTAAAGTTGTAATACTTACGAATTCATCGAAGTCTTAAAATATCTAAGATAAATTCGATTTGAATCATCTACACGAATTTCGATATTCACAATTTTCTCCCGTTGACTTGGAATTTCGTTCGAAGAGCTTCGACTTCGAAAAATATCATCTCTTTCTTTGTATAAATAATAATCTCGAATTTATTTCGAAAAATGAACCTACAAGTATGACGAATCGACGAGAATCCAGTTTTTTGACCATTTCTATTCAGCTAAAGTGACAATACTCTATTTAGCTAATCGAAAAAGCCGAACAATAATAAACTTATCCAACTCTTTTTTCTGTAACGTTTTTCACGAATATCAAACTCTAAGCCATTGATCGTGATGACCAACAAAGGAAAAGGAAAAAGTTTTAAGAACTTGGAAACTTTGAATTGATCACGAACCAAGAATGAAAATTGTAAACGACTCAACGAAATCAATCTAATGTAACGAGCTATTCGACAATCGTGTTAATCGTCTAGTGACCGGCAAGTGACCATAAGAAATGGCGGAATAAAACATTAGATGGCGTTAATAGAATCACAGGTAAAGAGTTTTTTTTTATTCTTTTCTCTTTTTTGGTAAACTGGTTTTCGCCAATTTACCGAGATCAACATTTTCCTTCATGTTTTCATTTTGACTCTTCTTCTCTTCAATCGTTTTACTCTTCTCTTAATTGTTATTAATTGTTCTTCTCCTTCTTCTTAATTGTTGTCCCTAATTCTATCAGATAATTGCAATGGAATCAACGATTATCCATAAATTTCCATTGTTTGATTGTGTCTATTAAAAGATTGACCCGTTTGGTGTTTTCCATGTTTTCCTCTTGTTATTTGTTGATGTTTTCTTTCACTCTAAATATTATGTTCCTAATTAACTGATTCTAATCAAGTGATGGATAAAATATCAACCACAATCAAATTAATTTCGTTTTCTTCATCTATTGTTATCATCATCTTCTTTTCTTAGTGTTGATTTGTTTTTCTAATTGAAGTAAACAAATGTCTCTCTCATCTATTGGTGTCCATTCATCTAAATCATATGTTTCCATTTTCCCTGTCATTAGATTTAATTACTTCTAAATTAGTGTATTTTCTTTAACCACAATTAGTCGTAAAATTGTCGTCAATTGTTCAACTTAACGATGACTCGATTATTCCGACGGCTTCTGGGTAGAAGGCGAATTTTTTATCCATTTCTAGTAATCATTTGTATCGCTATTGTTTCATCTATACTCTATTCATTAGTCCATGTAAATCAAAGTAATCAAGGTAAGAATCAATTGATTGAACAATTAAACTAGTCTTTCAATACTAGAAAACTAATAAAGTCCACCAATTAATAGTCCATCTATTGACAAATCTATTCTCAATCTCTTTTAACTCGCTAACGATATTAGCAAACTTTTTCCATTGGAAATCCAATCAATCGATCTGCTAATTAATTGTTCATTTTGCTTTGTTTTTCTCAATTTAGACTCAATTGATGAAGATCCTAATGTTATGATTATGCTAAGTGAATCTAAATTACAAAAAGAGTTCATTGATAAAAAGGGAATCCATGTTATCGTTGGTCAATATAATGGTAAAAGTTTACCTTGGTTAGGATCGGCCAATCTGTCGCAAGGTAAATTTAATTGATTGTTGAGTCAATAATCAAACTAATCAATTGACCTTTTTTCCCTTAGAAATTCTTAATAGCAACAATTATAATCCAATTCCAAGGGCTGGTGAACATGGATCCCCTGTTTATATATCTCAACATGAACAACAGAAGGTGAAAATTTTGTATCATATAAACAAGTTCAATATCGTTGCTTCAGACAGAATTTCAGTTGACCGGTCACTTCCTGACCCCCGGAAACAAAGGTAATAGTTAAAAATTACCTTTTCTCTTTGTTGTCACCTTAATTATCACCAGAATTCATGATTCCCACCGTTTGTTGAGCGTTAATATCATGAAAAAAAAGGTGAAAAATTCAGATATTACGATGAGGGGTTGAAATGGTTTTCTCTTTCATGATAAACTAACTCAATGAATATCATGATGAGTTAATCACTGGAAGATTAACCATTGCTGAGAACAATCATTTCAATTGATTCTAAGGTAACATTGACCTCAAGGTAGAAATCAAACTTTGTGGCGAGTTTTTTTTTCTCGCTTCTCTATTTGATACTTTATGTTTTCTTTACACATCATGATGTTAATCTTGAGGAGAAATGTTTAGGAGAGATTAATTTCTCAGAGGGAATTTGAAGTGAAAAAAATGGTTACCTGTGTTCTGCTGATTAGCCTGAGAATTCATTGTAGGCTCTCTCTCTTGTGAGAGATCACTCAACCGCTCTCATTGAAGCTCTATCTTTATATCTTCATATCCATCATCATCTTCATCTTCTTCTCACAACGCCCACTTAGCTCACCTGAGGTTATTTAGAAAAAAAAGAAAATTCTAACTTAATATTTTTGCTTTTTCTCCTCTTCTACAAATCTGATTCTCCTGTAGTTGTAAAGAAAGGATTTACGATAGACCTTTAGGTAAATCGAGTATCATCATTGTCTTTCACAACGAAGCTTGGTCAACTTTGGTTCGAACTGTTCATTCGGTCATTAAAACTTCACCGAAATCCATTTTGGAAGAGATAATTATGGTCGATGATGCGAGTACTCGAACTTTTCTTGGAATCGAACTAGATCATTATATGAACAATTTAACTTTATCATCTTCAATTCCAATTAAGATCATTCGTTCCACTCAGAGAATTGGATTGATTAAAGCTCGTCTGATTGGAGCGGAAAAAGCGACCGGTCAAGTGTTAACTTTTCTTGATGCTCATTGCGAGGCTACAACTGGTTGGTTAGAACCTCTTCTCGATCGAATTGCATCCGATCCTAAACGGGTCGTTTGTCCGGTCATCGATATTATCCATGAGGAAACTTTTGCTTTTGCAAGAAGTTTTGAGCTACATTGGGGTGGAATCAATTGGAACCTTCATTTCCGCTGGTATCCCATTGGTCAAGCTGAATTATCTCGAATTAAAAAACCCGATTCTTCCGAAGCTAGTCAACCATTTCGAACTCCCATCATGGCTGGTGGCTTATTTGCCATTGATCGATCATATTTCTACTCCATTGGTTCTTATGATGATCAGATGGATATTTGGGGTGGTGAGAATATTGAACTTTCCCTGAGAGTTTGGCAATGTGGTGGAACCATGGAAATTGTTCCCTGTTCCCATGTCGCTCATTTATTCCGAAAATCGTCACCATACACCTTCCCAAGGCCCGATGGAGTTACTGGTGTTTTATACACAAATTTGGCTCGAGTTTTACATGTTTGGATGGATCCTGATTATCTCAATTTCTTTTACAAAATTAATCCAATCATGATGAAAACAATTTACGGTGAAGGTTCATCTGCATCAAATCAAGATCTAAGTCAAATACCCGATAAATTAAACAATTTAACCCAACGATTAGAGCTTAAGAAACGTTTATCTTGTAAAAGTTTCTCATGGTTTTTGGATAACGTTTGGCCTGAACACTTTTTCCCGACTCATGATAGATGGTTTGGTAAAATTCGTAACATTGGTCTTGGTGAATGTCTTCAGAGACCAAATGCCGATGGTGGACCTTCGTCGAGTAACGGGGTTGGCCAAGTTGATTTAGATCGATGTGCAATCGAAACTTATTCACCTCAATGTTTCGTTTACACTAAACAAGGAACCATTTTAACGGACGAATCGATCTGTTTGGATGCGATTAACACGGACACCGATCCGTCGGTTTTACTTCTTGCCTGTTCTCAATCTACTAGACAAAAATGGAGATTCTCACATGATGATAAACGTATTCTTCATGTTAAAAGTGGCCTTTGTCTTGACCTGGATCGAATTAATCGAAGGAAATTAACGCTGAATAAATGTTCACCCGTTAAAAGTCAACAATGGGACATGATGGCAATCGATTGGTCAAAACAATCAACCTAAAAAAAAAGATCGAAAGAGAAAAACAGTAAATTTTTTTCCAAATTCTTCTCATTGGAATCAAGAGTAGACAAAAAAATCTTTTCCATTTAAAGTTTTACTCTAATTGTTGCCAAATTTGGTTAATCAACTTTATTTAAAGCTTAATTAGCGACCTGATTGTAAATACAAATTGTGATTAGTACTTTTTTTTCACCGACTTTAAAACAATTGACATTCTCCCAGTGAAAGATAACTTGCCTTTTCTTAATTGTACCTACATGATAAGAGGTCACATTCATCAATGGAACCACCAAAAAGTTGATTAGATTAACAATTAAGGAGAAATTAAAAATTCACCAAAATTTTGTATCAATTAACAAGGAAAATTGTGATACCAACAATATGACACTCAAATCTAATTGTAAATTATTCGATAAAAAATTCGCAATTGTAATTTTAAAACTAATCAATTTTCTATTCAATTATTCAAACATCAAGTTAACGAAACAATTAATCAGTTAATTGAGAAGAGAATTAAAATTATTTTCTTTTTCCACCAAGAGATGGCAGCACATTCGACGAATTTAACTCTTCCTTTTTTTCTTTCTCTCTGTTAGTGATTAATTGTTCCTCTGTTGAATTAGTTCAATTTTGATTCTTATCTATTTTCTAATCAAATCAATCACCTTAATTGTTGTAGATTTTCGTTTTTCATTCTAATTCTGGTTGATTAACAAACCATCAATCAATATACAATCAGTTTAATTATCGACAGTTAAACGTAATCACAGTTTTAATTAAATAATTTCCACTGTTGAGGTTGAGGTTTTTTTTTGTTCTCTTTTTGGTCAATTGTTTATTGACAGTTTTATCTATAATCTCAACATTAACTAATCTTAATTTAGTTTAAAATCAACATTTGTGTCAATCAACGGAATCAATTGTTCTCAATTAATCAAAATTTAAGTGAATTAAATTACCTGAGATATTTAATTCCATCATCGGGAGTGCGATAAAAAGCTTTACCTCCAATAGCTTTTTGTGTAAAAACGAAAAGAAAAGAAAAATTTTGGCGTTTTGACAGTCATTCAATTGGAATAATTTGATTTTTTTTTCTATCATCAATTATTCACCTTTAATTAGTCAAATTGTTGATTGTTTAAATATATTGTTTTTTGTTTCGGTTGATTTTTGATTTTCAACAATGTACCGAATCTTTTGTAATGGTTGTTACACTTTCTTCAATAAGGACAGAATGTTTTCATTAACGAGCTGCGGCCATGTTTATTGTTCAAATTGTCTTCCTCATGGTAAGTGTCACTTTTTTCTGTCTTAATTTTAGTTCATTTAATTTACCCGAATTAATTGTTTTCTGCAATTTTTTTCTTCTCTTTTGTTTTTCTCCTTTTTCTCCTTATTATTAGGCAACCGAGATAATTGTAAGATATGTAAACGAAAGTTCTCAAAAATGAACATCACCAAGCATATGCCCGAATCAACGCAAATGCTGTTCAAGGATTTGAAAAGGAACCTCATGAGTTTCACCAAAGTAATTCGATTCCAAAGTGATCAAAGTGAATATTTAATTCAACATCTATTCAAAGAGGTAAAGAGTTTTCACTCTAAACTTTGATTCTTTTTCCATTCGCAGACAAAATTAACAATAATTTTTTCCAAATTCACAATTTAGAACGAGCGTCTTAAGCGATTGGTTTCCTGTTTAAAGAAGCGAGGAAAATTTCTTGAGAAAAACTGTTCAACTAATGTCACCAGGTAAATTGTCAACATAGACTTATTCTTATATTTTACTGTTGATTAAAATCTTCTTTCAATTTATCCTTAATTTCAGGCAAATGTACGCGACCATAAAACAGGAGCCAATTGACGATGATTACCACGAATTCCCTGTAAAAGGAAAACCAGATTCTCATGACGTTGGAATAAAAGATGAAGAGTAAATTTCTCATTTCATAACTTGACTAATTTTCCAATGCTAATTTACCTTTTTGTGTTGTTTCTTTACATAGTCTTGCTAATGTCGATTGGAGTGACGATTTGGATGTCGATGAGTATGAAAAGAAAACTCGACAATATGTGAACAATAAAAATTTCATTCCTCAAGTGAAAAATTTTCCTGAAGTAAATGAAAATGGACTCACCTCAGAGATGAGAAAGATGGGAATCAATGTCTCACACAAGTAAGTACTCACACTGAAGTAGAAAAAAATAACTTTTCAACTTAATCAACTAAAAAACTTGATTCTTTTTCTCATTTTTCAACAGTTTGGCTCAGGTTAACAAACCAAGAATTGATCAAGACCGAGTCAAAATTGAGAATGTAAAACCATGGAATTATCCTCAAACCATCCCGGCAACTCGTCAATCAACAATTGATCAATTTTTGTCGCGCGGAAATAACTTCATCGACAGGTAATTAAATTGTCTCATTGTGATCTGAAATCTCAATCCTGTCAATCCCTTCCTGACATCTTAATTTTGTTGGAAATTTTTTACAAATTTTCTTTTCTTTTTTTCTCTTCTTCAATCAAAAGTGTTAAATCTCATCATTTCCCATTGAATAGCCAACCAATCGTTCCCGTTGGATCAGGAAATTATCCAAACACAGTTCTGACCACTCGTTCGATCGACGCGAAATCTTTAAACAGACAATACAACGATTTCTAGTAAAAGTGTTCGTCATACTGACCAATCTTCTAGATGTTCAAAGCCAAAATCTCCAGTGCGACTTTAAAAGAAGATACTTATAGCCCAACCAAAAAGATTAATTTTCAAGATTTATATTAGTTCATTTTTTCACTTCCGTTGGCTGAGCCAAAAATTGCTTATCATTTTCATTATCCATTCATTATATTACATTCGTATTTCTTTACATTACATGAAACAATAGACAAACTCTAATTCAACATAAACCACCACATATTCAGTAGGAGAAAAAAAGTATCTAATCTTTATTAATTTTCATTGAGAATTGTGAGATCAACTCAAATCCGATATGTAAACACAGACTTTAATAGAAAACAATCAAATCTGAAAACGAAAATAACATTTGATTGAATATTCTCCATTATGTTCAATCTTTTACTTGATTAATGTAAACGCGCTCATTTGAGTCTCTTTCTCTCACTCAATTAGGTTAAGATCAAGCATCGCACACTTGAAACAACGAGAAAGCCAAAAGACAGGTTACAAATTATAAATTCGTATTCACGAAAAAAAGGGAGAGGGAGAAAGGAGGAGAAAGAGAGAGAGAGAGAGAGAGAGAGAAAGTAATCGAGTGAGAAAGAGAATGAGAGAGAAAGTGACATAATATTGAGTAAATCGAATCAAGGAGTCGCCATCTTATCAAATCGCTTTTTGATTAACTTTCATTCACTCATTAACGAACGTTCAAAACAGGCCTTAAACGGGTCTGATTGAATAGCGAAAGTTTTTACAATAATAAACACAATTAACGGTAAAAAGTTTCTTCTAATTTCTCCAATTTTCTAATCAATTGACTTTTCCTTACATTTTTTTCCTCTTGTTTTACTTTACAATTTAAAATCATCACAGTTAACAAAATACAATCATATTGATTTGAAAATCTATTTAATCGTCAACATAATCAGACCAGCAATTAAGGTCTAAACTTTTGTTTGTTGTTTATTTTTCGTTGTAACGATAAATACGTTCGATAAGTTTTTTCTCGTGAAATTTTGACCAACAACAATTGCGAATCATCATCAGCGTAACTTTTGTGTTCGTGTAATGAAACCAATTAAAACAAATGTCGCCATCCTTTTGGCCTTGGGGCTTTGTTGTTGTCTCGTAGTGGATTCATTGAATTCATCATCAACCGATAGCAATAATCAAACATTGAGTCCAACCGATGAGAGTGAGTCCAATGAATCAGGTCAACTTTTAACATCTCAAAAAGACCAACGGACTAAAAATGAAAACATCGATGATTTAACCAGATTAGTTAATTTAACCGAAATCAATAGTGGTAATAATTTACCTTCCAATGACAGTTTCATAATCGATACATCAGCTGTTGATTATGAAATAGGTGAAGATGCAAGTCGATCATCAATGACCGCAATTGAAACAGGTTCAATTAGGAAAATTGATTCAGATGATGAATTTAATTCATCCGATTTATCAACTTTAGACTCAATCGTTACCACCAATGGTTCCCAAGTCACAGGTAATTCCGACCCAACAAACGAATCAGGTAACGATGAAAACGATTACAACGATTCGTCATCTTCCTCATCATTATCTTCGTCATCAGCCCAACTATCGGCACCATCTTCGTCCTCTCCGTCAGTTAAATCATCCACCGAATCGGAAGCTCTGGAAATGCTCCTCAATTTCCTCAAAGATTCCGTCGGTAAAATGTTAAAAGCCGCTCTACCAACGATAGTTCAAAGCGGCATGGAGGCCAATGTATCCGCTCAGTGTGCCAATAGTTTCATGGTGCTGACCAGTGGACTTCAACAAGGAAAAGACTGGGCTTTCAGAAGTAAGTTCACCGTTACGATTATCGGCATTTTTATTACTCCATTCATGATCTTGTGATTAGATCAGTTAACTAATCTCCTTGTTTTTTAATCTCATTCCCTAATCGCCATAATCCGTCTTAACGATCGAGTTTAAGGTCACCCAGAGTTTAAAGTTGCAAAGTCAATGTTTAAATCTCTTTCTAATTGATGGATAATGTGAGCGTCCTACTCTTAGTGCGGAAGATAATTCCAGTTTAGAATTAAGAAAAAAAAACAAGAGAAAGAAAATCATGTTAGTTGATGAATCGAGAAGATCGAAAGAGAAAAAGTTAGTGGTGGTCATTTGATGGTTTCTATCAGATAATTAACCGCGAATATTGCAGTTAATCATGGCCACAATTAGCGAATCATAAAGTAAACTGTTACAAAAAGAAAGAAAGAAAGAAGAGAGAGAGAGAGAGAGAGAGAGAGAGTCAGTCGTGTTTGTGAGGAAGAAATTTGCTCTTCCGGTCTCTTTCTTTTCTCTTTCTTATCTTCATCATTTTTTTCTGATTTATCCTGAATTCAGTTCTTAATTTCCAAATCAAATTAAGGCTCTTTCTCTCTCATTTCACTTTCTCTCTCTTGTAAATCATCACTTAAATCTGACCTCGAACCTGATTTGTTTACCGGTTTTCTTCGTGATTTATTTTACTACAAATAATTTATTAAGTTAATAGTTCACTTTAATTGTTACTTGATTGTCTTTGCTTCATTCACTTCCTTAATTGTTAACAGTCCCATAGGAATACAATTGAATCCTTTGACTTAAATCATTGACCAGTTTTGATCCTTTTTTGATTAAACAACTTTGTTAAAAAGCCTCTTGAATCGTTAATTGTTAATCATTCAATGGATTACATTAATCTTAATTGCTATTATTGATTGTTCAATTATCAATTTGAATGAGCAAGAGACTTAATTTTTTTTTTGTATTTCCATTGATGGTAATTAACCATAGGGTTGATTAACTATTACAAATCACAATCACTACTCATTCAATTTGATTTTGTAACAAATTTGAGGTCATAAGTTAATTAACATTATTCAATTTTCAAATTATCTTCATTCATCCAAAAGTAATTTAATAAACAATAATATTTATATATTAATCAACTTCCTGTCTGAATTGAATCAACTAAATGAATTATTGTTAACTATTATAATTTAACACTTCTTTCAGTTATCATCAAGTACAAACTGTGAATTATTTAAATTATAATCAAATTAAACTGAATGGATAACAATTATGATTGTGAACAGTTAATTTTGGGAGGTAAATTTGTTAGTTAATAATAATAGGAAAAAAAATTGTTTTGACAGAAACAAATCAAATGCTAAGTTATTGTTAATTGTAAACAATTAACGATGGGTTGTGATTACAGATAATATCAGTATATTATGTAATTGTTGTTATGATTTGATTAAAGATGATGAAGATAAACGGCAAATTATTAAATGTTAACAATCAGATCTAATCAGTACAATAGATCGTTAATTATTGTATTAACATTAGATCTGATTGTAATCTAAATAATTAGTGTACAATCAAGTCAACAATTGGTAGTGAGATGAGAAATTAAATTTACACATAAATTACAGATGAGACATGGAAAAGGATTAACTACAATTTAATTTTCGTAGTTAATTAACTTCTAGGCCATAATGTCAAGTATGAAACATTTATAACTTATTGACAGGTAAATGCTTGACCTTTGGCCTCCTCATCCTTATTACCTCCGATTGGTTGATAACTGAAAAAAAAGACAATAAAATAATTTGATTAGTTGAAAGTTAATTTGGTTGATTAAGATAATTAGAGAAAAAATTAACTATTGTTCAGTTTAACTACGTGATGAGACGATTTGATTAATTATCGACAATTAATAGTGATGGATTTGAGTGAGAAAGTATTTTTTTCATTTGCAAATCAATTGTCACTTTTGTCTTGATTAATTTTTCATCGTTAATCAACTTGAGTTAAGTTGATTAGTTTGGATGATTAATTTTTTATCCTTTATATTTTTGATCAATTTACTAACCACTAATCAACTAATAACAATCAATATTATACAACAATTGAAGGTCGACAGTTTTCACTTGATGATTGTTAATTGTACGAGTTCAATATCAAGTTGTTGACGAGAAAACAATTATTAGTTAACAATCATAATAATTAAATTAATCATTCTCACTTCATATAACATGTTAAGTAGAGTTGATTGTTCAATATGTTAATTGTAAGGTTAAATAGTATCAAAATTTTGATCAACTTTTAAAGATCGACATCAATTTTACAATCATAATCATCGTAATATTAATTATTTCAATTTAGGATGATTTAGTTGATGGTAAAATTAATCAACAATTAAAATTAACAAAATTCTGATAAGGTTGATTGACTTATATTGGTTAATTTGCTTCCGTCTGGACTTTTTATCATTTAACAGATTAACTTGACTGATTGTCGACTTTGATCATCTAATTAATTGTCACCAATCTGATTTCCATTTCTCGAAATTAATCCTGTAGAGTATCAATTCGATGGTTCGACACTTCGTTCTGTATTCAAAATCCATTTAGAGCATTTGAACTGAAAAGAAACAAGAATTAATTTTTGAGAGAAAACATCGATTAAGATTTTCGTTAATTGTGATTAACATTATTTAATATTTACCTAGTTCCTGATTATCAAGTTTCCTTAATCATCTTGTCTCCATTTTCATTTGCTTTTGTTTTTATTTGAAATAAGAGTTACCTGTACATCTTATCTGTATTGTCCTGATTAATCAAATCATCAAAAATTGAGATAATTAATAAGCTACAAGGGAGACAATTGATTGACAACAATTAACCAGTATAAAAAAAATCATCTAATTATCGTAGAAATTGAAATGAAAAATTTAGTTAAAAACTAACCTTTCAATAAGTTGATCCATTGATTAAAGATTAAAGATTAAAGATTAATTGAAGTTGTGGTTGATTCCTTGATTGTGATTATCTAATTAACAACAGCTTCCTGGTAACTAATAAAGGTAATCATTAATAAACATAATTCATTGATAAAAATAATTCGAAAAACATTTAAGTTAATCATTAAGGGTTACGTTCATAAGACAGATTTGCCTAATTCAATTGTTAATCATTTTCCGATTGAATCACTTACCTTTTAGTTGGATGTTGATTATTATTATTGTATTAATTTGTCGTTAGTTGTTAATCTGGTTGATTATCATGATTATAAAGTGAGGTTAAAGATGATCATGATAATGATGGTGTTGATGATAATCGTTTTGATTACTTCCCGATTATCGAGTTAGCAAAAAAAAGTTACATTATTAAAAGGGAGTGAGAGAGGACATCAAATTGAACGAAAACTAAAAAAAGAGAAAATAAAATATTAGTAGAGGAAAACAATCAATTCACAATCAAATTAATTGTAATGATGAGTTTTGAGATATAAAAATCGAAGAAAGAAAAAAAACTTTTCACAACAAATTAGTTCTTTTTTTTCTTGTCGATTTGGGCAACAACTTCCGGTCAAAATTGAAAGATACCAAATCTCATCAGGTTAATTCTTCCGTGATTAAGTTTACTTTCACTTTCCTCGTTCTTTCCCATTTTCTTCATGCTTTTCATCATCATTATCCATTTCCAATCACCAATAACATTGACGGCGAACGTTGAACCAGCAAACCCAAGATATTCAAACGAATTACAATTTGCCTTAAAGAAATTCTAATCAAATGAGAACTTGGAGCCTCATCATTCAGATAGATTGTTGTTAATTAACATCACCAATAATTAGAGTCTCCGCTAATTTCTTATTGACACTGTTCTCTTTTCTTTCTCTTTCGTCTTCTCTCCTTGTGGCTCTTGTTTGGTGTTGATATTATACGACGATTCCATCATTAATTTTGTTTTTCTCTTATATTCCTTTTGACCATTTAAAAGATATTTTTGATTGTTGGCTGATACTTGAATGATTCCAATTGATATCACAATATAAATATAAAGATGGAGAAAACATAACTTAGCAAAATTATCAAAAAACTCCAATTTAAATGGAATATTAATAAAAAATTTTCCTTCTTTTTTCTTTCATTAATAGTGTTGGATTCTTCCGGTAAACCTCCAAGCGGAATATTGGAAGGAACTCTAACTGATTTTGGTTCTTTCGAGCAATGTATCGACTTGAGGGTTCCATCAAATGATCCATCGGCACCCGGTGAAAGAGATTATCTTGAAGGTCGATACTGTGTAATGGACATTAAAGCCGCTCTTGAGGAAAACGTTGATGTAGCCAGAAGACCAAGTAACATACCAGAAGACTCAGTTGTTTGGAATAGGGTAAGAGAACACACATTAGATTATTGGACAATTAACAGCTAATTGTTGAACGTAAATTAAATTGTAGAAAAATTTATGGTAATTGTAATTTGTTAATCTCACCACAGGCACTTAGGGAATTCTGGTCACGTAATAGTCTTTTATCCTTCCGTTATGGTCTTTGTATACCATCAGCTTGTCACCGAGAAGAGATCACCGAGCTTGCCAATTACCGTAAGTGTAAACAGATTGATAATCATTTGTTTAAACAATGTTAATTAATTAAACTAATCAACTGATCATCATGTTGTAATAATTAACAGTCGCTGAACCAACAGGTATGGAAGTTAATGTTAATTACTGTCAAACCAAAAAAGGTTGGAAAATTGATAAAACACAAATAACAATAATGTAAGTAAAATTTTGTTAATCCAAACAGAAAATGATTACTCACTAATCCAACGCTTTTTTTAATCTCCTTTGTAAATCTTTCTCCATGTAACAGATCAATTTTATCGGCAATCATGATAATGGTTATAATTGGAACAATAACAGAATTAATTCTATCACATAAAAGTGAAAAGAAATTATTTATTGGAGATGAAAGTAAGAAAAAGGAATTCACATCAAAATGAAAGGGAAAAAGAAAGAGACTAAAAAAGAATTTAATTTTTGTTCTTTTTTCTCTTTTGTCTCTAATCCTTTGTCTCTCTTTTAATCTCTCATTTCAATTTCATCTCATTTTAATTTCTGTTTAATTTCTGTTTAATTTAATTTATTTTTTTTTCTTTTCTTCAACAGGATCATGGAAACATTTTATTCTCGCCTTCTCCTTGAAACGAAACACAAAGAAACTTCTCGACGCTGGTAAGAAACCTTATTCTTCACCTTTGCGACATCTTGATGGGATCCGATTCTTTTCCGTCCTATGGATCATAATGGGCCACACCTATTTCTATACCGATTTTGTCCATTACCACCATTACCGTGAGTAGATTTACCAAGACGATTAACGACCAGTAATTAGTCTAATCGGCTGATTAAAAGAAAGAACAGAAGATAATTAATGTAACAATGTTTTTCTTTCTCAACAATAGGTCGACTTAAACATATCCAAGAGATTGATGATGATTTTATATTCATGCCCATCGCTAATTTTACTCTTTCTGTTAACACTTTTTTCTTCATCAGGTAAATTGTTTACAATTGATTTTAATTCTGTTAATCTAATCTCATTGTTATTCTTTCCAGTGGACTATTGGTTGTCTATGCTAATTGGAAGAAATTAACTGTCTCCGAAGGTAAAATCAGTATAACTGATTTCTTTATCCATAAAGTATGGAGGTGAGTGTTTATAATTTTATTTTCTTTTTCCTTTTGCTAATATCAATTGATTTGCTTTTCCAATCTAAATTGTTTTGGACATTTTCGTTTAATTTGTAACAATCTTTCATTGACCTTTACTTTATTACATCAGTGACATAAATTGTTTACTACAATTTGGTTAATTCTAATTAATGTGAACAGTTTCATCTTTTTTTTTTGAATAAATTGTTACAAATTTTTGTTCTTAATCTCCAATTACATTCAACTGAAAAGCCAATATAGTTTCTTGTTGTTTTGATAGTTTTTCTGTTTGTCTTCATTTGGTTTAATCAACTTTACATATTAGTTATAATCAACATGAGAATATTGTTTGATGGTGGAACTGAATCTAATTCTTAATCTTTCCATTAACGATCATCAATCAATATACAGAATGAGGTTTTCTATTGTTATTTGATTGCGTTGAAAGGTAAAGGAGGGAAAAAGTCACACAACAACAACAATAACAATCTAATTGATCAGTATTGTATTAAGAGCAAAAAAAAGCAAATCAATCAACAGATTAACACCAATTGACACCAACAATAATAAATTAGTATATTGTTACAATACCGACGATAATCACAATTTATCCGCTTGACCTTTGTTTTAATTGTGTCTTTTAATTATCCATGTTAATCAAAGCTTCGATACTAATTTTTTTCCCTCCCAATATCTTAACCTAACCCTTGGAGAATCAACTTATTGTTGTTTGATTTTTTTTGATAATAATTCTTCATATTAATCATTATATTTATTATCTTATTTACCAGAATTTGGCCTCCATATTTGGCTACCATTGGACTTGTCATGATCATGCCACTTATCGGTTCCGGTCCATTGTGGCCTCAGGCTGTTGAAAATACGGCTCAGCTTTGCAGGAAAAACTGGTGGACCAACATTCTCTTCTTGAATAATTTCCTCGCACCAGATCAATTGGTTAGATTACCACAATTAATAGATTATCATTATTGTTAATCATGGAGAAAAAATTAATTACTAATTGATTGTTTATCTTTCTCATTCTTAATCACAGTGTCTTCTTCATACCTGGTTCCTTGCAGCTCATATGCAATTTCATTTATTCTCAGCCATCATTTTGTATATTCTTTACAGGTAATGTTAAATTATCACAATCAATCTAATTGTCAAACTTTCCCTGATCAACCTTGATTAGTGGATTAATCTTCCTATCAATGTTTAGAAAAACGATTCAGGCCAAATGATGAAATACAAGTTATTGTCTTGCTTAGAATGATAGTTAATTGTTTCATTGTTTACAAATCGATATCATAATTTATCAATTTTTTTAAAATCAAATTGTTTTTTTTTTATAATTCTTTTTGTTTTTAGTTAAACAAACATTTACTTCATCATTTTGATTACGTTAATCTGTTTCCGGCTCAACAATTTGTCAAAATATTGTCACATCAAATTTACCTTTAACTTTATAAACTTCACCAGTTTTAATAATTATCAACAAATGTTTAATTGTTGAAAAATTATTAATTTAAGTGAAAATTATCACCTTTTTTTGTGATTATCTGTCAAAAAGTGTAAACAACACTAAGTTTACCTAATCAAAAGTGTTGCAAAAATTAAAACCACAACTAATTGTTTTCACAATTAGCTGGTGATTTTTGCCGATCTCCCAAATAATTAGTAAATTGTTAGCATCTAAATTAAAATGATTACTCCCTATTTTCACCTCTCCTTGAACTTAATATTACTGTTAACCTGTTGAAATATTTAAATCCATAATTATTATCTATTTATAGATAAATACTAATTAAAGTTCAGGTCGCAATTAGTAAATTGACCCAGTCAATGACAGTTTAATTGGCACTAACATTTTATGAATGGAAATACAATTAATTAATGATTGACTAATTTCTCTATTTTTTTCTCTTACAGATTTCCCAAATTGACCATTTTGTTACTCTCATTCTTTACCATTCTTTCTGGAATTGGTGTTTACATTTACACAATAATCAACAATTTAAGATGGCCAACCGTAATTGCTGACGCTGTTTTCACCGAGTAAGAGTTGATTATCATCACTTTGATAAATCAAAATATCTTCATTGAGTTCACAATTCCCAGTTAGAATCAAATCAATCAATGTTTTTAGCTGATGCGATGATGCTAATTAGTGGTCCTTAATTTGTTTACTTTTCCTTAATCAACAGACAACGAAAAAAAAATTCTGGAAAGGAAGAAAACAAATAATTTGGATTAATCAAACTAATAGTGTTACAATTAAGTTAATTCTTAACAATTTACACTCGAGGCGATATAATTGATCGCGAATAGAGTAACATTTTATAAGGAAGGAAAACACTACGAAAAATTTTTCGATAGTTAAATTGATTTAATTTAATTATTCTCATTTTCTTCCTTTTATATTTTAACAGCTATTTTTTGATTAACTTAATTTTCCACTAATCGATTAACTCTTTTTTATTTACCATTACCTTCTCAACGTTAATTACTTTTTGTTTAAATCATTAACTTGGCCTAACGTTACAATATATTTAATGATTAACTTGATTATCATTATATTAGTTACAAGTTAATCATAAGGAACAAGGAACATAAAATTGATTCAATTGCCTAATTGTTACCTTTTCTTTAAAAATGATCATCTATTAACAAAAAAGATTAAGTTTAAAGTAACAATTTACAGTCTTTTTTTTTAATTAATCAGATTCATTGAACAAAATTTCATGAGAAGTTAATTGTAAACAAGATTAACTTTCCAATTACATTGAATTTGAATAATTGAAATGAATTTAGGTTAATCAAATTTAATCGACATGTTATTTGATTGATTTGATTCTAATCTTTGAATAATTATGAATTTTGATTATGTTGAAAATTTACTTATTTTTATCCTTCTAATTGTTCATTGTTTCTCACTAATTGCTAATAATTATCTTTTAATTATCTCTCTTAATTACAGTTACACTCAGCGTATATTAACTTTGTACATTATGCCTTACAATCATCTAGGATCTTATTTAGTGGGCATTGTTGGAGGTTATTATCTAGTTAAATATAAGAATTCAATGATCTCAACGGTAAGTAATTAAATAGATTGTAACAATTAACTTTCAATTGTTGATAAACGTTTTTTTTTCATTTGCAATCCTTTTCACAACTGATTTGTTGAGGTTCAATGAGTTTTCAAGAAATACAACTAATCAAGTAAACTGAATTAATTGCGTTGCTCAGTTTACCTTTTTTAAAAATATAAAACAATTAATTTACAATCTTAATAGTATAATCAAATTAATTGATTGTAAAAATTAGTTAAATACTTTATCACAGTTGGTTAGTTAATGATTGTTAACTACTTGAGGTAATTATTATCAATGACTACAAGTTGAAGGTCATTACTAATCTTCCGGGTCAGGCCAACAACTGAGTAGCAACGATTAATGAATCAAAATGGTTTATCAACAATTTAAATTGTTCAAAATGTCTATTCCAAACTGTATTGTTGATGTTGATTAGTTGAGTGACTAAATGATTAGAAGCAAAAACAATAACAAAAGTTAACTAACTTTTATTTTGACAATCAAATTGTGATCAGGTTAATTGATCCTTCAATTTATAGTTAATCAATTTGATTATTTCGTATCTTTTACAATTAGGTCAATAAATTGTAACCAATTGAAAAGGGATAGCACTAATTTTACTAATATGCTATGAGGATTAAGGATGATAATTGGATTAAATAATTGATACAATTTAAGAAGCATTCAATAGATCAAGCTTATGGCAACTAATTGTTGATTTAATTACAATTCAACGTTACTCATCATCTTTTTGTTTCCCAAAACAATTTACTAAACTGTCAAGATTTAACATCAAGTTAAACATATTAATGAATTGAATCAACATTGATTTTTAATTGAATTAACAATAAACTGTCATAATCACAAGTTATTGACAAAATTCAAAATTAAGCTTAGTTTTAAAGAGGAAAGATGAATCTCTTAAATGGTCAACTTGATTAACTTGATTTCCTTTGAAAATTGAAATGTTGATTGTGAGAGTTAATCATTGTCCTTTTTTTTTAATTACAGAAAACCCAAACCATTGCATGGATTGGATCGCTTTCAATGATGAGTTTAATTATCTTCGCACCTCATTCAGCATTTGCCGGAACCATGCCAAGCCTCACAGAAGCTGCTGTCTACCTGAGTGTCCACCGTACAGCTTGGGCGATCGCCCTTGGGTGGCTCATTTTCGCCTGTTCAACTGAACGAGGCGGTTTCATCAACTCTCTCCTCTCTTGGAATGCCTTTGGTCCACTGAGTAACCTCAGTTACCTCGCTTACCTTGTCCACCCTCTGCTTATGCTTTTCCATACAGGAAGAACTCGAGAAAGGGTTTACTTTGGTCACTACGAATTGGTAATTGACGAAAAGAAAAATTTCAGAATTCATAACAATTCATAACAATTATTTATCTCTTTTTCTTTTTTTCCAACTTATAGTTTAACATCTTCCTTGCTCGAACAGTGATGGCGTTTTTCTTAGCCTACATACTCTATGTGACAGTTGAGCTTCCCTTTGCTGCTTTGGAAAAATACATTTTCCACAAGAAACCAAAAAATAGACCGGAAACAGTATCTGAATATCGTGCCAACGCTATTGGCCCAGTTTTCGCCATTGTCGGTAAAAACATCCCCCACTTGACCAGCTCTAAGAAAGTGACATCCGATTCTGTATAAAGACAAAAGAGAAATCACCTATTCTCATCATTGATTGTTCATAACAATTAACATCCAGAACTCGATATAAATCACAAAAAGCTTAACAAAGTTTCAATTAATTGGATTTTAATTAGTACACAACTTTAACCGAATTCCTAACAATTGGCTTCCAATTGATTAAACTGGACACAAAACATTTTGATTAACATTTAATTATCAAAATAATCACCAGTCTCAATATCATCATATTAATCAATCTATTAATTATTATTATTTAATAGATCCATTTATTGTTAAGTTGTTTTTTTTTGGTGAAAGCAAACAATTAATATTATTTTTTCCAATTAAGGAAATAATTTAATCATTTTCTGGGTCCAAATATCTAAAAAAACAACAACAATTATCTTCAAGTTTTTATCCGATTGGATTTTCATTATGTACATTATCATCATCATCATCATCTTCATCATCGTTATCATCATCACCTTCCCAACACCGGAAGCCATATTAACCGGAAGGTTTATATCTTAATATGGCAAAAGGAAACTTCAATTGATTGATATAAAAAACGCACAAATTTTACCTAAATTATTAGATTGCAATCAATTAATTTGATAAAATTCTGTTTCATTAAGTTGAAATTCATCATTCATTCAAGATAATTAATGTTACATTTTTCAATTGGCATTTTATTTGTTTACATATTTCAACTTAATTACATAATAATAGTAATTAAACCTATTAATTGTCGAGCTGCAATTGCCGATCTCGGAAAAAGTGACCACAACAATTAATATAATATTAATAATATAAATTAAATTGTAATCTTCCCTTTTTCTCACTAAATATAACCACTTTTCATCAAACAAACAAAAAAATTATACATGATCATCATTTAATTACTAAATTATGTTATTTAGAATCATCTTAGTAATTAAATGATCAACTTTTTGATTTACTTTACACACAATAAACAAATAGAAACAAAAATGATAATTTGATAATTACTTCAAGTTAAATTGATTAATTTCCTTAAGGAATTGGGATATTTAATTGTTGATGAACAAAACTCCAGATTGACTTTGAAATCGCAGCTTCATCCCAAAAACTATTAGTATTTGATTGTTGTGAACGAGTGTTGATTTGGACAAAGTGTTTATGCCTGGAGGCCATTCGAGCGTCAATTTCAGTTATATTAATAATTGAAGTTCTATCGCGACAATTAAATTCGTCCATATGATTGAAACAATTAAATCTTCCATCGCAGACTTTTGTTTGATTTATGCAGTAATGTGATGAGCATCTGAACTGATCAGGTGAACATTGTTTACCTGAGGTGAAACAAGAGTTAATTACGAGATTAAACCAAGGTGATTAATTTACTTACTACAATTAAATTTCCCGTTCCTCCAGTCACAGAGCCGATGGACTTCACAATAGACAAAATCAGGTCCACATCCGGTTCCAATGCACGAACGGAGATCAGATGGACAACCGGGCGGCATGACTGCTCTATCATTCAATAGCTTGTTACCTTCATCGACAACAATTAATGGTTGAACAATTAAGTTTAATCCTCGTCTGTATTTGCTTTTACAACCTGTCACATTAAGCTCATCGGAAAAGTCATAACAATCAGGCCAATTGTTACAAATTAATTTACTATCAATACACTGACCATTCAAACATTTAAACTGCCCAGAGTCACAAGTATCATTAATATCACAATCAACATGATTTTTGATGATGAAAATAAAGATGATCAGAAAATTAAATTTCATGATGGTTAAATTAACAAACAATTAGCACAAGGTTGAAAATCAATGAAAGACTAGAAGATGATTTGATTTTTTTACTAAGCAATTAAAAAATGATTGGTATTCACCTTTAAAGGTAATCAAATGATCTTGTGATGATTACGAATAGTGATTAGTTGATAATCAATTGATTCTTAATCACAATTAATTTCCTCTTGAATTTGGTAGCTTTGATTAGAGAGAAACATTTTAAAAGATCAATAATGATTAGTCTAATGTTCATTTCCCTTTTCTAATCAATTTAAATCATCCAGATAATCACTTGATTGTTCATCATATTCTCTTAATTACTTGTAGAAGAAAAAAATTCTAATTTGAATTGAATTAATTTTTTTTCTTTTCTTTTAGTAATTCAAATGTTCGCGCCTTCGAATTTTCTTCTTTTCTTTTATTGATAAACAACAGTAAACATCAAAAAGGAAACTTTTTGATTTCTACTAATCAAGTGTTTGATTTTAGTGATTAATTGTGATAATCTAATCGCATTCAGATTAAGTTAACTGTTTCCCAATTGATTGATTAGTTGGAGAGTCTTTTAGTTGATTGGCTTTACTGTTTAATTTGTTTCTCTCTTTGTAAATTGGATTATAATTTAAATAATGTCACTAAGGATTCTTGTTGGTTGTAAACGTGTTATTGACTATGCTGTCAAGGTAAGTTCTTAATTGTTGACAATTTAACCTTTTAATTAATTTGCTAATACTAATTCTGTCTGATTTTGAGTGAAATTTAGGTCCTTATAGGTTGATAGATATTGAATTATTTTATGGCCTTCAAGTTGTATTAACAATGACTCGGAAAATGGTTTTGATTGTTTAATGTTTTTCTTGTTTTGTCAATTTTTTTCAAATGTAGAAAACTCAGAAAACTCAAGGTCGATTGGGTTAATTGCTAGTGATTTGTAATGATTAATAGTGTCCAGAGATTAATCTAATCTTTTCTGATTTAGATATTTTCTAACCTGAGTCTTGGAAAGTTACATTTCATTATCTTTTATCTCTCTCTCTCTCTCTCTCTCTCTCTCTCTCTCTCTCTCTCTCTCTCTCTCTTTGGGCACCTTTTGTCATTGAATTTGATTTCTGACTTAATTTGTTTTTCTCTTTCAACAATTAATCTATAAGATACAAACTCCATTTCGATTTATCTTAGTTAACAAGTTTAGTGATATCTAATCTATTTGATTTGATTATCTATCTCTTAACAGATCAGAGTTAAACCTGACAAAACTGGAGTCGTTACCGATGGAGTAAAGCACAGTTTAAATCCGTTTGATGAAATTGCCGTTGAAGAGGCAGTTCGCATGAAAGAGGCCAAATTAGTGTCCGAGGTTATCGCAGTATCATGTGGACCACAGATAAGCCAGGAAACCTTACGAACTGCTCTTGCTATGGGTGTTGACAGAGCGATTCATGTTGACGTTGATGCCACTTCTTATGCTAATCTTCAACCGATTCATGTCTCAAAGATCCTCGCAAAATTGGCCACCGATGAAAAGATTGACATCATTATTTTGGGAAAACAAGCGATCGACGATGATGCCAATCAAACAGCACAAATGACCGCTGCCATGTTAAACTGGCCTCAGGCCACATTTGCATCTAAAGTTGAAAGTGAAAATGGCAGTTTAAAAGTCGTTCGTGAAATCGACGGAGGTCTAGAGACAATTAAAGTTAAATTACCGACGGTACTAAGCGTCGATTTAAGGCTAAATGAGCCAAGATACGCTACATTACCTAACATCATGGTGAGTTAATTGTTATCTTGCAATTTCTATCTAATCTTTCATCTATTAATCTATCAATTAATTGTAACTATTTTCCTCTAATAGAAAGCTAAAAAGAAACCAATTGAAAAGAAAACACCAGCTGATTTAGGAGTCGATATTTCACCTCGAATTGAAGTTTTGTCCGTTGAAGAGCCTCCAGTTCGTGAAGCAGGGTCAAAAGTCAAAGATGTCGATGAATTATTAGGAAAATTAAAGGAGCTTGGACGAATCTAATTTGTTGACAATTTAAAGAGAATTAAAAATCAACTGCTCAATTCGGACCAAACGTTCAAAACAAATTTATAATACAAAAGAAGATGAAATTATTACCAACAATTAACTTCAATCCAGAGAAATGTTTGACAGTTAATCAACAATTTATATACAATTACTAACCCGAAGAATCAACAACTTCAAATGAAATTATTTTCAAATCGAATGTAATCAACAAAGATAGATGAATCTAATTACCTTAATTGTGAACAATTTAATTCGTGGAATGAAAAAATTGATGAAACCATTAGGTAATTAGAAATAAATTAGTTTTTATATAAATAAATATCGATAATATTATATAAATGTAATCAACAGAGACTAGCTCTTATTATCGTTTATGATTAACAGCATTAGAATTTAAAATTTTGGGCTTAACTGTTGTAACTGAATTAACTTGATACCTTCGGCCAAAAGGTACAACATGTTGATCATCAATCGCTTTATAAATAACATTGGTATCAGGATCTTCGTACAATTGTCCAGGGTCACCCTTTTGTGGAAGCCGAATCTCGTGTCGCTCTGATGCCCCCCAGCCGACATCCTTTTTCTTACCCTTATCGGATTTACCCCAAGGATCCCAAGAATCCCCACCCCAGCCCTTGTCGTGTTTGATTGAAAAATCGTACAACCATTTACCGTGACTCTTGTCGACCCCATTGTAATAAGCATCGGCAGCATCCTCATCACTTGTACCCTTTTCATTGGTCTTGATGAAAGCGACGAAACCATTTTTATCAGCTGAATATTGGACTACTCGTTTTCGCCCGTCAACATCGGCTAATCCATAGGAACCAATAACTGTCCCACCGCCCCAAGCATCAAACTGACCTGATTCCTCACGGAAATTGGTTGCACCCCAAGGGTCATTTATATCGTACCCGAAAGCATATCCGCCGTTACCGTCTTGCTTATGGTAAACATCAGAAGTGCCACCGGTGGGATCAACATAAGAAACTAATGTTGACAAAATGAAACAAACAAGGAAACAAATTGTAATCAACATGGTCGATGGTTAATTGTAATCACTTCCAAACGCGTGTTAAATTTGTTATAAATCAATCAACGGCAGAGTTAAATTGTCAATTGTTAATCCAAGTTAAGGTTTAAAACTTTCACTTATAATTGAAATACTTTTACTAGTTAGTTAACTGTTGAAATTGTTAATTAATGTTCAGGATCAACTTCAGATCCCAAGTGATCAATTTAATCAAAATTTAACTGTTCTTATAGTATTTTGAAAAATTTGATTAACCCCTCCTTCAATTTGATTACAATTAATTTAATTATTTATTCAACAAAGGGAATCCATTGATCCAATCAACCTGGTTAATTGTTATCATCATTAAATGATCAATCTTATACAAAGGTACACAGAAGGAGGAGTAATCAAGTTTGTTCAACAATTAATTAAGATGAGAAAAAAATTTAAAGCAACAATTTACTGTTAAACAATTAATTCTCAGTTAATTATATTTGTTATCATCTAATTAGATGATGTTGTTGTTTTGTTTATGGTTTGAAAAATCATTTTGTTTTAATCATCAGTTAATTGTCATGGTTGGTAAATTGTTTTGTTAACTTTGTTGACTTAAATTGTTGATTAAACGGATAATCAAGGTTTCACCGGAAAATTAAATTCAATGTTTCTTTACAATTAACAATCAGGTTGAAAGTATATTATGATTCAATGATTATATCGGTCTTGATTAAATCACTTAAGTCATCCTTTCAACAATTAAGGAAGGTTTAACAATCTAATTGTTAATCACGCTATTATTTAGATTCATTTTAATTCACAATCAACGATGATTAAATAATTTTGACCCTTTCTCTCAGGTCTCTCCACTTAAGCAATTAACCAATCGACCTAACCTATGCCATTGATTGTTTTAATTGTTGATCAATTGTCTTCAAACAATTAACAATTTAAAACTGTTTACTTTTACTCATTAAAAGTAGATAATCAGTTGGTTGAGTTTAACAATTTAATTTAATATAAGAAATAGTAAATTGCTTGTCATTTAAATGTCTAAATTATGTAAGCAAAGTTTTTAATTTTCTAGTAACATTTTGTATCAATCAAGTTAATTGTGAATTGTGATCATCAGTCAAATTGTTGGATTAAATCCAATAGTGTTTATGATTTGAACTAAATTCCTGGTTGATTGATAATTAAAGTGTGTTAATCATTTGAAGATTAAGTTTCATCAAAAACCTTGGCCGATTTTTTTTTGTTAATCAATTGATTGTGATGATTAATTGTTAACCAGTAAAATCTCAGTGATTTAAAAGGAAATGTTATTTATGAGAATAATTGTCAAGAATTAAAATATTATGGATAACGTTGGGTTTCCAATTAGATGTGAACACAATTTGTTTGAGAAAGTTAATTAACAATAATTAACAGAAAGAAAGAAAAGAAAAATTAACTGGACATTCGAGATATCGAACTGCTAATTATGACCAACAATTTATCTGGACCCGAAAAAGTGATTCAATTTGATTGTTTTCGTATTAATTAATTTCCATTGGAGCTTTGATTGGGTTAATCTCCGTTTTGTCCGTTCGTTGTGATATAATTAAGATTGAAGAGATTATTTAAAAACTTAATGATAATTAAACTCGATTGTCCAAAAGTTAAGGTAAGAGAATCAGAAAAAGTCAATAGCCTCGGAATAATCATAATAATGATAACCAAATAACGATAAAATTGATTAATTGTAAAAATCATTTAAGTTAATAATCGACTGTATAATTAAAAGCTCCATTGATGAAGTAATTAATTAATTCCAGATCAATTGTGTAGTATGTTATTGGCACTAATTGAAAGGCATGTCAAAGAAGAGTTGATAAAATTTTCTCTATGCAAACCAAATAATTGCATAAATTGTGAAACAATTTAAAAGGTAAATTGTTAAAATAGTTAATTATTCCTGGGCCATTCTAATGGTTTTCCAATGGATGGATTCAGGTCAAAGATCACAAACAGGGCAGTAGTAAAGATGATGATAGAAATGCGATGTTCTCGGTGATCGATTAATATTATTATAAGTGCGATTGTTTCGAGTTTATAAAATGCTTTTACTTCCGGTGGCTTTTTCTGAATAATGTTTCTTCAATCTTTTCCTTAATTCGGAGGGAAACTTTTCGAAACATCGTTTACAACATGGCTTAAGGTCAACGTCGTAAAATTTGCTCTTCTGTGTTAATTTGACATCGCAAAAGGAACAGCTGAAATGGTCAACACACCAAGCCTTGTTTAGAGCCGTGAACACGTCGCCGCTTATCACTTGATTGCAAACGAAACACAAATTACCAAACAATTGATGGTAATGAGTCTCACAATAGGCCAATCCCTGTAGAGTGAATATAAATAAAGAAAATTAATCATTAATCATTAAAATGAATTCGATACAATTTGGTAGAAAGTTGATCGTTTGTTTACCTTTTTCTCGTAATGTCTATGACCTAGGAAAGGTTTTTCGCATTTAGCACATACGAAATGTTCAACGTGCCAATTTTTCCCCAAGGCGGTTACGATTCTTTCTTCAATGGGTCTATGACAAGATCCACAGATAGGTATTCCCATTTTATCGTGACATCTTAAGCAGTAAAGTTCACCTTTAACCTCTCTGGCATTAGAATCAAGCTCGACACCACAAGAGAAACAATTGAAATGGTATGGATGATAAGGTTCACTCTAAAAGGAAACAATGGAAAATGGAAAATGGAAAATTAGTAAACAATCAATTCTAAATTTCAATCATAATTGTATTCAACAAATTGAAGGTCAAAAATCAGCAACGATCATCAAGTAACAATCCCAAGAATCAAATGATTATCAAAAAGTAACATTTTCTAACTCATAAATACAATATCTCATAGAGTGGAAATGATGAGATTTTCACACAATTAGTGACTCATTTAATTTGATTTAGATGCTTTTTTTTGTTCCACTTAAAAATGAGAAAAGAACCAAAATAAACTGAGACTCCTTTTATATTTTTAACCTTAACTATTATCAGGAATGGGATTAAATCATGTAGGCGGCAATGACTTCCTGCCAAGATGAGTGGAAACAAGAAAAATAAATGAGCAAAACCATTAAAACGAGTGGAAAAGTTACTTTTATCACTACCAAAAGGATCAATTAAAACTTGGGCGATGATGGTCAAACACTTTACGAAGATAATAATGATTAGATAATCCGTTGATTGTTGGGTAAATTTAGTAAATCCTTTCGGGTTATCACAAAGTATCAACACCAACCTTATACTTAAGCGGAGCTCCTTCATCAATAATAGCATGACATTTGTGGCAAATATATTTCCCAATGGCTGCTGCTTTTTCCCGAGCATTACATTCATGACACAAGGCACGACCTGGAACAATTAACAACACACAATTAACAACAATTAACCGACAAAATGAAACCAAAACAAAGCACAATTGGCCTATCATGTTTACCGGCGTTTTTAATGAATCCTTGGTCAGCTAATGGAATCTGACAAATTTGACAGTTGAAACAATCGGGATGCCAGTTATTGTTTAAAGCTTTAATTACTCGGCCTAAAGGTGATAGAATTTGCAAATAAAATTTTAGAATAGAATTCGGGGAAAAAAAAAGAAAATGGAAACTCACCTATGATAAAATGTCCACATTTTCCACAACAAGGAGCATAGAGAACGTGAAAATCATGTTCACAGTATTTTCGACCTTCAAATTCATAGAAAATGGCATCTTTACTAAACGGACGGAAACATTGGGCACAAACGAAGCACGATTGATGCCAAACTTCACCTCCTAAAGAAAATTGATCAACGAAATTAAATCAACAACAAATCAGAAAAAAAAATCAACATTCACAGGACTGAGAACCAAAATAAGAATATAGACTAATCCATATGGTCAAGGGAAACCCAATTAGAATCCAAAGACAAGAGAAATAATCAAATGTCCAGTTAAATTGTAGATTAATTGTCTTACCTGAATTAACAATTTTCTCATTCTCTTCAAATCCTAGGCCACATCGGCTACAAAACATAGTGTTCGGTGAAGACATTGGGTCATAGAGTAGAAATTATAACATAAGAGAAAAAAATTTTTCCAATGGAAATATAAAAATGATTCTTTCTATTCAACTCCAATTGATGACAGATAATTAAGCTAATCAGTTGGTACAATTAATCCACAGATGGGGATCACTATTTTCTACAATTAACTAATTGTATTCGACAAAAAAAAAGAAAACGAGAAGAGAAAAACAAATGGAAAAAAATGACAACACCCAAGTGAAGATGAAGAAAAACAAGTGAACAGAAAACCTTCAATGTCTTTTGAGAGTTTGTGCCAATTAAATGTCTTCATCTTCTTCATCTTCTTCATCATCTTTATCATCTTCTTCATCTTCCATGTTCATCATTCGGCGAACCATAAATGGTCTTGTTTAGAAATTAACAGTTTGTGCGCAATCAACGAAAATTGAGCGTTGTAGTTAATCAACATTCGGTAACAATCAAATTCAACCCACAACAGAATCGATGATTATGATAACCAGTTTTCGCAATCAATTTGATTGCCTACACAGTTTAATCAACGCTCACGCTTTCCGTTTACTAATTGTTGAAAGAATTTAACAATTAGTGGAAACTATTATTTGAGAGCAACACCCATGTGAGTTGATCAATTAATTATCCCAATCTAATGTTTACATTTTACAGGCATTTTCAATTACATAATCAAATCATTCATCGTTCGTGTAAGTTACAATTAGTATTAATTACAATTACCAATAAATTATTGCAAACAGGAAATATTGTAATTGGACAGAGTTACAAATAAAGTATAAATATCGGTTAATTACAATTCATTGATTGTGATGATTTTCTTGCCAATTCATATCACTTTATAATAATTTACTCAATTCTGTTTTCTTTTACACTTGAACCATCATCGGGACAATTAAATTAATCATCCAACTTTAGTTGATCCATTATGATCCAGCTTTCTTATCGTTACCAATAGCTTATTGCTTCATTAAATCATTTGAAATGGTTATTTCAAATTGTTTACCAAATTTACGGGACAATTCAGAGACAAATTCACTTTTCATGATATTGAGACACCTAAGGGATAATAAGAACGTAAAAAACAATCAGTTAATCAACTTTAACGGGCGTTTGGAATTGTAACTTACTTTCGATAGATCGAACTGGATCTAAATTTGGCAATATCAAAACTTGGAGCATGAGGCATGTGAATAATAAACGCATTCGGTAAAACGATAAACTGATAACCGATCGCGTGTAAATGCATAATATGAGAAACTTTGTTCCAACCGAAACCAACAAATCGAGAATCATATTTAACGACATCTCTTTTAACTACGATATATGGTTCGAAGTCTTGTTCCCATGATATCCTGAATAAAGAGAAATAAATTTTTACAATTAGTAAAAATGTTGACAAATTAAACCGATCGTCCATTTGATTACTTATAAGGCCTCGTAGCTGTGCGCCATTTTTGATAGTCAGTCGATGCATGTCCTTGAGTCCAAACGTGATATCGAAATGTGAATAAAGTTCCAAGGTCAAGCATATTAAGTAAATCAGCTTTGGTTCGAGGAAATGAAATTCGATATCTTTGCGTCTCAAAGGCAGGAACAACTAGAGCTTTTTTATCACTAGATTCGAGGGAAAGAGCGGAAACCGATCGTTTAAGGTACTCGTAAAGTCCAAACATTGGTAGGAAATCAACATCGGTCAAGAAAACGAAAGGCGTTTTTACTTGGCCTAAAGCGATATTACGAAGATGATTAATTGGATAGAAATCGCCCTCTTTATAAACAATATGATAACCAATATTACGACGATCACGTAGAACCGGTGAGTCCATAATGTAGCCGAAAAATTGATGAGCTTCAGAATCTGACATGTAAAGTGATAAACTAATCGGACCTTCCCAATGTTTACAAAGCGATTCGACCATTTGTAATCTGTCCATGGACAATTGTGCGACAAGAGTTACATCATTTCCTTCAGGATTCGCCTCATAATCGTATTCAATATAATAAAGGTGAGTTCGATACTCGGTAATTGTGGCTCTTCTGAATTCGTAACAAGCATCATCTTCATCGAGAGAGTCAATGGTAAGTTGATTCTTATTGTTATTTATTACTTTGGATCGAGTAGATGTTCCAGTTACATTGGCACAGCCAAACAGTTCACGTCGAAGTAAATTACCGTCATACTCGAGGAAAGTTAAGTAAAGATTTCGGAAAAACTCGAGATGCTTATTTTTCACCTTTAATTTTTTAGGTGAATTCCAATGAATCACTTTGAGATCTTGAGCTTCAGTGTAACAAAGTCGATCGGATAAACTATTGTCACTTAATTGAACATTCCACTGGCATGGTAACTATTGGAAAAGACGGAAAGTAAAAATGTCAAATTAATGGGGAAAAATGTAACACAAAATGTTGAGTTAATTGTAATTTACCTTATGAACAAGAAATGGATGATGTTTGATGACAGCATTGAAAATATCTTGATCGGCTAATGAGGTGGATAACATTGAAAGTAATTCTTTCTCTGCAATCATTTTCCATATTTGTGACCAACCAAAATCTCGTAATTTATTTAAGCTCATTAGGATGACACCGGTGTTAAAACCTCGACCCAATGCTGGCCATGTCCGGTGACCTTTCCATATTTTACCAAGATACCAATCACTTTGATTCTCAACCAAACCGAGAGGTTTATCCTTCATCTGTGAAAATAATCTCCATAGTTCAACAATGTTGGTCGCAAATGTCACATCAGTATCGAGAACTATAACTTTGTCAAGAGTATCTAATAGAAAAGTTGAGTTGAAACAAAAGAAAATCAATTTGGATTAATTATCCTGATGATCAATCCATCATCTGATTTTAGTGATTTAAATTATTTACCAGGTAAGGCTTTGGGAAGAACTAATTTCATTAATCCATAGATTCCAGAATAATGTTTATTTGGAATCCAGGTTACATCTTTCTGTAGATTATCAGTTAGATAGAAATCAACTTCGATTCCTGGTACAGCCCATGTACGGAATAGATTCTGTAAAATTAGCCTTGCAGTTGAATCGGCGATAAAATGAAAGTGAAGAGGATTTTTACGATAAAATAATATTGATTTGATTAGAGTGACAACTGAGCGACTTGAATTGTAACCAGCACAAACGATTACAATATTAATCACTTCACACTTTGAGATTGGTGATTCGGAGGACGATGATTGTGAACATTTCTGGCCTCCATCGTCCGTCCTCATCTCATTTCCATCATTATTAAATCCTTTCTTGTGGTAATCTATTTGAGTATCATTGGTTTCAACGCTTTCACTTTTAGCTTTCAATTGTTTCTGGTGTTTAAGTTGACTTAATTGTCTTTGTTGGTGAGCATCATGTTGGGCAATGTTTATCAGCTTATTCCTTGATAATCTAAAACAGAATAGGAAATTATTAGATTGATAGACTAGATAACATTCGTCTTGATATTTACGTTAATTGTCTTCGTAAAAGTTGATTCTGTTCTTCGACTTCTCTTACTCTCTCTGCGAGTTTTGCTTCCCTGTCATTGAATCCAAGGAAATTTGAGCTCGAACGAAGTACATCTGAAAGAAAAGAAAAATTCTATCAGGTTAACTCATCTTTAGATTATATCAATTTACCTCTTTGATGAATGAAACTGTTGAGAAAATGATGATAGTAGATTATAAATCCTGCAGGAATTGCACAGAAAAAGAGAAGACATAAAGTCCACACTCTTATGCTGATTCCATTGATTTTAACCTTTGCCCCTTTACGTCCAGATGAATATCTTATACTTATCATGTTGAGTTAAGTCAAATTTACATAAACACCGAAGATAAATGAGATCAGCGTTTTATAAGTTGCATGAATATTAACTCCCTATTAGAGAACAAAGAAAAAAAAGAAAAGAAAACAATCAATATTTACATTAGAGAGAAAACCAATGGATCGTTTGGTGAAAGATGGAAGGGAAAGAATTGAAATTAACGTTGGAAATCAAGAGAAATAATCAAATTATTGGTTAATTTTCTTACCTTGACGGATGGTTTTCTCATTCTTTCAATATCCTAGGCCACATCGGCTGAAAATTAAGATAAACAATAGAAACGGAAGATGTTACATCTTCAAGGAACAGGAAGAAGATGAAAAGATAAACAACAATTTCTTTCAACTTGGAAATGCTTTTTTACTTTTGCTTCCAATTAATCATAAAGATGTAGAATAGAACACTTAAACTGATCAATCCAAAGATAATAAATTAAATCACAATTCTATTAAACAATCAATTAATTTTCTCAAATTGTCAAAACAAAAGCGGTAATAATTTTGACAACATTTAAACAACCAGACCGATTTTTCGATCATCTGAAAAAAAAATCGATTCTTCATTCGAATGGGAAAAAAGACAGAGAAGAAAAGAGAGACTCAGAGAAAAGAAAGTGAATTTTAGAGAGAGAAAAAAATCGATCATCAAAATTACCAATCAATTCAGAAAGAAAATCGATGTTTTTAATTCACTTATTCGAGAAGTTTGAAATTAAATTTGATTACAATTGTATTTAACTTTTTTATAAAAGTGAGAAAATATTTGCACATTAAATTGCACAATTAAAATTTTCCATTTGCAATCAATCCTCGTGTTTGATTATTTCAAGATTATTTCGTGGTGAATGATTATAAAGCAGTTCTAATCCTTTGTTGACCAGATCAGTTTCGTGGTCAATGATTGATGAAAAAATATCATCAGGCCAATGATGATTAAGATGATTAATACTCCAACGAGTAGTAGACTGATTAATATCTTGGTACATGGTACGTGTCGAGAGTTAATTGCACTTTCAACTAAATTTTGTCGACTTTCAGTCAACGGAGCCTCCAAATCATCACAATTACCATGAGAAGTTGGTTCGAGTTGATCAACACAATTTGTCTCAGGTTGTTGGTCAGCTTTTTCCTCGTTACTGACCATTGAACCTGGACATTGTTTGGTAACGGAAGTGGTCAATTGAATTTGTGAATTACAATTAGCGGCTTCTATTAAACAAGTGAAATGTCGGTAATCATTTAAATCACACACTTTAATCCAAGCGAAATCTTGATAACATGAAATTGCCCCAATTGGTAATTTCAAGATTTGGGTCAGATATTGATTCCGTTGTTGAAGGTCAAATTCCGACGGAAAACCAGAGACAATTAAGTAAGCATGTGATTGTCGTCTAATAGGTAATGATAAATTCGAGGCCAATGAATCTTGAGATGATGAGAATGATCTTGGAGCTAAAAATCGAAGGCTATTCAAAGTTTCTTCTCGAAAGGAACCAATTTTTCGGCCAAGAAGATTTTCAACTATGTGTTTGGGTGGAAAGCAAACATATTCAATACGAATCATATTGTCACCAAATGATTGCTGGTGATTTTGATTCGCAGCTAATTTAGTGGCTTCGTAAATTGGAAACCCGACCCATAGATCGTTTTTCAATCGATCATAATAAAACGAGTACATCAAAGCTCCATGATATTCAAATTGAGTTTTCATTTCGTTCAAAATAAAATTGTCGAATGGCTTAGATCCTGATACCCTGATTACGGAGATACTACTATTATGGATTCTCATGAATAATTGGACTCTATTTCCATCTGAAATCACATAAATTTTATCGGCGATCGCGTCGAGATAAATATTGGGATGGTAAGTGAGTTGGATATAGTAAACCAAAGCATTGTATTTAGTTTTACATCGGATTAAAGGTTTGGCGAAATCGGAATCATTGCTAATCAAGATGATTGTACTTCCTGGTCCATATTTTTTCACGAACTCTTTCATTAGTTCAATTATCTTGAGATCAGCGGCATTTCGGTCAAATGGAACACGATGAACTTTAATTTCTAATGGTGTAAATAGTCGCCATTTATCTAAACTGATTGTGAATTTATCACTACAAACACAATTGAATTCGATCTCTCTTAACTGACTTGGATGTATCACTTGTTCACGAATCAGATTTATGATAAGTTCACTTCGTCTATAATTACAAGGTTGATTTTCAATGTCCCAAAAAATTGCACATGAATTTTCAGCTACTTTGGGAAAATTGATTACCTTTGATTGTTGTTGATCTTCTTGATTTTCTAATACAGATTCTTGTAATGGAGGTTCAACTGGGCTATCAGCTGATGTTAATGCTGATGACGGCGGTGATTGTGATTGCGAGGGCGATGGTGAAGGTGAAGGTGAAGGTGAAGGCGATGGCGAGGACGAGGACGAGGGCGAGGGCGAGGGCGAGGGCGAGGGCGATGGTGAAGGTGATTGTGATGCTGATTTTGATTGTGATTGCGAGGGTAATGGTGAAGGTGAGGTTGATTGTGACGGTAGTTGTGATTGTGATGGTGGTGAAAATAGTGGCCGGGGAAATGAAGATATTATCGGTGGTAAAAGTCGAAGTGTGTCTAATGTCCTCTCACGAACTGAGTTGAATTCGTCCAAGATTAACTGATTGATCAGATAATCGGGTGGATATTGAATATATTCAACCTTTAGACGGAAATTGTAGTAAAGTTTGTTGTTCTTCGCAATCGCTTGTAATTTAGCCAATTCTTTACTTTCAAACCGAATCCAAATACAAAATTCATCACCATGATAACCAAAAAAAATTGGATTCTTAATTTCAACAGGACAATCAAACATAGTGATTAAATCTTCCATGATTGTAACTTGACTAATCGTTTTCGGGAGTTTTGTTACCTTGACCACTGCAATATCACAAGCTTTGGTCATTAACTCCAACTGATTGTCAGTAAACAAGTACAATTCATCAGCAATTGCATCCAGATAATCATTACAATCAACCTTTAAATGGATAAGGTAAATTGTCACATTATAATCAATTTTACATCTGATTAAAGTTTCCAAGAAAATGGGATCACAGCTAATTAAGATGATTGTACTTCCTGGTCCATAGGTCTCTAAGAATTGAGCAATTAAAGCAATTATTCTTGAACCATTGGATTTTAATTGATAAGATGAAGGTAAATCGATTGAGATGTTAAATGATTTAATTTTATCGTAAATCAAATTGAATCCTTTTCCACACCAGAGACTTTTATAAACGAAAACAAATTCCAATTCTGTTAATCCTCGAGATTTAATCACTTTGTTTCTAATTAAGGTGATTAGTTGATCGGCTGATTGGTGACATTGAGGATAAACACTATCAACATCCCAATAAACGGCACAAGAATTATTTTTATCAGCGACAATACTATTAATAACTTTGGTTGATTGTTGATAATTGTCAATTATTGATGTGCCCATGGCTCGAATGGTCAAATTTTAGAGTTCAAAGTGACAGCAAGTGAATGATAAATGAATGAAATTACGATAAGAAACTGATTCAAAAAGGTCAATCGATTTGATTTGATTGTAACTCAATTGACCCAATAGTCCAGAGAGAAAGTGTCACAAAGAAGGTGTAAAGGTGATGTTGAAAAAAGTAAAGAAAACTTTTACTATTAATATTAAAAAACGAAATGTTAATTTTGGTTAATTGAATCACTAGTGAACTCTTTTAATTAATGATAAACGATGAAACAATTTAGCTTCACTAATTAAAGTTTAGAAATAAAAAAAAGTTAAGACGTTTTATTGATAAGTTTCTGACCTCAAATTGTTTAACCCTTTGTTTGTAAATTCAAAGCTGACCAGTGGTCATCGACTAACAAAGGTGGCATATGGAACCAGAAATGTCCAAAGAAAGGTCTAAGTCCACTAAAGGAAACTCGATAGATCGATATGGTCAAAAATATCGAAACTTTTACTTTTACATTACTTATATGTATTAATACCTTTCAATTGTCTCTTAATTGTGAATTAAATGGATAAGAGACTTTTATGATGATCAACAATTAACATTAATTGTAAATTTAATTCTCTGTTTTCATGATATTTGATATTTTCAAAAGAAACATTTAGTTTGAAGATAAAGGCACAATAAAATGATCACAATAATAGAAATCAAATGATACAATTAACCCAATTTCACGAGAATCAATTTAAATGATGTTTAATTTAATTGTAAGAAAATGATATCATATTAATGGCAGTCAATCAAAACGTATTAGAAACAATTGATTGTAATAAGAAGTATTTTTGATGATTAAGATTTTGACATTTAAAAATAACATTATTAATAATTTAACCGGAATATGAATTAATCAGTAAATTTTGATTGTGATTAGTTTGATTGAGATGATCAAATGTTTGCCATTTAAAGTTGGAAGTTAAAATCCATCGTTGTGAGTTGATTCCCAAACAATTAGCTAATTGTAATGAATCAGTTGGATCAATGGAAGAGTCAAATGTATCCAAACAAAGGCCAGTATTTGAATGAACGATCGTTTGATTGTTATCAAAATAAGTCCACATTTGATTACCTCCAAGTCCATGGCAACGAATTAACTTAACGGGCTCTTTGGAACTCGAGCCATCGAGACAATTATCATCCGACATTATTTGTTTTCTTTTGGTGTAAGCGAACACCTGATTACCCCCCAGTCCATGGCATTGACTCATCGCCGCATTTTCCCCGCTCTTACGTCCGAAAGAATCGAGACAATGGTCAAGGGCCACATTACGAATCTCACCCAACGAATAATAATCCAATGGCATTTGAGATTCAGGGTAAACATTTTCAAGGTACCAACGGAAACTTTTACACTTTAACCTTTCCCTCAATTCTTTACGGTCACTGGTGTCACCTTTGTCCACATTTGCAGCGGCGGCATTGATGGCGAAGTAAAAATCTTTCCACTCGTCGAGCCAAACATCAGCTAAACGAGCGTTGTTACGATTAACGATCTTTGAAGTTCCACCAGGGAAGGTATAAGGTGTCGATTTACGGAAAACATGACCAACATGAGAACAGGTCGCAATTTCGAGTGTCCCACCGCACATCCAAATCTAATTAGATTAGAATGATGATTAATCATTTTGTCAATGGAAAATAGTGAATGTTAATTGTTTCCATGTTCCAATCACCATGATGACAATCGATCAATTGGAAACAAGTAACACGGAGAAAAAGAAATGAGGTTCGTATCGATTGTTATTTTTTTCAAATTAAAAAGAGTAACAATTAAATTAATTACCCTGAATGATAATTCGAGATTTTCACCTCCCCATATCTCCATCCCTTCATCGTATTTACCAAGATATTCAAAGTAATCACGATCAATTGAGAACAATCCTCCAGCCATAGTTGGTGATCTTTTTGATTAATGATAGAAATAGAACCGATTAGAAAATCAATATAATAGAGAATAAGATTAGGATCATTCTAATTACCTTACTGGTTCACTTCGATCACCATTTCGACGATCAATCTCTCGTTGAGGTACTCGATACCATCTAAAATTAAGTCTCCAATTAAATCCACCCCAAGTCATATCAGATGCAGGAATATATTCAAAGTTATCATCACTTATCACATCAATGATTGGACAAACTACTCGACTCCTGTAATCGTAATTATAATAATAATAATAATAATCATCATCAAAATAATAATTATAAATTCTAATCAGTAAATCACCTTCATATTCATCATATTCATCATATTCATCATGTTAATCATACTCATCATATTCATTATATTCATCCTCATCCTCATCCTCATCTTCATCTTCATCTTCATCTTCATCCTAATATCTTATTATTATTAAACTTACCGGTCCTCTCGAATTCGTGATAATAAAGGTTCTAACCATCCCTTTGAACATTCACAATGAGCATCGAGAAAAGTAATCACTTGACCTTTCACATGAGATGCCCCCAAAAGACGAGCTCTTATTAGTCCCGATCTATTCCCAGTTCGTAAAACATGAACTGGAACATTGAGAGTTGCAACATAATCCTCAAGTTTTTTACCCAAATGATCTGATATAGCAAAGAGAAATTAATTAATTAATTAATTAACCAACTGATAAATATATTCATCTTCTAATGGAATATTAAATTGACATAGAAAATTTATTAAACAAAGTAAATAATAAATTAGGATAAAAGATCAAATCTCAATGCAATTCTATCATTTCAATGATTCTTTCCTTGGTCAATCAGATTAATTTCAAAGAAAATAATAGTAAGAATAATGTCAATCTCATTCTTTCATCCAAATAATAATAGAATATTAATAACTCATGATGAAACCCTGAAGTTTTTTTTACCCAAATAATCTTATACAATCCAAGTTAATTAACAGAAAAAGTAATTAAATTAAAGCAAAGACATTGAGTAATCACCGAAAGTAATGTAATAAATTACAAGAGACTAGAGAAATGGATGAATTTCTGATTCAAATTCCCAGGGAGGAGAAAATATTATTACAACATTTTCAATCTTGAAAGTAACATGAGGATGGAAAATAATTACTTCTTATCAATGTCAAACTTGATTCTTGATCATTAAAATATTGACCGTTTCTCTCTGGAGAAAAGATCAGTAAAGCTTTAGATAAGAAGGAGCAATGGACACAACTGACCACTTACCACTTTCAGATGCATCATCGACCAGAATTATCTCCTCGAGAAGAGTTCGAGGTGAAGTTCGTATTATACTATGAACTGTTCTTAAAAGGGTTGACCAAGCCTCGTTATGGAAAACGATTACAATACTTGTCGTCGGTAATTCGCTTGGATAACGTTTCTTTTTACATCTACAATTAAATCATCACAATTAACAAAAATATTCATTAGTAACCAATCATCAACATCCTCACCACAATTTCAATCCAAATCACAATCACAATCATGATCACAACTGTCACTCGATTGATTTGATTACTTACAGATCCATTCGGACATCAGGAAGTGATCTATTTAAAGCAATCCTATCACTCGCCAATAAATTAAATTGATTTAGTTTAAATTTCTCATTTTTCAGAGACTCCTCTTCCTTGGGTATGCTAACGGGTTTACCTTTTTCCCCTGGCCATGAACTTGGATTATTAATTGTAACTGTAAATTATCATCACAATAGAAAGAAAAAAAAATTAGTTAATAAACAATGAAAATTAAATAAAAAAGTTAATCAATCAGATACAATTGAATTTTTGATGTAACTTTCCATTGACACAATTAACTATTGTGAGTGAAATAATTTCAAAATGAAAGTGTTTCAAATGGTAATGAGGATTAAGAAACCAGTAATCATTTGATTACCATAATCAACAAATGCAGCAATTAAATCAATTGATTAACCAATAGAATAAACAATTTAATCCTTCCTGATTTGCGAACAATTGAATTAACCAATAGCAATTGAAACCGTTAACTTAATCACAATTGAACATTAATAAAACTCTGATTACGATTAACTTAGAGTTGAAATTGAAGAGATTAATATTTACCTGGTGATTTCCATCTTCTTAATTGTTGTAATTTATATGGAGGTAGAACTGAATTATGTTCAATTAATGTTTCTAATGAATTATCACTTTCAAAATTTATTAAATCACTATTATCACTTTGAATACCAATCAGGTTTTTCATTTGTTGTTGTTGTTGTTGTTGTTGATTAGATGATGATGAGTCTCCGAGATTATTAGAGTTGTAATTAGAATTGGAATTAATTAAATTATTATTATTATTATTAACATTATCAAATAGTTTACGTTGTTTACCACCTATACAATTAGTCCCAGAATCGCCAAGACAATCCATATAATATACAAGAACACTGAATCCAATTAGAATCCAAATGAATGAAGATAAAACAATTAACCGATAATTTGACCATCTATTGAATAGACGGAATCGGATTAACATTCTGTACAAAGTTTGATGACAGGATAAATTATCACCTAATTGTAGTAACATTACTCTCAATTACAATTGTAATTAACAAATTAATTAATTCACTAAATCACTAATTCACTTGTGTATTAATTATATTATATTTATTATTTTCTCTTGCTGGTTGGTTGGTTACTGGAAATTGATTTGATCCTGAAAATTAAATGAATGAAAAAATGAGTTAATTGTTGTGATTTGAGGTTAACAAATGATATTAACCGTCTGAGAAATTAATTGTCATTAATATTAACAACGATGATGAACATTTAATCAACAGAAAAATTAACAATTAACATTAATCATTTGGTTGTTGACAGTTAATGTTGTCGTTTTTTTATCATTACTTTTATTTGATTATAATTATAACTACAGAGGTAATTAATTTATCATCAAATTAATTGTGTGTTTACAATCATAATCAGTAAATCACTAGATTAATTGTTTATTATATTGGAAACAATTATCGGTTGACCATCTAGTTTAATTGGTAAAATTAGTTCATTAATTATGATTATTTAATAACTAACCAAGGTAATTGTATTGAAAACCTTGATTCAAGTGATACAATTAACTAATCATCAAGATGTTTCTTGATGAAAGTGTGAACAATTTAATCGTAATCAGTCAACGGCCTTAACTAATTGCTAATAATTAAATGATGATAATTTATTTTCCGGTTCCTGGAAGTCACCGCAAAGGAAACTTAATCAATTGTTAATTGTTACAATTTATCAAAAAAAAAATTATTCACAGTCAAAGGAAATCCGGATAATAATCATTTTGTTGGTCAACAATTAAAAGTAAACCAGTAATCAATAACCAATCAAGGTTAATCATCATTACGATAATAAAATTTAATTGTTTCTCTTGTTTTATGAGTTTGATTTGATTCATTAAAGTTGATTGTTGTTGATTAATTTTACTTTTAACCATGATGATAATGATGATTAACTTTCTCATATTGTTATTTGTTGATGATAGTTGAAGATGATCTTACAAACTGAATTAACTTGATTAAATCAAAGTGAAACTGGGTAATAACAATCAAATCAACTTTCTCTGAATTCAATTAACCCAATTAACTGAATTAACTTGAAGTTAACGTTTCATTTGTCAATCAAACCATGACTTTGACTACTTGATTTACAATCAACAACATGATGACAAAATAATATGATTGTTGATCAACTAAATTAATGGATTGGTCAACAATCAACAAGCTTGATTGATGATGTTGATGTAAACAAAAAGTTGTATTTTCATTAATCTAGTTGGAAACAATTAAGACTGATCATCATAAGTGAATGAAAAAGCAATCAAGACAATTGAAAATGAACAACTTGAAACAATTAGTCCAACAATTTGAATAACCGAACAAATTAAATTATAATTAATAGTAAGAGAACAGACAAATCTGATTGGAAACAATTAAAATGAACATCAATCAACTATTACGAGAACGACAATTAAAGTCTAATCAACGTAAAGACAGAAAGTAAAAAATAGTTAAATTAAACAATCAACTGGATTAATAATAAACCAATTTCCTAATAATTAACTAAAAATAAGAGTAACAATCAAACAAAGTAAATTGTAATCAGTGAATAATAATTAAGACGGAAGATGAAATAAAATTGAGTAAATTAAATTGAATAGAAAAATTTTCACCATCAAAATGATTATCAACAAAATCTTATTATTATGATCATAATTGTTTACAATCAACGGACAACAATTAACAACAAAACAAAAATCAACATGAGGACAAAAACAACAATCAAGATGAAGATGAATCTTGAATAATTCAACAACAATCAGTTGATTATAATCAAAAAAAAAGTGAACCTGGGAACACACAATTAACAACAAAAGGATAAATTGAGAAAACTGAATTAACTGATTGTTGTAAATACGATGAAGATAAAAAAAATGTAAGATTGAAATTCAAAGTCTCAGGTAACTTGTTTCAGGGAAATTAATGATTACTCTTGATAATAACATTTTCTTCATCAGTTTTCACATGAAATGAAAAAAAAAATTCAGAAGCAGGAAGATTAAGATGATAATTATCATTACCATTATCATAATCATAATCATAATCATGATAATTATTTGAAAATGATAAGTTGATTTTTTATTTGTTACATTGAGTAAACTTTGATTGTTTGAAGCTTCACTGACAATAGATTTAACCATAACCATAAACAATTTAGATTGATGATAATACAAAGTCTTAATGGCTATCATCATCATAATCATCATCATCATCATCATCATCATCTTTTTTTATGATGATAATTCTGGTGGTTGTCATCATCACCATTATTATTATGATTGTTTGGTAAAAGGTTATCAACATCAATTGAAATGATGATGAAAAACTATCATACAAATGATGAGTATGATTATGATGAAAATAAATTGTTGTCACCATTGTGATTAAATTGTTATCTTCATCATCATCTTCATATGTCCATAATAATTGTCACCAGTTTGGTTTTTATAAATGAATTTTTTTTTTCTCGACATCACTTTTTGGTTAGCAATCAAAATAATCATCACCAATTGACAAATAATCAACATCCTCATCCATTGAAATAATAATAATAATGATAAATGTCAACTAATACACTTTTGTTGTTGTTGGTTAACCAACAATTTATCAAATTGTTATGGGCAGATAATCAAGTTAACATGTTTATCAGCAATCAAATTAAGTAAATAATAACAAGGTTACCTTACAGATGATGAGGATGATCAGGGATGAGGATGAGGATGAGGATGAAGATGAAAAATGGTTAAGATGAATATCATTAAGTAAATGTAACAATCAAATGATCAACTAAATGGTTGAGAAAACAAATTAATAACAATTTATTTGATTGGATTCAACTAGAAACATTTATTATCACTTTTTTTTTTACTTCTGATCTGATTTAGTTATACAATCGATTGTTAATTGTTGTATTTTAATTTGCTGTTCTGTTAAATCATCAGGGTACAATCTAATTTAATTGTTATTATTATTGTTACTTTATAAACAACTGAGTTACCATTTAATTGTTTTCATCAAATCAAATTGTAACTTAACATTTGGAAGTCTAATTGTTATAATTAAATGATAATAATAACATGGTAACATCATTTTTATATAACTGATTGATTGATTGGCAACCTTTAATTGTTAAACAAATGGTGAAATGATTTAATTGTCAACTAAATATTAACCAACAACATTAATTGTCACTTAATTGAGTTGATCATTGATTTTGTAATAATAACAACAATTAGTAAACTCGATTAGATTTTCAATCTGGATTTGCTGGTTAATTTCTCATCTCTTAACTTTTCTAATCACTTAAATTAAACATGATTAATTTCAAAAAATACTTAACAATCAAACTGAAAACTGTAAAATTTAATTAAATGTTAATTGTCACAACCACAATGAGTATCAATGAATAGAAAACTTAGCTTGTTTCTTACCTTAGATTTTTGATCAATACACTTTTATGGCTAATCGGTATCACCATTTTCACAGACAATTTAAACTAATTTAGTTAATCAAAATAATGATTAGTTAACTGTTGGAACTTAATTGTTGTTCAAATCAATTGTGTCGAAGTTAAAACTCCAATCAGTTTTAATGGAAAACTAAAGATGTCGCTGTTTCGCGCATGCGCAGAAGAGAAAAGAGTAGTCACCATGTCAGCTGATGATTTTGATGAGGCTTCAGTTTGCCAACAAATAGAAATGAATTGTGATGTTAATTGTTTTCTATTAAATTAGTGATTATCTTAATTTGAATGATGATTAGAATTAATTTCTAAAACAATTAGTCTCTATTGTTCACCTGAAATCAACGGCAACAATTAACATTGTTGTTGGGGTTGTGTGTTTTTTGTTACAATTAATTTTCATGATCAAATCAATTTCCAGTAACCAACCAACCAGCAAGAGAAAATAATAAATAATATAATATAATTAATACACAAGTGAATTAGTGATTTAGTGAATTAATTAATTTGTTAATTACAATTGTAATTGAGAGTAATGTTACTACAATTAGGTGATAATTTATCCTGTCATCAAACTTTGTACAGAATGTTAATCCGATTCCGTCTATTCAATAGATGGTCAAATTATCGGTTAATTGTTTTATCTTCATTCATTTGGATTCTAATTGGATTCAGTGTTCTTGTATATTATATGGATTGTCTTGGCGATTCTGGGACTAATTGTATAGGTGGTAAACAACGTAAACTATTTGATAATGTTAATAATAATAATAATAATTTAATTAATTCCAATTCTAATTACAACTCTAATAATCTCGGAGACTCATCATCATCTAATGAACAACAACAACAACAACAACAAATGAAAAACCTGATTGGTATTCAAAGTGATAATAGTGATTTAATAAATTTTGAAAGTGATAATTCATTAGAAACATTAATTGAACATAATTCAGTTCTACCTCCATATAAATTACAACAATTGAGACGCTGGAAACCCCCAGGTAATTATAATCTAATTAATATTAATTGATACATATTCCAATGACCCTTATTAATGAAACATTGTCTTTATCCATTAACTTTGACATTTTTAAATCAATAGATTTAATAACCCGATGAAAATCAATCTTCCCTATAAAAGGTTGTTATTAAATCGTCACAATTAAGATTACGAAATTTTTACACCACCAGATTAACAATATAACCTAAAAAAACTTCCCAATACCAAACATTTGATGTGAGATTTTATTGATTGATTTTAATCTTGTATTTCCGTTTATTGTGATTAATCCGGTAGCATTAATAGTTGATTAGATTAATTCTCTTCTCTCAATCACTTTAGGATTACGTTAATTTAATTACCAGTTGGAAAGATTTATTTCTCAGTCTAGAGAAAAAAAAATTAACTCAAGAAAAACATAAACAATGATCCAACTAAATTCAAATATGTTTAATCACATTGATCTTTCCATAGAAAGTGTTAACAATTTATTTTAATTGTTGAATGGTGATGTTAATATAGATGTTGATTAGATTCCCACTGAGATACTTATTAAAATGAAGGTTTCCTGTGGATATTTAATTTACACCAAGAATTGAATTCGATCTGATTTATTTGCATTTGTACAACATTTGTATTATGTGTTTTTATAGTTATTGAACTAATTTTTTTTTCTTTCTATTGTGATGATAATTTACAGTTACAATTAATAATCCAAGTTCATGGCCAGGGGAAAAAGGTAAACCCGTTAGCATACCCAAGGAAGAGGAGTCTCTGAAAAATGAGAAATTTAAACTAAATCAATTTAATTTATTGGCGAGTGATAGGATTGCTTTAAATAGATCACTTCCTGATGTCCGAATGGATCTGTAAGTAATCAAATCAATCAAGTGACAGTTGTGGTTATGATTATGATTATGATTATAGTTATGATTGTGATTATGATTGTGATTTGGATTGAAATTGTGGTGAGAATGTTGATGATTAGTTACTAATGAATATTTTTGTTAATTGTGATGATTTAATTGTAGATGTAAAAAGAAACGTTATCCAAGCGAATTACCGACGACAAGTATTGTAATCGTTTTCCATAACGAGGCTTGGTCAACCCTTTTAAGAACAGTTCATAGTATAATACGAACTTCACCTCGAACTCTTCTCGAGGAGATAATTCTGGTCGATGATGCATCTGAAAGTGGTAAGTAAACATAATTAATCCACTGATACATAAACATGATCTACTTTTCTCTGAGTAAATCTAGTGAAATGTAATCTCTCTCTCTCTCTCTCTCTCTCTCTCTCTGATTTCGAGTGTTTCGCAATTTATATTCATTATAAACATAATATCACCTTTATACTTAACCCACTTAATCCTTGAATATTCTTATTCCATTTCTTATATTGGGTAGAAAATGATTTCTTCTTAGTTTACCAATCCTTATTGTGATTATAACTTAACAGAGGAGATTGAAACTGTCTCAAGAGATTAGAAGTAGAAAAATATAGTTGAATCATTTTCATCATGAGTTATTAATATTCTATTATTATTTGGATGAAAGAATGAGATTGACATTATTCTTACTATTATTTTCTTTGAAATTAATCTGATTGACCAAGGAAAGAATCATTGAAATGATAGAATTGCATTGAGATTTGATCTTTTATCCTAATTTATTATTTACTTTGTTTAATAAATTTTCTATGTCAATTTAATATTCCATTAGAAGATGAATATATTTATCAGTTGGTTAATTAATTAATTAATTAATTTCTCTTTGCTATATCAGATCATTTGGGTAAAAAACTTGAGGATTATGTTGCAACTCTCAATGTTCCAGTTCATGTTTTACGAACTGGGAATAGATCGGGACTAATAAGAGCTCGTCTTTTGGGGGCATCTCATGTGAAAGGTCAAGTGATTACTTTTCTCGATGCTCATTGTGAATGTTCAAAGGGATGGTTAGAACCTTTATTATCACGAATTCGAGAGGACCGGTAAGTTTAATAATAATAAGATATTAGGATGAAGATGAAGATGAGGATGAATATAATGAATATGATGAGTATGAGGAGTATGATTAATATGATGAATATGAAGGTGATTTACTGATTAGAATTTATAATTATTATTTTGATGACGATTATTATTATTATTATAATTACGATTACAGGAGTCGAGTAGTTTGTCCAATCATTGATGTGATAAGTGATGATAACTTTGAATATATTCCTGCATCTGATATGACTTGGGGTGGATTTAATTGGAGACTTAATTTTAGATGGTATCGAGTACCTCAACGAGAGATTGATCGTCGAAATGGTGATCGAAGTGAACCAGTAAGGTAAGAATCAAACTATAAATAATTATTTTAATTGTTCACTTTCAGTCTTATTAGTTTTTTCTCCTGATCATTTACTACTTTTTCTCTTCTTCTTACTTATACTTAACCTTTTTTTTTTCAATGTTTATCACGATTCTCATTCATAATAATGTTTAGTCAACATGACACAGAAAAACAAGTTTAGCTAATTCTCTTCTCTTATTTCTAATTTTTTGTTTCTTTCTCTCTTAATTTAATTAAAACAATTGATTATCTACAGAACACCAACTATGGCTGGAGGATTGTTCTCAATTGATCGTGATTACTTTGAATATCTTGGTAAATACGATGAGGGTATGGAGATATGGGGTGGAGAAAATCTTGAATTATCTTTCAGGGTAAAACTTTTATTCTATCAAATTAATGATTGTGACCTCAAAATATTATCAATTTACTAATTTTTCTTATCATTTTCTTTTACATGTTATTTAAAATGACTCATTTCACTTAACGGACTTGATTAATGAATTTAAATGTAATCATCATCATCATCATCATGTTGAAACATTAACGCCAACTCATCATCAACTGAATGAAACAATTTTTGATGGTCCGACTATACATTTCCCTGTCATTATAATGATCATTAACACCATGACAATAATTATATTATCATTGAATGAATTTATATATTCACATTCGTGTGACAATTAGATTTGGATGTGTGGGGGCACATTGGAGATTGCAACTTGTTCCCATGTTGGTCATGTCTTCCGTAAATCGACACCTTATACTTTCCCCGGTGGAACGACAAAAATAGTTAACCACAATAACGCTCGGTTGGCCGATGTTTGGCTTGACGAGTGGAAAGATTTTTATTACGCAATTAACCCGGCGGCGAAAAAAGTAAATAAAGGTGACACCAGTGATCGTAAAGAATTGAGGGAAAGGTTAAAGTGTAAAAGTTTCCGTTGGTACCTTGAAAATGTTTACCCTGAATCTCAAATGCCATTGGATTATTATTCGTTGGGTGAGATTCGTAATGTTGCCATAAATCATTGTCTTGATACTTTTGGACGCAAGAGCGGGGAAAACGCAGCAATGAGTCAGTGCCATGGGATGGGGGGTAATCAAGTGTTCGCTTATACCAAAAGAAAACAAATAATGTCGGATGATAATTGTCTCGATGCTTCTAATGGTAAAGAGCCCGTTAAATTGATCCGTTGTCATGGAATGGGAGGTAATCAAATGTGGGACTATAATACGAAAGATCGGACAATTGTTCACGTCAACACTGGCCTTTGTTTAGATAAATTTGATCAGGCCAAAGACTCAACGTTACCGCAATTAATTGAATGTGATGGACGAAAATCCCAACAATGGGTAATGAATTCAAATTTCAAATGGCAAGCAACGGATCACAATAATACCAATAATGGTGAAAAGCATCATGAACTTGGTGGTGCCAATGAATAATAATCTACCTGATTAACAGAATCGACAAAATTGTTCTAATTAATTAATTTTCTCGAGATGCAAAAGTGTTTACCTAATGGAAACTCAACAATCTATTGTGCTCACCATTCACGATCATGTTTAACAATTAAGTTAAACATTAAACTTATTAAGTTTTCTCTTCCAAAAATTATCTAAATTGTGGTTAATATAATAATTAACTGCAGCTGATTAACTTGCTCATCTTCAACAATAACAATAACAACAACCAACATCATTTAATTGTTTACTTACATATAATATTATTAATACAAGAAAGGAAACTGTAACTTCAAGTCATCAAGTGTAATTTAAACGATGATCAAAGTATTAATTACCTTTGATTATTATCGTAACCAAACGGGCTAATTGTGATTAAGATTTTGATCAAGATTAAATGTTGGAAAGACACAAGAAAAGGATTCAACTAATTCCAATTAAATGTTCAACATTCCTTCAACCATCCAACATTGAATCTCAGCAATTATCATCATCTTTCTCATCATCTCTCTCATCATCTTCGTCTTCTTATTCTTGTTTTTTTTTGTCCATCTCGCATGAACGATTGTTTCAATTTCATCATTAATTTAATTCGTAATCAATTGTGCCTTTTAATAGATTAACGCACCACAATTCAACTAATCAACCACAACAACAACAACAATTATTGGTTCTCCATTTTTATTAATAACTTCATAATTAACCATTTTGATTCATCTAACAAATTGCTACTTAATCTACCTGATTAATTAATTGATATACATTTATAATCATCAATATATTTATGGTTTCACTCAAAATCAAATTGCTCTTCGTTAACTTAATCATGTCTGATCAAATTACATTAATAGTTAGAGAAAAGAAAATCTCTTGATATTAATTTTCTTTCAATTTAATTGTTAGAAATCAACTTATTATTATTAGCTAAGAATAGTTTATGTTTTCCTAATTACCAATCAAATGAAACCTTTTTTAGTTCCTTCTAATTAATCAAATTTTTGATTGATCAACATGATTAAAGTTTCACAATTTTGATTGAGTTAAACCAATAGAAAGTTTTATGTAAAACAATTTGATTGATTTCATGTGATTTATTTACTTTTAATCAAAAAGATATTGAGATTAACAATTTCAGGTTTGATTGTATTTGAACTTCAAGGTGTAACAATAATAGCAAAAGAAACTAAATTAACTTTAATCACAATCAAAGTCAATTTGTATCTATTTTACAACATTTTGTTTTCTTTTCTTTCCAATAACAAACATTTGTACTCTCTCATTTTGTACTTTTTTCGTTTTAATTTCTCCATAAATTGGACAATTAATTGTTCGTTTAATTTTCCTTCTTTATGTAAAATTAATGTTCCATTTTAATGTTTCTTAACTCCCTTGATTGTTTCTCTCTCGCTCTCTCTCTTTTTTTATGTTTGTCATTATTGGGATTCTCCCTCTTCAAGAGTGAGCAAAACTCAAACTTTGTACATAAATGTCACTTATTTTTTATCCAATTCTGTACATATATTTACATCGACGCATTAATCTGCAAAAATAAATGATCTTTTTTCCAATTTGGTTTGAAACGTTCAAATTTCATTTGGTCCAATATCGGGTTGATTGAGTTCGATATGATCAGTGAAACCTGATTTGTCAATTTTAACTCGACAACAATTTAATTGATTAACTCTTTCACTTTGAACACAAGAGATTTCCCTAATATCCGAATCAATTTTCTCTATGTTTACTATTAGGCCACAGTTATTATGCCAAAGTCTTTCGGCAAATTTAAGGTCAAGATTGGTCGTTATCAAGGCGATATCTGGACGGTTCATTACAATGGTCCTGAGAGCGCGATTATAAGCGCTAATGATACTTAACAAGGATTGTTTTTTCGCATGATTCCAACCACGTTGATTGTTACTATGATAGTCTAACACGTCTACAAACGGATTTGAATATGAGTCGAGGATAATTAATTTAACTTCGTTATAAGATCCATCAGGTTTACTCTTCAATTCTTCCGTTAATTTATCCAAAACAGATAACAAATTATAAAGGCCAAAAATTTGTGTTACGTGAATCTTTTCGAGGATAGTTTCTTTGTCCATCAAGGAATATGTTTCATCGTACATTTGGCTTAATCGTTCAGCCGAAAATGATCCATCGGTGTCAATATAAATGACATCTTTTTCTTGGGTCGCCATTTGTACGGCCATATGATGGACAAATTGAGTTTTACCGGAACATGAATCGCCCATTATTGAGGTGATTTCACCACTGTAAATACCTCCATCAATCATCTCATCTAATTTGTTACAACCAGTTGAATAAGTACATCGTTTTGTAGTTAATTCTTGCCAGAAAATTGAGAAATTAACCGCTGGAGTGGAATAGTATTCATATAGTTTAGCTTGATTGGCTTTGATTTTCTGTGGTTAAAGAACAAGAGAAAACAAGGGAGAGAGAAAAGGTGAAAGAAAGAACAAGTGATTAAGGGAAGAAGTAGATGAATAGTAGAAGAGAAGAGAATGAAAAAAAAAGAATGATATTAAATAAAGAATAAGCAATTAATATAAATACAATTAAGAAAATTGGAAAGGTAAGAAAATGGGAAAACTGATGAACCATAAAGACAAACCTTTATATCAATTGAAGTTGATTTAGATATTGATGAAGCTTCTTTAAACAGGAATGTCTGAATGGTCGAGATACCAGAAACAATTAGTGCATCCAATTCACTTTCAGTGAAATTAGTAATCTGATTAAATCGGAGTAAAGTCATTTTCTAATCAACAATTAAACAATTTAGAAAACAAAAACAAAAATGTAAACATAAACATCGGGGTTTGTCGCCATCTAGTGATCGAAATTGAAACTAAATTCTATTTTCTTTTCTTTTTTTCATTCACCTGATTAGAGAAAATGTTTTTTTTTAAGATTCCAAGTGAATTAAATTGTGTTTCTAATTGTTGACTTGTATTAATTTTGTTCTTCTTTTGATTTTATTTCCTTAATTGTCTTGTTCTTTAATCGTAATGTTTTTCTCCCACAATAGGAAACCTGTTGTTTGTGTTAATTGTGGTTATCAATCAAATCCAAGTCTTGTTAAGGTTTATAAAAATTTACTTGATGATTGTGATTCTGTTGGTGATGATGAACCAAATCAACAATCTCGGAAATGTATTAATCCATTTAATTTAAAATTAGCCGATTGTTTAAATTGTAGTCAACCTGTTGATTTCTACCTACAAATGGATAATTGTTTACTTCTTCTCGATGCGATATTAATTAAAACAACCTTCTTCCGACACATAATTCACAATTGTCAACCACCTAAATTTTTACCAGTTAAATTATTTATTGTCTATTGTTTTTGTGAAACATTTAAAGATTGGTCATCAGCTTGTAATCAGAAAATTACTCAACATCATCAATTTGAATCAATTTTCTATGATATTTTCTTTAAATCAGTCATATCAAATGGTTTATTTTTCATCACAATTTACTTAATGTTTACAAGGGAAACTTCAATGTCCAATGGTAAACATTTCCTATCTTCTTTAGTGATAACCTCATTTTGTAAATTATATAAATTACCTGTTACTTTATGGCCTTCAGAGCATCAAAATTTAATTGATTTATTATTGGAAATCAATTTATTTGCAAGTTTAATCAAATGCTGTTCAATATCTTCACATGGTAAAATATCAAAACCATTGATTTACTTGAAACTTTTCATTGGAAACCTAATTGTCTGGTCAATACGAACACTAATTATCCATAATGATACAATTCTCAGCCCAATATCATATTAATCTACCAATTACCTTGGATAAAGTGGAAAAAGAAGAAGAAAAAAAAAACCTTGAAAAATCAACAATTGATTCTAATTACAATTTTTAATTAAATGTGAAAAATGTACCAATCAAATTAACCAACCACTAGATGTCACCAAGTAAACAAAACAAAAAGCCGATACAACTTTTGATTGAATATTGGATATCCAAGGATAAATTGGCCGTTTAAGGTTAATTATAATTGATTATAATTAAGCCCCAGTTACCCTGGAATCACCTTTACAATAAATTAAACCATCCAAATTAAACCCAATAACCCAAATCCAATTAACTGTTGCTCCCATCCGAGTGGATGATTGAACCACTAGAGGGAACCATAAATCAGCGGAATTCATTTATTAATTATATTTGATCAGGTTAGTTGATTTAAAAGCTAAGAAGGTAAACAATTAATTCCCTGTCCTTGATTATTATGAAAGTTTCTTTTAATTTGTTTCTTTTTTTCTTCAGGTTGTTTGTTTATCTTCAAAACAGTTAACATTTTAAATTGAGAAGCAAAAGAAAAACAAACTCCCAAAAGTAAATCAAATCATTGAGAAAAACTCGTAATTTTTTTTACTTCTCACAATCAAAGTGACTTTTTTGATTTTTTTTTCTCTCTCTTATTGTTTCATAGAATTGACACTTTTTGTTTTCTTATCCATACTAATCATCATGACATCAACATGTTCACAATCATCATCATTAGTTAATTTGGTTAAATTGTTAACATTTATCATGTTAATCGTTGAACCTGGACTATCATTGTTTCATAAAAGTTTCCGTGGTCGACTTGATGTTTATGATTTAACTGTTACGAGTGACAACCGGTCAGAAGTTTACCAGACAAATTCAAGGTTCTTAATGAATTCAAGTTCAAAGCCGATCGTTTTTCCAACATCATCTCCGCTTCCAGCCTTTGACCATCAACCTCAAGCTCGGCCAAAAGTGTTGCTACCAGATCTAAATGAAAACGGTGTCCCAAAGTGTGTCAAACAACCTGATGATACTTTCTGTGAACAAGTTGATAACTATCCCAGGTAAAGTATAATGTCCTTGATTGTTAGTGGAAAAACTTGTTTAAAATTGGAAAGGAGACAATCAAGACAAGTGAAAACAAAACACAAATCAAATTGTTTTCAATTACGTTAATTTACCTATTGTGTAAATGGCTTTTTAGCAAACGTCATTTTGTCAATTATCTAATTGTTATATCAACCTTTTTTTTTCCTCTCATATTTTTTATCCAACTAACAGAGTTGACCTACGATCAGATTTTGGACTTAATTTAGATGAATTTAGAGATATTTTCGGAGAAGTCAAGGAAATCGATGCTCGTAAATCTTATTTCGATGATGATTCAGCTGATGAAAGAATATGTGGTGGCCCACGGAAAATTGTCTTCCCAAAAATGGCCAAAACCCAATCGAAACGTTGGGTTTATATTGTCAACGATGATGAAAATTTCCGACAATCAGTTGTAACCGAAATTTGCTCGTAAGTTTCCGATTTAATCAACACAAGTCAATCAAAAGAAATCAACACAACAACAACAACAAAAATCTTCGTTCACATTAAGACAAAAAAGAAAACAAAATTGATATAATCAAATATGATTAATTCTCTATTAATTTATCTCAATTTGTTAATTTCAATGTCAATATAAAATCAGAAATGTCAAAACTTTGATTCTCAACAAAAAAAAATCAATTGTCATTCAAATGATTGATTGAATAGTTATGTGACTATTAACATGTTTAAATAGTCAGTTCTTCATCATCTCTATTATTAATCGTAATTGTTGACAACAAAAAATCATTTAATCAATTTAATGAGAAACAATTTGATTGAGATTATTTTCTGTTACCTCCAAAAATTTGATTCTTTTATCACGTTTAACTAATTTCCTTTTTTCTTTTCCTTCCTCTTGATCATCTATTTTTGGATTTCACTCGATCATCATCATCATCATCATCATCCTTCTCGACAATTAGGAGACCCGGTAAACCTTGTGCGTACCTTGAAGATGATAATCTTCCCGCTGGTTTATCGTCACAATGTCGACAAAAATACGCTCGAGCCCGTCTTATGGCCTTACACCCGACGGAACAAAGGACTTACCCCGAATACTTTGAATTTCCTTCTTGCTGTGCGTGTTACATTAAAAATCCTTACAACGATAGGGGTAAATTTAGACAGTAACAAAAATTCTATTATCAATTAAATATATTTAATAATTTAAATTCTATTAAAAAACAATTTGCACCAAAAATTTTCTTTATGTTCGATATATCGATTGGTAGAATTTGAGTATCGATGTTTGTTTACATTCTTTTCTCTTACTTTTCACCATTGGAACATTTGATTTTCTAATTGTCACTTGTGGTTCATTATCTTCCGATAATTAGTTAATTTTGATCAATTTAATTTCCAATTTTGACATTTTACAATTTTCTATTTCTATTGTTGATTAATTAATCGAAATCAATTTGAATTACAATTGTATTCTCTTTGATTTTGATTTTGATTGAGAAAACATGTTATGTTTTTCAATTTGCTTTTAAATTATCAAATTATTTTAATTGTGTGTTAATTTACTTATTACCATTGCCTTTCATATTCTAATTGATTTGTGTTCAACTTTAATTAAGTTTCTATCTGTTAAGTCTCTTTGGTTGAATCAATTAATAGCAATAGTTTTCCTGGTTGACTCATTTTTTTTTGAGCTCTCAATGTTAACTGGCGGCTTAATTGTCTGTGGAAATTTTTCTTGTGAATATATTAAATTAACTGTAGAAAATCATGGTCTTCATTCAAATACCTTCACAATTTAGTGATGAGGAGAAATCATTACAACAAAAATACGCTAAATTAAAGCGAAAAGTAAGATGAATCAAATCAAGTCAATTGTCCGGTGAGTTGGAAGGTAAAATTAAATTAATTTGTGAGTTTATCTGTATTTACAGAAGAAGCTATTGATTCAACATAAAACTCCCAAAGTAGAAAAACCTGAAGTAACCGCTCAAACTGTTCTTAAAAGAGGTAAGAAATTGCCACTTAAATTAGATTGATTGTTAGTCATAGTAATTAATTTTCTCTTATTTTATTGATCATCTTATAGCCGCTGAATCATCTAAACAAGATGCCAAAGAGGTTGCAAAGAGGTTACTCAAATCAGGAGCAATTAAAGTCGCCAAACCACCGGATAAGGAAAGAGAAGGTCAAGGTTTTAAACGATCTAAATCATTAGCTCGAAAACGAATCGGTGCCGATAAACCAGCCGGATTTAAGCCTTTCCAACCCGATCCAGAAAGAGAAGCTCTTCCAAGTACCGGATTTTCAATCGCTCCAAAATCAGGCAACTCAAGCTTTGGAAATTCATCTTCATCAGCTTCTTCCGGTGGTTCCAGTGGATCAGGAGGAGGATCAGGGGGTGGACAGGGAGGTCCATCCAATTCTTGGGGTGTAATTGCCGCAAGTTACAATAGAAGAGGAGAACAGCCAACCGATGGATCTGATCAACGAGAAATCCTCAGTTACGATGATCTATGATTCAATTCTTAATCCACCTAATCAATGACAAATTTAGAAACTATTTTTTTCACTCTAATGATGTTTTCTCATCATTAATACAAATCAACTAAAAATTCCGAGTGATGAAACAATCACAATGACATAAAACTCGTACAAATGAACAACAATTTAAAGAAATAGTTTTTTATTGTTACGATAACTGTTTGATTGTCAATCAAACAAATATTGTATATATAAAGATAATTAACATAACAATTGTGCAGATAAATGATGAAAGAATTTGATATTGGTAGTTGATAAACATTCAGTTGACAATTTAAAGGAATTGACAAAAAAAAGACAAAAGAAAAGGAGAAGATTAATTAAATCAATTGTAGAGGGAAAAGAGATCGACTTACAAGTTTGGAGATAATTAAGAAAATCTGAATCGAATAGGAATGTAAATTTAATTGATGTAATCAAATCACAATTTAGACGAGATACAAATTTGTTGCATTTCCATCAACGATTTAGCAACGTTATCAAAAAAGGCTTTCGGATCAGTTTCTGAGCATTTCTTGTAAGCGGTTATACAAAAAGTGATCTGATTGTCCTCGATACCATAGAAAGCACCATAACCATCATCTCGCATCGGTGGGACACCGCCACAAATGTGCCAATAACCCGAGCAAGAGGTCGATAGGATGTAATTTCCACCCCCACCGGACGCAATGAACGACGGGTCGGTAAACAGATCGGGCAGTTCGAGTCCCTCCTCCAAACAGGTCAGGTAAAGGCCCATTAGATGACGATCACAGCCGAAACCTTTCATCGCTTCGCCCATTAATTTAGTGAATTTGGAGACAGCCTCACTTAGCTGATTATACAATTCTCCAGGCTGGTAAATAGAGAGAAAAAGTTAATTGTAATTATCGACAAAAGTTAAGCAACAATTTAAGTACCAAATCAAAGTTAAAATTAGGTTGTGATCAGCATCAAGTGTTACCATTAAATCAATCAACCTTAACACTGATGAACATTTTTTGTTTTTGATTAACAATCATATCGAGAGGGAAGATGATTAACTTGATTGTTTGTGACATTGAGATGATTATCGATTATTAAATTGTTTAACTTGTGAAACGAAAATTATCACGTTAGTTAAATTGTTAATTTATCTTTCTTCAGATCATTTTATCCTTGACACTGAATGATGATTAAGAAAATTAAATCGATAATCATTTGAAGTTTTTTTTTCGTTGAAAATTTTAAATTGTTTCTCATTTCATTTCCAATTAGCTGATTAACTTACCGATTTTTTTGATTCAATCACAGATTTACAGAATTCAACACTTTCAGGGAAACATGATCGACATGTTTCGGTTCGTCCATGATAATATTGTCGGGTGCTCGCAGTACAATAGGTCGGTGCGGGTTTACCGTGCATACGATAATAGGCCAATTGAAGTGCTACCTGAGTAAAGGCCTCAGGGTGAAATTTGTGGTCCCTGAGAGCCGCTTTACCGAAACCTTTGAATGTTTCGTGGCAAATTTGAATATCGGAACAATTTTGATTGTATGTTGACACTGAACAATCAATTTCTTTAATCAAATAATCGTCCAAAATGAATTCTAATCGCTCCGCTTTGGGCATTTCCCTGAACTTTTGGCTTCCTTTCCAAACGCCTTTACTTTCATCCAATGAAATCATAATGTAATGACTTAAAATCGCTGTACACAAGCCATCAAATGGAGTATGCTAATTGTATGAAATGAGAAAATGATAACAACACAATTAAGAACAATTTAAATTGATTTGATTGATAATTACATCACCAGAAGCTCCCATGAGTCCGTTATTGAAAACAATCGTTGACATGGACTTATCTGCCCAACGATTTTTACAGTCCCCACACATCGCCTCACGTAAGAGCTGAAAAGTAAGATACAATGGAAATTAATTGATTGTGACAATAAGTTGATTGGTCAAAATATTCAATTACCTGACTTTGAGTTGTTGGCTCAGAATCATCGAAAACTATTACAAATAAGGATTGTTCAATTCTGTCGATGGTTTTCTTGTTTCGAGTATTCAATTTGATAAGATAATCGCGATTTTTGGCCCATTGACTTCGATCTGTTACCGTCAAGGCACCGACTCCTGGGCCATCGGTTGCTTGTGATTGGCACCATTTCTCAATGTAAAACAATTGGAACGCAATTTCTTGAGGTGTCAACGGTTCTTCCAATTGTGGATCAACGGCTTCGAAACTGAATATGTAACCACGATAAAGAACGATAATATTGGTCGGTGCTGGTGGACCTTCGTCTTCTGTACAGTTTGAATTTCGAGGAGAAAAAACAAAAAAAAAATAATAATAATAATCAGATAAAAAGAAAAGATTATTTATCTTGACGATTAACTGATTGCGACTCTGATTTGATTGAGTTTAATTCCCGAGCAATTTACGTTCATCTTGATATGAACAATTAATAAAAAGAGGAAACTAGTAAAAGTATCATCACAATTGATTAATTGATTGTTAATCATTTTCAAGATGATGATTAAAATAAACAACTTGAAACCCGCCAAACCAGAAACAAGACAAAAATTAACAATCAAAATCAAGTTAACAACAATTAACTATCATTTTCAACTAATTTTTTGTTAACGTGTTTTCAGTATACGAAAATATTATAACAACAATTAACTTTTTGGGAAAGAAAATTTTCAATCACACTAATTGTATTGGTTAAAGTATTACAAGAGTAATTGTTTGGAAATGATTTACCTGTGATAAACCAACAATTAAGGGAATCTCGCTCTTCACCAGGAATACGACAGGTATTGAATAGCCGTTTAAATTGGTCCATCGCCCAGGGGACACCCCGATGAACCATTGGTCTCATGATTTGACTAAATTGATGACATGTCAAGACAATTACGATTCTAATCATTGATCAGATAAATTGATTCTTAATTACCTTCGAAGCATTTTCCAAAATTCTAATTCATATGCTAACGATAACGATATCCGATTGACTCGACTTCCTCGTTGGGGAGGCCAATATTCGTGGATCGGGTATGGAGCCGCCATGTTACAGTAAGGAATCAATGGAGATCGTTGTTGCAGGTAAGCATAATTAAGCCACCAATCTTCAAGCTGATTAATGGATTAAAAGATTAACCAAAAGGTGATTATGAGTTGTAATGTAATCAACTAATCTCAATAATGTTATTGTTTCATTTTGATAATCATATAAGGATAAAAGAAATCGAGTCAATTAACAATCAATTGATTTTTAGTAGGTTATAATCTATTTGTAGGTTAATTGAGAGGAAAATGTATTGATTATCAATTGGATTTAAATGATTAGAGGAAATTTTGATAAAAAATAATTACCCAATTTCGTGATTTTTGTGACCGTTCAATGAGTAAATTTTGAATCTTTGGTCCATCGGTGGAAATAAATTGTCCAACAATTTTCTTGGTGTTTTCATATTCCTCTTGATTGGTCACTGCTTTCACTGTGTCCAGGTAAAGGTCAAGAGTTGATTGTAATGAAGGAACCGGTAGACTTGGTAAATCAGCTTCATTTTCAAAGGTTTTGTTTGTAGTTGAACGATAAAGTTGATCACGAACACTCATTGGTCCTAAACTTGCAAGTCTATCGGTAATCTGAGCAACTATCGAGTTCGTTGACGATGTTGACGACGATGACGATGATTCTGATGACATGATGATGAGAAACACACAACAAAACCAAATCAAAACAAAAGGTTAGAAACACACAACAAGTGAATAGGAAAAGGAAAACAACACAAATCAATGAATTGAGTTAATTGTTGAAATTAGTTAGAGTAAAGCGATAAATGATCCTCAATATTTACAGAAAATTAGATGAAAATCTAACAGATTAATGAGAAACGATCACCATTAAGCATAGAGATGATTAAGATTCGGATAATCGGGAGAATGATTTTCATGTAATTGAGTTGATCATCTGATTGTGTTTAAGAGATGGAGAGAGATGGAGAGAGAGCAAGTGAGTAAGTGAGCTAGTGAATGAATGAATTGGATGAGGGAGAAATGATTATTTACATGACAGAATTACAAACACAACTGAATGAATAGAAAAGCAAAATAAAGTTCAGAATGAAAAGAAAAGGGAAAATTTTCAGGATACTTGATATTCATTCAGTTTTCTCACTTGAAACTCACTAATTTCAATTCTCATCTTTTCCAATAAAATGCTCGGCAACTGTTAATTGTGGCGATCATGTTAATAGCATTAAGCACGCAATTAAGAGACCAGGAGACAAGAAACTAATCACCATCAATGAGGAAGGAGGAGATTCCGCCATTTTCACTTTCTCTTCCTCCTCCTCTTTCAATTGAAAAGAGATACAATTAACAATCTAATATTTTCACCCAAGATATTCAATCGTAATTGTCAACCTAATGTTCATTATTGAAATTTACCGATTACCAAGATAATTGCGATGGTTGATTGGTTAAAAAGATAGTAGCTTATTAGTTAATTATTAGTGTCTGTTAAATAAGAGAGAGGAGGAAAATTAAAATCAATCAATAGTCATACCTTTAGATTGGAAATACAATTTATAAATTGTAAGTGATTTGCCAATGTGATAAGTTGATTGATTAGTTTGATTCTGGAAAATGTCAAGGTAATCAAACAGATGACATATCTTTACTGATGGTCAATTATATATATATACAAGGACAATTAATTAAATCACCAAACAAACAAAATATCAAATTTATGTTAACACAATTTAAGGTAAATCAGATAATCCAATAAATATCCTTGTAATTATTTAGATTTCAATGTTAACCTTTATCTCAATAGATGGTCAGTTTTCACTTTAGTAAATGATTAGATTATTTTCCTTAATCAAGTGGATTAGTTAATTGACATTTGAGAAAGAAAATTGGTGAAAATTTGATTGAAGAAAATTCTGATTATTCTGAATGGTGCAAACATATGATTCCCTTTGACATGGCAAGAAAAAAGAAGATGAAAATTTCAATTCAATTGGTTTTCTCTTCCAGTAGTAAACCGGTTTCATCATCTTCTTCTTTCACTTTAGATTATCATGATTAAGAGAAAATTAACTTAATCACAATTAACGAGATTTAATTGTACAACAATCAAGGATCTTAAACACGTTCACCAATAGCGAAAGAAATTAAAAAAAATTCGTATACCTTGACTTTCGTTTACCTTTACCTCGATTAAATTGTTCAAATTTATTTTCTATCAGTTTAATTGCTGATAAATTGTTTTTCGTTTTCATTTTGATTAACAATTTATTCACTTGACCAGTTACATGACATTTTAAGTTTAATTATTTAATTCTTACAATTAAAATCATAACTGTAACCTTATATTTTTATCTTCTTGTTGTTGATTATTTAATTTAATTTGTTTATCATTTTTTTTTCATTTTACCTTCTAATCATCATCATCATCAATTAACAATCAAGGATACAATTTAAAGTCTATTAGAATCAATTGACTTTTACAATTAAATTAAAATTCACTTGTTTACAGTTAATTATCTTTCTATTGATTCAACTGTTTACTTTTGATTGTGTTAAGATCCAAGTAATGGTTAACCAAATAGTTAATTTTTAATCAACTCTTAATTGTTGATTGATATCCTACTGGTGATGGATCGATCGGAAGTTAATTGTTGGTTAATCTTTTGATCCTTATTGTTCAGCTTTCTTATTCTGATTCATTGGGATTAGCAAATATTAACAGGGTTAAGATGGTAAATTGTTTCATTGATTAATTTGATTTTGTTCAGCAATCGGATTAATTTCCATTTTTGTTTCCACGTTGAGTTAATTGTTGAATCGGATGAAATTATTGTTTAATGATCAACTAATTAACGATGTATGGTGTTGGTAAATTGATGGGAAATGACTTCTTTTGGTTGGAAAGTTTTTGATTATCAGGAAATTGTTCATTTGATTTAATGAAATCGACATCAAATCAAGCAATCAATTCACTTTGATCACAATTGGACGTTTTCATTTGTTTCGTAACAATTATTGGTCTCATTTTTTGGAAGGAGATTAAATTTTGAACATAACAGCTAATCGGTTTTACAGAATCCACTTAATCATTATGAAAATAACAATAATCACCAATCAGCTAATCAAATTGTATTGTCAATAGTTAATCCGTTAACTTTTTTCCTCCCAATCCTCAATTGGATTTCATTTGATTATCATTTCTTTTGTTGAGATGCTGTTAACTTAATTTCATATCGTTCTTGGTGTTAAATAATAGCCAACCAATCAATTGTAACCAATTTATAGGAACTAATTGAAAAAAGAGAGAAACAAATTAGATAAATTGAATTGAAGCAACTCACTTATAATAACAACAATTAACAGAATAGAATAAATCAAACTTACCAGAAATTGCCATACTATTAAAATAAACATAATTAAAAACAGGAAATTTGATCCATCCAAGAAAATACAATAAAAAATTACTTAAATTATCACAATCAAAATCAAAAGAAAAACAAATCAAGTGAAATGTTGAAAATGAAAATAAAATGATTTCCAATTGAGTCTAAATGGAAACATTTTAGTCAAGCAAAAGTGAAGAGACATTGACAAAGCGATCAAGTTGAACAATTAAAAAAAAAGAAATGACAAAAATGGTCAAATTAATTAACATTAAAATTGACAATCAAAATTAATTGTGATGAAAAAAATATGAAAGAAACTGTTTACTAAGCGTAACCATGGAAACCACCAGAAAATCAGCTGCATCGATTTTCAGCTGTTCTCTTGAAGCCGAAAATGTTCTCGACTCGATGAGTCGATTTGATGTTATTCTTTTTAGAAAATTTTTTCTCTTAATTTGTTGGAATTTTAAAAGCGAAATTATTTTAATTATTGTCGAGTGATTGTTATTTTTTCTTGTTAATTAGTCACTCATTTCCGTTAATTCTCTTTCGTTATCATCATGTGATGACTGAGATTTTCTTTTATCAACTTGAATTTAATCTTTTCTATTCGCTGAAAAGTGAAGGTGAAAAGAAAATGGCTCAACGTGAAATCTAATGTTTATTTCCACTTTACTCTAACCAGTGAATGTGAGTGAATCTTTGTTTATATTTTTCATTTGCTTTCTCTCCCTTTTCATCATTTTCATCATTCTCATCATCACCTATCATTATCATCATCTTGCTCTTCATCATCTCTTGGAGTTTGTTTTTTTCTCTCTCATCTTCTCTTTCCTTTTTTTCCCTGTGATTGTGTCTGATTGTCTTTTTGGTTTTTTCTTTTTCTTCACTAGCTTCTCTTCCATAATCATAATCATCATCATCATCTTCATCTTCCCTAACCAACTCACTTGTAAGAGAAGAAGAGAAGATGATAAAATGACTTATAATTAGTTTACCCTTTTTGTTTGGTTGTTATCATCATTTTATTATAAATATTGTTCCACCTTCATTCCAATTTTTTTTTCTACAATTTGTTTCTTTTTTTTCTTCTCTTTCGCTTATTACTTTTTCTCTTCGTCATCTTCTTCTTCTCCTCTCTCATCATCAACTCATCTCCTTCTTCTTCTTTCCATATAACAACCAGAATAATAACAATGTATCAACTCTTCTTGTAGTCTCTCTGTTGTTTCATTTGCTTGTTCCATTTCTATGTTAACCTATTGTCCATCATCACAATTATCATCCTTCTCATCATCATCATCATCGTCGTCATCAACAGTAACAAAAACATCAATAACATCTTCATTTACACCATTTAGCTTTGTTTCTCTTTCCTTTTCCATTAAGCTTTTTGGTTTCTTCTTCTAATCCTTAATTTATTGTAGTTTTTTTTGTCTGTTCCCCTCTTGTTAACAATTAATTGTTCTATTCATTTCTATTCAACCAATTCCGATTACTTTCACCTAAACAACAAATTCTAATTCTGTTTTCTTTTTCTACCTTACCAACTCCAACAACAACAACAACAACAACATAATAATAATAATAATAATATCAACATATTCAAAATCGCTCTCTCACCAATAGATGGAAAAAGAATCAATGAAAAGGTCTCATGGTAATAAGTTCTGGTGCTTATGGCAAGCTTCAAATGAGATAAATTATCCAAACAATCAACTTGGCTGGAATGATACTCTTTATCGACGACTTTATTCAACAATTAAACGATCTCGATCAGAATCAAAATCAATCGATTCTGGAAGAAGATCTAAACGAGGTCTTTTCTCTAATAACTCATCGCCCTTTTCATCATTCTCATCAACAAACTCTAGCTCATCTTTATCAACCTCATCCTCTTTCTCTGATACCACAGAAACATTATCTTCATCTTCATCATCCACCTCATCACATTCCCATGGTGGAATATTCAACCTAAGTTTCACTCCCGATGGATCTTTATTATTAGCAGCGACCGAGGGAAAAGCGATACTTGCTTACGATCCATATACACACCAATTGGTTAAAACAGTTCCCGATGCCCATGATGCTGCTCTCAATTACATCAAATTTTTAGGTATCTTAATCTCAATCATTTTCTAATCACTGTCATGGCCGATGACATTGAATCTAATTTCCTTCCTTGTCTCTCTTTAACCTTCCATCTTCTTTTTCTCTTCCATTACTCTCTTTATCTTTCTATGTCTCTCCTTGTGTTTCTTTCCTGCTTTTTCTTCATCCTTCATTTTTTTCCTCTCTCCTTCTCCTTCTCTCTCTCTCTCTCTCTCTCTCTCTCTCTCACTCTATCTTTTATCAGCATTTTCACTATTTCTTCAACCTACCTTTCTCTTTCTCTCTCTCACTTTTTTTTCTTCTTCTCCTCTCCTGGTTCACCTTCTCCTTCCTCCTAACTTGACCTTGGTTCCAATAAGCTTCCTTAATAGTGAAAACCACAATTAAACATTTCAACTCAAACAATTTTCACATTATATCAACATGAAGTAAATTACTTCACTTCTCGAATTATTTTGTTTTTCCTGCTCACCTTCACTCATTTTTTGTTTCTCTCTCTCTCCACTTTTCCACTTTCAATATTCAATCCATTCTAATTCATAATTGCTTTTTACTTATTACTCTTTTTTTACTTTAGATGATCGACTTTTCGCAACTTGTTCAGATGATTGTACTATTGCCTTATGGGATCTCAGGAATCTGTCATCTAAATTACGGACATTGAGGGGACACTCGTATTGGGTTAAGAATGTTGAATATGATACACGAACTCGAACCTTACTTAGCTCTGGATATGATGGTTGTATCTACATGTGGGATATCAACAAATATGATGCAACATCATTTGATCATCCAAACGGGAATCCAATCCATTTTACAAAGCCTCTATTTCTTTCCTGCCTAATGAGAATGAGATTAACCCATGATAGCTCAAAAATGATAATCTGCACCTCAGAGGGATACATTATGATTATTCATGATTTAAGATTAGAAAAATTGGAAAAAGATTTAGCTGGTTTCCAATCTGATCTCTATCGGCTCATGCAAAAGCGACATTCATGTGGATTTGACTTTGGCTCCTGGTTTAATCCACTTTTTACTACTCGACGTAACAGAATTGAGTTGATTTCAGATTTTCCGCCCAAGAATGAATCGCATTCTATTTTTTCACTTGATGTCCACCCACATAACTGGTCAATCATATCTCGTAATATAAGTAGGGATGAAAACTCTGAATGGACTTGTGTCCATGACATTCAAGGTAATATTTCATTTTCTAATATTATTCTTTCCTTTCATCAATACATTTGCTTTAAAAATATTAATTAACTTGTTTTTCTTTCGTATATTGATTAGGTGATAAATGGCCTTATCAAACTGTTCCTATCGATGTACCTAAACAAGGTATATTTGTTAGCCATCCAAGTACTCGAGTCACAATCATGTCCACCAATTTATCTTCAGACGTGACAGAATCCGGATCCAGTGGTACAAGAAACATTGCTCAAGCATTAAATAGTCGCCTCTCCAATCAGTCATCAACATTATCGTCAACCCAAGACTCAAGTTCTGTATCAACAGCAGCGTCTTCCTCTTCAACAGCACCAATAACTCTCACAACAACAACAACAACAACAACTTCTACATCATCATCTTCTTCCAACTCGGTACCCGATCTTCACGTTAGTCCTGTGGTGATAATCAGTGCAAGAACATTAAACCGTCGAGCTCATGCAACCATATTAGCACCAAATGCTAGTTACCGACAAATTGAACCCGGTACTCAAGATCCACCCAGAATCTATCGTAATCTTGATAGATTAACACATTACTGTGAAGAACTGAATGTTGGACCAGGTTTCATAAAGGAATTGTGCTTCTCACCCGATGGACGAATAATCTGTTCCCCATACGAATGTGGAATCCGTTTTCTCTCATTTAATTCCAATTGTAGTGAAATGTCATCGGCGACCAGTGATATACCTCAGCCATTACACGAGCTTAAGACTATCTCACATCACTCAAATCTCGTGGTGACAACAAAATTTTCACCAAACAACTTTATGTTAGCCTCTGGATGCCTCGAGGGCAAGGTCAACTTTTATCAACCTGCTTTGTAACAATTGAATTTGTTAAATCAACGGGAGGTGAAATTTTGATACAAATTCAACAAATGGACATATTATAATTCAATTAATTTCTTTACTAATTGAATTGGTAAATACCCGATCTCTATATTGTAATTAATTAATGAACGACAACTAAATTTGTCAAAAGGAAATTATGATTATAATTGCAATTTAAATTCTCCAACAACTCTATGGTAAATGGAATTAACATTCAATCGCAATTTCAACACGACAATTTATTCCCTGTTTGTTTAAAACAATCACATTTCGATGGCAAAAGCTAATTGCAATTAAAACCTTTTCTCCAAGATTAACAAAGTCAACATAACAAATAACGATGACAAAAATATAAGACGATTAATTAATTTAATACACATAACCAATCAGGCATTAAACTCAGTCAACTCTTTGTATCTAAAATGTTTAATCAAGCTAATTAATTAGCTCTAATTAACATGATAAATGTATAAATATTATATTATATATACAAAGATTATCATAACAGTTGATTGTCTAACTGTTTTCACAATCAAATTGTTTTCAAATTTAATGTCACCTTGATGAAACAAAAACAAAAAGTTCAACAATCTCCTTTCATTGATTCAGTCAATTTGAAGACAAATTAATACAATCAACTGAATTACAATCAAAGGTGTCAAGAAAATTGTAATTTAAATGTATCATAATTTTCTTACATTAATCTAATCCTGTCAATGTTTAACATACGAAAAAAAAAACTATTGTAATATTAATATTTAACAAAACAAAAGCACGTAAGTGAATTAAAATGTTTCCAATGATAATTAATTATGATTTTCTTTTAATTTAAAGTGTTTAAATTAACAGATTGTTACTCAAATCGGATACAAAACAAAATAGAAGATCAAATTAACGATCATGTGTTGGCAGAGAAAGTAATTCAATCAAAGATCGAACAGTCCAATAATCCAGATGAACCATTGATTATTTAAGAATTTCAATTTAACCGAGAAATTGATCAATCGAATAGGTTAATTAACTTTTTCGAGTTCTAAAAATCTGAATCGAGATATTTTCTGCAAAGTCTGTCCACAGAGTCAACGAATCACCAAGAGTAAAGGCTAATTTAATTACAACTTAAATATTACCATTTAATTGTCATTAAGACGTTATGAACATTGGGATTCGAGGACGAATATAAATGTCGATAATTATCCAATAAATATATAATCCTAATTATGTTTTCACAATTAGAACAAGCAAAAGTTTAGATATCCAGTTGATTCAATGAATAGTTAATTGTATTTTTGTCTCTCGATCAAAATGTTTCATTTAATTTCATTGCCAAATTTTTCTTTAATTTTCATACTTCTTTCATCGATAATTAGTGTTAATTGTCATCTTATAATCCACGAATCAAATGTTTGGGTTCCAATTTTTAACAACAGTTTACGAGCTCCTTTTTTCTTTTTCATTGATAATAGATTTATATCATCTAGTCATTCGAGTCAAGTTCTCAACACGGACCCTTACGCAGTTGGTCAAAGAATTAGCGTGAATGGTTTCTCTCCAGCTTATTTTTATTCTCATAGATTGAATCATTATCTTTTGCACGTGAAGAACGGCAATGACTTGTACGTGGAATATATCTTCAGGCCTTCTATTTTTGAACTAAGTGGTGAAGTCACGAGGCACCCGATTAATAATTCGCATCGTTTGACTTCCATTTCTCACGATATTTCTTACGATATTTCATTGACTGCAATTGCATTTAGACTTGGAGTCAATGTGCCGAATTCTCCGTTATTTTATTTTGTGACATTTTCTGAGCCTATTACATACATTTATGTTACTTTTTTTCCCCTCGAACCCACCGTTGACTCGTTTCATGTTATTCATACTTTCAAGTTTCGTGGATATATTTACTCGTTCGGCTTAATAACATTTTTAAACCAAAGGCCGGTTTACTTTATCTCTCGGATATCACGTATTCGGATTGAGAATGGAGTTTCTTATTATAAATACGAACAACTGAGTTCGATCTATTTTTCTGAACATTATAATCGAGTTGATAAAGTTCGATTTGCAAATTCTTTTTCGCTCATGAGAGACGAAAATTCTTACTCTTTTCTTGCTCTCTCTTTGTATGTTGCCCATGAAACTGAAGCTCGCATCTTTTTGATTCCATTTAATCGGATAATCGATACCTTTCAAAGGCGACTTTACGATTGTTATCCTACGCGAACTTTTTGGACTGCTCTTATTTTCGATAGAAATTATCCTGATTGTTTTAACGTGAGCCTAAGACCCCAACTAGAAATATCTATGCTAAGATATGATTTTACAGGATTTTATCTTGAAAATATTCTAACGCAATACTGGACTCAAATAATTGATTTCGTTCCGTTGGCTCTCGATGCGACTCCTGGCTATGTTTTTCTCGTTCTTTCCACGGACATTCGCTTTACCAGATATCGATATTCAATCCACTTTGTCGATGAAAGTTATCATGTCGTGACCCAGTCCTACGAGAGGATCTTCAATCTACGGGCACGAATAAATCTTCAGTTATCACAAATTTATTACTACGCTTTCAGTCATCCACGAGTTATAATTACACTTAATCAGTATACATACACCGAATCAATTATTCTATGCCCATTTCTGCATGATTCGTGTATCGATTGTTTTACAACTAGAATTTATCATCAAAATAGTGATTCATTTCGATATTGTCATTGGAATCCAGGAAGATCCTTTTCATCGGGTCAATGTTCAACCGTTGATCAAAATTCCCCCAATTCAAGGTAATAACAAAAATAATCTCTGTTTTACCTGTTTACTCAATTCTGATTTATATTCATTTCAACAGAGTAATTAGACCCACGGGTCACACAGAAAATCCATGTTTCCATGTCACTAATGTTTTGATAAACAACGATCCCGATGCACAGAACTTTCGTATGGACCTCTATCTCCTTGGTTTCCATTCAACGTATGCATACATTTTCCCCTTGACCTTTACGCTTGTCGACAATACAATATATTCCGTTGTTGGAAATTGTTCTGTTATCAAGTATAACCAGTCAATGATTTCCCTGAACTGCAGTCAAGTACATTCTGGTCAATATCGATTATCCATCGTCATGATACGACGACGAGGTCCTTATAATATAAGAAATGATGATAACTTGATCACTTATAGTGAACCTTTCACGATCAGCTCGTCAAAACCGAACCCGTCTGATGATCAGTTGATAATTTTACAAGTTTCCGCCTTTATTGTTTCTATGATTACGCTCGTTGTATTTATTATTGTGGCCAAAAAAGCGTGGAACACTTTGAAAAAGACACCTTTAACTTTCAGATCTAAATCATCACTCATACCAACAACTTATTCCCTTGAATTGAACACCAGCAAAAACGATTCTTTTGATCAAGTTCCCATCAAGTATTTCACTCCCAAGCTAAAAACAAGAATAAGAGATGAGTCTCTCAAAACAAAACCTAAACGATCAAAGATTCGTTGTTGATGATTATACTAAAGGGTTTGTAGTTTAAAAAGTTCCATATGAAGATTGGATAAAAGAAATTTAATCTTACCTTAAATGATGATAATGGTCAATGTGGAGATAAAGATGATGTGATTCCGATGAAGGTGAAATTAAAGGTCGAAGGCGAAGTGATCACCTTTTCTCTCCAAACATTAACTAATTCTCTTGGTAAAGTTTTCAATCGTATTGCTTAACATTGATGATGTTAATTAATATAGAGGACGAATATAAATGCCGATAATTATCCAATAAATATATAATCCTAATTATGTTTTCACAATTAGAACAAGCAAAAGTTTAGATATCCAGTTGATTCAATGAATAGTTAATTGTATTTTTGTCTCTCGATCAAAATGTTTCATTTAATTTCATTGACAAGTTTTACATTAATTTTCATATCTCTCTCATCGATAATTAGTGTTAATTGTCATCTTATAATCCACGAATCAAATGTTTGGGTTCCAATTTTTAACAACAATTTACGATTTCCCTTTTTCTTTTACATTGATAATGGATTTATAACATCTAATTTCTCGAGTAATGATCTCAACACGAACTTATTATCCGTTGGTACTCCAAGTAGCGTGAATAATTTTACTTCAGCTTATTTTTATAATTCTGATGGTGTATTTATGTTGCACCGGAAGCACGGTGATCAGTATTTCGCAAATTATGTCTACGTTTATCCTCATTTTAATTTTGCCCAATTTTCATCCCATGGTATTTATTTTACTCATCCTTGGATTCCCTTAACTCGTAACTCTCACCTTGGGATGAGTTTTATTTTTGAACTCGATTTAACGCTTTCTCCCACAAGTCATGACACTTTAACGTTATTTTATTTTGCGATATTTGAAAATTATCCTTTTAGGTACACAAATGGTACTTTTTTTTCAATCGAACCTGCCGTTGGCCACGTTCGAATTATTCAAAGTTTCAAATTTCGTGAATATATTTACTCTTTCGGCCTTCTAACATTTTCCTACCAAGTCAATGTTCAAGTTTACTTCATTTCTCGGATATCAAACATTCGGGTTGCAGGAGAAGTTCCTCATTATGTATACAAAGAACTGCATTCGACTTCATTTCGTCAACTTTATGGTTCAGTTGATAAAGTTCGATTTGTATATTCGTCGTCTCCCATGGTCAATGAATCGTTCTCTTCCTTGATTGTCGTCTCTTATACTCTCTTTAATAGTACAAGTCGAGTTGCAGTGTTTCCATTGGCACCGATAAACAACAACTTTGAACAGATTGATTGTCATTCTACGGCAACTTTTTGGAATGCTGATATTCTCAACGAATCTAGTCCAAAGTGTTATAATGTCCAACAAAGAGTCGAAACAGAAATATTTATGATACGTGAAGATTTTGACGGTTTTATTCTTGAAAATATTCTAACGGAAACCTGGAGTCAAATGATGGATTTCGTTCCATTGGCACTCGATGCGACTCCTGGTTATGTTTTCCTCGTTCTTTCCTCTGACACAAGTTTGATCAGATTTCGATATTCAGTTCACTTTCTTAGAGAAAATCGGACTCTTATAAAACATCCATTCGAAAGGATATTCAATCTACAATTTATCCTGGATCTAAGTATATCACAAATTTATTACTACGCTTTTACTCATCCACGAGTTTTAATTACATTTAATCAGTATACTTACACCGAATCAATTGTTCTATGTCCATTTCTGCATAATTCATGTATGGATTGTTTTACAACTAAAATTTACGATCAAAATAGTAGGTTTTTGCGTTATTGTCAATGGAGACGAGGAAACTCACTAACATCGGGTGAATGTTCAATGGGTAGTCGAGAGATCCCTGATTCGAGGTAATAATAAAATTAGTTAATTCTATTATCTGTTATTCAAATAATAATAATTTTGCTTTATCTTTATTTCAACAGAGTAATTGGACCCATGGGTTACACAGTAAATCCATGTTATCATATCTCTAATGTTTCGATAAACAACGATCCCGATGCACAGAACTTTCGTATAGACTTCGATCTCCTTGGTTTCAATCCAGCATATTTATCTATTTTCCCCTTGCACTTTACTTTAGTAGACAATACAACATATTCTAATATTGAAAATTGTTTTATTACAAGTTATGATCAGCAAAGGATTTCCCTGGACTGCAGTCAAGTTCATTCTGGTCAATATCGGTTATCTATCTTTATGCTTGCACGAAGAGTTCCACATTATTTAGCAAGAAATGACAGCTTGGTCACTTATAGTGAACCTTTCGCCATCATTTCAACACCTATTACTTCAACCCCTTCGACTCCTTCGACTCCTGAATCTTCATCTTCTTACAACCTGTTGATATTACAAGTTTGTGCTTTTATTATTTGCGTGATTTTGCTCGCTGTATTTTACATTGTAACCAAAAAAGCAAAGGAAACAATGAACAGTACAAAGAATCTTTCATCCAAAAGTTCATTGTCGGCGAAAAGAATTCGATATAAATCATCACTAACTTCCAAATCTAAATCAGCATTCATACCAATGGTGTATTCTCGTGAATCGCTCTTTAGAGAAAGCAATCCAATTGAGCCAAAAGTTACCACGAGCGACCATTCCATATCCAAGACCATCTCAACATTTAAACAGAAAAAAAGAATAAGAAATTCGTCTCTTGATACAAAATCTAAACGATAAAAGATTCGCGGTTGATTATAAAAACAATAGAAGAGACAATAAACAATTAACCAAAAAGTACAACAATTTACTCAAATTTAGAAATTAAATTATACAATTTACATGAACAAGAAGAAATCTTGACCCTTTCGATGATGAATTTAGCAGATAAATAGATCAATAGATTCTTTTTCGAGCTCTAAATGCCAAATGTATCGTTTTCGAAAAAAAAACTGATCCCTCAACCATCAAAACGCTAAAACTAAAGAATGATTTAATTTAGACTTTGAATTTAATATTGAAATCGAGAAATTATGAACATTGGGATTCGAGGACGAATATAAATGTCAATAATTATCCAATGAATATATAATCCTAATTATGTTTTCACAATTAGAACAAGCAAAAGTTTAGATATCCAGTTGATTCAATGAATAGTTAATTGTTGGTATTTTCGTCTCTCGATCAAAATGTTTCATTTACTTTCATTGACAAGTTTTACCTTAATTTGTATATTTCTCTCATCGATAGTTAGTGTTAATTGTCATCTTACAATCCACGAATCAAATGTTTGGATTCCAGTTTTTAACAACAATTTACGAGCTCCTTATTTCTTTTTCATTGATAATAGATTTATAACATCTAATTATTCGAGTCAAGTTCTCAACACGGACCCTAACGCAGTTGGTCAAAGAATCAGCGTGAATGATTTTACTCCAGCTTATTTTTATTCTCATAGATTGAATCATTATCTGTTGCACCTGAAGAACGCCAATGAAATGTACGTGCAATATATTAATACCTTCAGGCCTTCTTTTTTTGAACTAAGAGGTGAAGTCATGAGGCACATGATTCCTGGTTCGCATCGTTGGGCTCCCATTTCTGACAATATTTCATTGACTGCAGTTGCATTTAGACTTGGAGTCAATTTGCCGAGTGTTCCAACAAGATTTGTCGAGTTATTTTATTTTGTGACATTTTCTGAGCCTATTACATATGTTTATGGTACTTTTTCTCCACTCGAACCCACCGTTCACTCGTTTCATGTTATTCATAGTTTCAGGTTTCGAGAATATATTTACTCGTTCGGCTCAATAACATTTACAAATCGAATGTCGGTTTACTTTATCTCTCGGGTATCACGTATTCGGGTCGAGAATGGAGTTTCTTATTATAAATACGAAGAACTGCATTCGATTTATTTTTCTGGCCGTTATGATCGAGTTGATAAAGTTCGATTTGCAAATTCTTTTTCGCTCATGAGAAACGAAAATTCTTATTCTTTTCTTGCTATCTCTTTGCATGCTGTCGATGAAGCTGAAACTCGCATCTTTCTGATTCCATTTAATCGGATAATCGATACCTTTCAAAGGCCAATTTACGATTGTTATACTACGCGAAATTTTTGGACGGCTCTTGTTTTCAATGCATCTTATCCTGATTGTTTCAACGTGAGTCTAAGACCCGAAATTGAAATATCTATGCTACGTTATGATTTTGTAGGACTTTATCTTGAAAATATTATTACGCGATACTGGACTCGAATTTTGGATTTCATTCCATTGGCTCTCGATGCGACTCCTGGTTATGTTTTCCTCGTTCTTTCCGCTGGCAATCGTTCAACAAGATATCGATATTCAATCCACTTTGTCGATGAAAATTATTCTGTCTCGACCCATACCTATGAAAGGACGTTCAATCTACGATCACGAATAAATCTTCAGTTATCACAAATTTATTACTACGGTTTTACTCATCCACGAGTTATAATTACACTTAATCGGTATACTTACACCGAATCAATTATTCTATGTCCATTTCTAAATGATTCGTGTATCGATTGTTTTACAACCAGAATTTATCATCAAAATAGTGATTCATTTCGATATTGTCAATGGACTCCAGGAAGATCCTTTTTATCGGGTCAATGTTCAACCGTTGATCAAAATTCCCCCAATTCAAGGTAATAACAAAAATATTCTCTGCTTTTACCTGTTTATTCAATTCTAATTTATATTCATTTCAACAGAGTAATTAGACCCACGGGTCACACAGAAAATCCATGTTTCCATGTCACTAATGTTTTGATAAACAACGATCCCGATGCACAGAACTTTCGTATGGACCTCGATCTCCTTGGTTTCCATTCAACGTATGCATACATTTTCCCCTTGACCTTTACGCTTGTCGACAATACAACATATTCCGTTGTTGAAAATTGTTCTGTTATCAAGTATAACCAGTCAATGATTTCCCTGAACTGCAGTCAAGTACATTCTGGTCATTATCGATTATCTATCGTCATGATACGACGACGAGGTCCTTATAATATAAGAAATGATGATAACTTGATCACTTATAGTGAATCTTTCACGATCAGCTCGTCAAAACCGAACCCGTCTGATGATCAGTTGATAATTTTACAAGTTTCCGCCTTTATTGTTTCTATGATTACGCTCGTTGTATTTATTATTGTGGCCAAAAAAGCGTGGAACACTTTGGACAAGACAAGAAATCTTTCAGCCAAAAGTTGGCTCTCGGCCAAATATAAATCATTGTTAACTTCCAGATCTAAATCATCACCCGATACAACAACTTATTCCCTTGAATTGAACACCAGCAAAAACGATTCTTTTGATCAAGTTCCCGTCAAGTATTTCAAACCCAAGATAAAAACAAGAATAAGAGATGAGTCTATCAAAACAAAACCTAAACGATAAAAGATCCGTTGTTGATGATTATACTAAAACCCGGAAGAAACAATAAACAATTAATACAATTAACCAAAAAAAGCACGAGGTCTTACTCACATTAAGAAATTTATTTTATAAACTACATGAATAATTAGTAAATATAAGAAACAGAAAACTTAAACTTGTCTTCATCTTGACGGACAATTACCTTTTTCCTCTGTCACATCAGTTGGTTGATGATTTAATCAACTAATTGCATAGGTGATTATCCATAAAACATTGAAGATTTTGAGTTTAGCAGAGAAATTGATATATCGAATAGACTAATTAGCAGCTTTTTCGAGTTCTAAACGGAGATTGGATCGTTTTCTTTAAAGACTGTCCCCAGAACCAACGAAGTATCAAAAATAAAGACTAATATTTAAATAAGACTTATAAACATCTAATTGATATCAAGAGGTTATGAACATTGGGATTAGAGGACGAATATAAATGTTGATAATTATCCAATAAATATATAATCCTAATTGTGTTTCCACAATTAGAACAAACAAAAGTTTAGATATCCAATTAATGCAATGATCAGTTAAATTTTTGTATTTTCGTCTCTCGATCAAAATGTTTCATTTGGTTTCATTGACAAGTTTTTCTTTAATTTGTATAATATTTGCAACGTCGATGATTAGTATTAATTGTTACCTTAAAATTCACGAATCAAGTGTCTGGATTCCAATATTTCAGAACAATATTACAGAACCGTATTTCTTTTTTCTAAATAATAAATTTTACAGAACAGTTTTTTCATCGGTTATGTTGAATAAAAACTTTTCGTACATTCAAAATGAACAGTTTAGGTTTCCTTTTTCTCCAAGTTATTCTTACTACTTAAACGAAACTTCTAGCCGTTTATATTCAAGTAACTCTGATCAGTTCGGTATTTTTAACCTTTTGCATTCCAGAGCCTATTTAATAAGGCTTGATATCGATCCACCTTCATATTGGTTGAGAGGTTCAGTTCGTTGGATTCCCGCCGATCATCAAACGCCCAAGGCGATTACATTCAATCGGATAACCCGATTTATCGCTACGACTAATTACACGGATGGAATTGATCTATTCTTCAGGATGGTGCCAGAAAATGGTTTTCATACTCGTTTTATAACTGTTAGTTCTGGTGATCAGATTGAACCATTTTTGCTTTCTTTTGAAACTCTTTTTAGCTTCATGTTCGGTGGAAAAGTTTACCGGATCGGTCGGGAATCCAATGCGATTGGACGCTATAGAATCGTTTATTATATTTCGCAGATTGAGACTTATCCGAATGTTACAACCAATGATGAAGAAAACACCCAATTCAATTTTGAGTATAAAGAATTGTATTCTATCAACTTTGATGAAACTTATGGAACGATTGTTGAGGCCAAATTTGTTTCGTCTGATTTGATCGATAAAATTGGTACTCTATCATTTTCCAAATTTCTTGCAATATTAAGCAATCACGAGGGAGAATATAAGTTGATTCTGTTCCCATTCCAGACCATTTTAAATTACTACAGTGATCTTGCGGTGAACTTTTGTCAGCGAACTGCTAATTTATGGCCTGGATCCCGTTTCGACCTAATCAAACCAGAATGTTTTCGTGCCAACCGAGGTAATCTCACATTACTCATGAGCGAATGGAGAATTGAAAGTTACATTTTGGGAGACATTGTTAATGAAAATTGGACTCGTATCGTTGATTTCGTTCCATTGGCACTCGATTCGACTCCCGGTTATATTTTTCTCGTTCTTTCCTCTGACAGAAATTTTACCAGATATCGATATTCAATTCATTTTATTCGTGATTATGAGACAGTTTTGACTCATCCTTATGAAAGGATATTCGAATACTCTTTTCGTCCAAATAGTTTAACCAAAATTTACTATTTCGATCACTCAAACCCAAGAGTACTAATTGCCCTTAATCATTATCATTACACTGAACCGATTGTCTTGTGTCCATTTCTAACTGACTCGTGTCTTGATTGTTTGACGACCAAAATTTATGACCAAAATGACCAGTTTGTCCAATTCTGTTCTTGGACACCAGGAGATTCAAGCCAATCGGGAATATGTTCAATTGAAGGTTCAAATATAACCTTTCCAAGGTGATTGTTTTTACATTTCGATTTACAATTTCGAGACCTAAGAATCGTAGTTCTAATCAAAATCAAACTTTTCCTTTCTATTCACTAGTTTACCAGGATTCCCAACTTTCCCGAGAATCCTTGTCTCAATGTGTCACAAATTTCTTCGCTCAATTTATCACCTGATAAAAATGTTCTCTATATCGATTTCACTTTGCATGGTTATGATGAAAATCTTTCGAATTCAATTACTCTATCAATCGAAATAGTTAGCAATTCGACCATTTTATATGCTGTTCCTTGTTACATTATCCAGGTTTCTCGTTCATTAGTATCAATCAATTGTACCGATATTTTCAGTGGTGAGTTTCGATTGCTCATCTCGATTAGACGGAATGTTGCAGCCGAAACGATAGCCTCTGAGTTTAGGACATTCAGTCCAGTATTTAGAATTGATTTAGAACCAATTACAGCCCTGACCAATCAGCTGATCTTTTTCCAAGTGGCCGCAACATTAATCGCAGTTGTGGCTTTCATCGGATTTTGTGTGGTCTCGAAAAAAGCCAAAGATTCGCTTGTAGATAATAAGTCACTTTTTTCAGACAGTTTAAAAAACCGAAAGTCCGATAAAATGGATAAGGTCAAAGAGCTGATTCGTTCGTCATCTCAGAAAAATGTCAATCTCAAGGTTGGCTTGTCAATGTACAAAAATACATCGCAAACAAAGTCGATGACAAAGTTGATGAAAAAGTTGATGATAAAAAGTTCCAAATCAAAATCAAAAATCATAAAGCAAAAGTAACGCAAATAAAAGTGATCTATTAATATAACAATTAAGCATAAAGATTTTTGAAAGATCAAAAAAAGACAATTATTTTCGAAGAAAACTTTTGAAAGAAAACAATAACATAATCTTAATTTTTTAGAAATAATTAACAATCAAATTTGATTGTTAACAATTAAATTAACTAATTAATTTTCCTATCATCTAAATGTTACAATTGCTTATTATCCTTTCACGTTTCAATTAACACAAATCATTATTGGTATCAAGTTAAATTTGATTTGATTGTTGACATTTCGTGATTGAGAAAATGCTTAAATTGGGTGACAATATGTATCTTTTTCTTAGTTGTTTCATATTAACACTGAACTTATTTGATAAGTCGACAATTAGTGTTGATTGTTTTATCGGTTTACACGATTCAAGTGTTTGGATTCCACTTTTCTATTCCTTCCTCGAACAGCCTTATTTCATGTACCATCCGGACTCAGGATTTTATGAGACTAATTATTCATCTCGAGAATTGAACAATGACACAGATAGAATTGGATTGGACGAATTTAATTATCGTTTTCGAAAGGCATACACGCGATATGAGACTCCTGACTCAGTTCGTTTGTATTACGAATATTCAACTGAATCGATTGCTTTCAATATGTTCAATTCATTTTCTCAGATAGAACCAAATTCGCAAAATGATTGGCCAATTCTGCTAAATAGAACCCGTTTAGTAACTATGGGCATTAGCGCTCTCTATGAGGCTTCTATTAGTTTATATCGACAAGTGATTTTCTCTCATCGTGGTGACCATCGGCAGGGGTTCAAGTTCATTGAAGAATATCCTCAGATCATGAGTAATCAATTCGTTCATGTTGATCGGATCCACTCTTCAGTTATAACTCTGAAAACTATTCATGGCTTTAGAGACTCCGATAAAACTTATTGGTTTTGTTCACAGGAATTAACCAACGAAACGATTGTTTATACATTCGCACAGCTTTATGTTAATTTCGATGTTCGAATTTCTGATCAAACACCTCGATATATTTACAAAGAACTTTATTCCATCGAGTTTCATGAAACTTATGGTGATGTTGGAAAAGTTCAGTTTGCTGATTCTCAACTTATCATGCAAAGTGATACGACATTTGGACAGTTACTTTGCATAAGTTATCGAGGTAGAGATGAAAAAGATTCGATTGTTGTCTATTCTTTTGATGACCTTAAAACTTATTTCGATGAAATCTCGGCGGAATTTTGTCGATTCTCTAGGCTTTTATGGCCAGAATTTCGTTTTCGTAGTCGAATATTACCATGTATCATTTCAAATCGAACCTCGATTTCAATAATGATGCGAGATTGGAATCGTAACGGAATTGTATTAGAGAATATTCTTTATGGTGATTGGAATCGAATAATTGATTTTGTCCCATTCGCACTCGATTTGACTCCAGGATTTGTTTTCCTTGTTCTTTCGTCAAATATAGATTATACTCAATTCCGATATTCGATTCATTATCTCGATGAGTTTAAACCAACTTCAGTTCATCCCTACGAACGAATATTCAACATCGCGTCTCCATATAATGATCTATCTAAGATCTACTTCTCATTCCATGACATTCCCAAAGTACTCATCACAATAAACGAAGCTCACTACTCCGAACCGGTTGTTTTATGTCCATTTCTGAACAATTCTTGTCTCGATTGTTTAACCACTAAAGTCTATGATAAAAATGAGAAATTCGTCAAGTATTGTTCTTGGTCTTTGGGATCGAACATCGGTTCAGGAGTTTGTTCAATTGAGCAGAGACCCGATAGTTTTACTAATTTCGAAAGGTAATTGAAAGAAATTAACTCTTCATTTTCATAATCGAATTACTAATCTCATGATTCTAATCAAATTTTCTAGTCCTTTGATTGTCAGTTTAGGTCCATCGTTTCGTGATGACCCATGTTTGCAATTCTTGGTGATTGTCATAACTTATTTCCCTTCAAGTCTTCAGTTAATCGCTAATTTTAGTATCTCAGGTTATCATAGTGATCTTTATGATGAATCGCAATTACAAATTAGTCTGTTCAATAATACAGACCTTTATCCTTGTTTGGTACAATCAATCATCTCCAATTCATTCACAATTGTCTGTGATAACATAAAATATGGAGCCTATCGATTGGTAGTGCTTTCCATTGAAGATTTGGCTCTTGTTAG